CCAGCTCCTCAACCTCGGCACTACCGACAACGCCTCCTTCACCACCCACGTCGCCGCCTACAACACAACCGCCTGGGCCCTAACCACGGCCTTCGAAGACACTTACGTCTCGCTCATCAAAGCGCTGCGCGCGCTCGCCTATCCAGTACACCCAGCAGCGCTGCAACCGAGCTCCCAAGCGTATCTCGATAATGCCGACGCGCCCCCCGTAATCCCGATCTTCGTCATGAGGCCGTTCATGGGCGCGATGGAACATGCGACTGTGGGCGTCGTGAGGAGGGTCAGGGAGGACGGAGATGTCGGGGCGTTCTGGCTTGACACGTCGGGGTGGTTGGAGGCGCCGTCATCAGTTCATGCCCCTCTCGACGAGGGCACCGAAGGTGTGGTGGGGGCGCGGCGCGCGCCTGACAGCAACGGTAACGGCAACGGTGATTTCTGGTGGGATGAAGGTACAGCTGCAGCTACAGATACGGGTGCAGATGTAGGAGGGAAAGGCAGGTGGCGTCTCACGCCCCGCGGCAACCAGAAGGCAGCGATGTATCTGCACGGGCATCTATGCGGGTATTTGGCGGAGGAGGGAAGCAGGTGTCCATTCCTGAGGCGTGAGGTTTATGGAGGAAAGGTGTTTGATCCGTTGGAGACGAGGTTGGAAAGGGCGGTGCAGCGGGGACGGGAGAAGTGGCTCAGGGAGAGGGTTTGGGGGGTATGATGGGATAGGGGGCAGTGAAGGTGGGGTAGTGGGTGCTGATGGGGCGGTGGAGATGGGGCGGGTGGGTTGCTGTGGGCTTGATAGAGGAGGATGGTAGCCGAAGCTGGGCATCTGTATAAACGTTTGCTAACTAGGAACCTGTTCCATGGCTTGGTCGCTGGCGTCCTACCGCTCACGTGATGTTGGTCTTGAAGGCGATGCGATAATACAGCGGCACTACGAATAGGAGCAGTGCAGTACATGTGCCGGCAAGCTCGAGTTATGTTAACGGATCCTTCGCTTAGATGAACTTCGCTAAGATGAACACATTGTTCGGGTGTCGTTTGTTCTCCCGGCTCAGTGTATACGTTTACAAGGCCAGAAGGTCATACATGGGGTTAGACAACTGTTAGTGAGGTGCCAGGTACTAAAAGCAACCTTCAGGTGAGGTTGAGGCGCAATGTGGTACGAAGGTTCGAGATTCGGGACTAACTTCAGCCCTACGGGCTTTCCCTCCGAGTGAGCCAATCAGCCCGCTGTCGAGAGCTTCAAAAAGCAAGTTGCATGTGCCAAGGCTCTACAGTTGACCTCGCCCCATCGTCGCTCGCTTCGTCGACTCATCCTTCTCTCTGCTAGATAACACGCAACATACGTGATGTGTGCAACGCAGCATCAAAAACGCGTGTGAAAGATGCCGTCCGGGTACGGAGCCGGCTCCAGTCGCTGAATGACACGGGGATGGCGATCGGAATGAGTAATGGAATCCGGGATGGCGACCGTTCCAGCGCTTCTTCGCGGCCGTCCTTATCAGCCCAACGAATGGCCGATTATCGGATTACCTTCACACCGACTCTCAACATCGTGAGAAATTCCTGTCGCTCTTTCTCTTTCTTCTCGTCAACTTCAGCTTTGCTTGTGTACTTCGCCGGCGCACACGTTCCCACTGGACAAACAGCTTTGGTAAGCATCACGTTGACGTTGGCTCATATCGACGGTCCGCAAACGTCAGTTGGTGCGAGCGCTAAAGCATCAACGACACCTCTGCTTCTCGCCGATTTCTTTGACCTTTCACTACCAACAACCTCTAACGCTTTCTCTTGCAGTTGAATCAGCAATCAATTACATAATACAACCACAGACTACCCTTCAACATGGGCAGTCACGGTCCTTCTGGTCGTCTCGCGGGCAAGAATGCCATTATCACTGGTGCTGCAGGGTACGTTCACCATAGTCACTGCGAAGTCTCGGCTGGCAGAGATACTCTTTCAAGCTGCGCGTTTCTCTTCTGATGGTCTTCAATGCTCATTCTGATCTGTTTCCCTTTCTCACCATCATATGGAGTCTCTTTGTGTCGTGTTGGAGTTTCTCAACATTTCCGTCACACGACCGATATACGTCACATGACACATTCCACACGGTTCCATATTTATACATCCCTGCCCGGCTCTCATATGCTTCTGCGCTTTGTGTTTCCTTACATGAATCTTTGTGTCACACTTCCGAATCGAGTCAACCATGTCGCCTAACACCACCCCAGCGGTATCGGCCTGGAAACCACCATCCTTTTCGCACGCGAGGGCGCCCGCGTCCTCATGTCCGACATTTCCCAACCCGCCCTCGACCGCGGCCTAGCGAAAGTCCTCGAAATTGTCCCTTGGTGCATCAAGCCCGCGACAATTCTCTGCGATGTCACCAAGGAATCCGAGGTCGCCGCCATGGCCGATCTTGTCGACACCTGGGGCGGCGTGGATGTCTTCTTCAACAACGCCGGCATCATGCACGCCAACGACGCGGATGCCACTGAGACCTCCGAGAAGGTCTGGGATCTCACTATGGCGATCAACGTCAAGGGTGTGTGGTACGGTAGCAAGCACGCCGTGCTGAGCATGCGGCGGCATGGCAAGAAGCACGGATCTATCATCAATACCGCGTCGGTCGTTGCGCTCGTCGGGTCTGCGACACCGCAGCTTGCTTACACGGCAAGCAAGGGTGCTGTGCTGGCTCTGACGCGCGAGCTGGCTATCGTGCATGCTAGGGAGGGATTCAGGTTCAATGCGCTGTGCCCTGCGCCACTCAAGTGAGTTTATCCCTCGCCCGCGTCTATACCGTCTTCCCAGCCCTCCCTTCGTCACTGCCCATCTCCTCATCTCCCCACCCCCGAAACCAACACCAATGCCCTTCCCCTCACACGATCCCAACTAACCCTTCCCCCAGCACACCCCTCCTCCAAGACTGGCTCGGCGGCGACGAAGCCAAGCGCCACAGACGCGAGGTCCACTTCCCCACCGGCCGCTTCGGTGAGGCCATCGAGCAGGCCCAGGCCGTGCTGTTCTTGGCCTCCGACGAGAGCAGCTTCGTCAACGGCACCGACTTTGTTGTTGACGGCGGCATGACCAGGTGCTACATCACGCCTGAGGGCCCGCCAACGGAGCCGCCGAAGAACTACACGCGCTAGGCTGCACGCTAGGCTGCACGCTAGGCTGTGCCACTCAGATATCACTGATCTACCACGACAACCCGAACGACGCACCCATCATCTGGAAGTGCGGAAGACGTGATTGATGACGCAAATTGCCGGATAAGCCTTCAGTGTCTTTCTGGGTTCAGACTCATCACAATACAATTTGCTATCAGGAATGCCCTGCCTTGCTTTAGTCACATGCGTTAATTCTAGACTGGTCCTTGTCTGGCGTTCTGGGAAACGGCTTGCTTCGCTCTGATGATTACATGCTTTTCTGCGGTCCATGTTGACAAGTTCAATGGCGTTTCGGGAATGCTTCTTTTGCTCTATAGAGGTCTCTTTCCTTAGTCTTGGTCTTATTCGTGCTACGTGCAGCGCTGTGATACCTAGTAGATTAGACATCATCTTACTTCTTATGCCCACACGCGACACACAGCCCATACGCGACGCACAACAATCACCACCCACCCCCTAGACCCCAAACCCCATCAACTTCTTGATCCCCGCGACCCTCCTTCCAATCGTCTCCCCATACCCTACCTCCACAATCCCCCTACACATCCTCCACGCCTCCCTTCCATTCCTAATGGGGTAATCCAACGGCCCCGGGATCCCCGTCTCGATCCAGCCGGGAAACCGGTCCCGACACACAGCCTTGGTATTACAAAGGCTCCTGAGCCCCTCCTCCCCGCCAAACCTGCCGTACCCACTCCCCTTGACCCCGCCAAAGGGCAACGACACCATATAGTACACCCCGAAATCATTCACGCTGACCATGCCCGCCCTGACGCCCTTAACCACCTTCTCCAAATCCACGCGGCTGGAGCCAAAGACCGAGGACCCCAGCGCGTAGGGCGTGGCATTCGCGATCTCGATGGCCGCGTCCACGCTCTCGGCGCGCATGAGCACGAAGATGGGCGCGAAGAGCTCCGTCTGCGCGATCCGCATGCCGGGCGTCACGTCTACGAGCAGCGTCGGCGCGAAGTAGTGGCCCTGCGGCCAGCGGCGGTGCGTGTGCCGACTACCGCCTGCTAACAGCCGGGCGCCCTGCGCGACGGCTTGGTCGATCAGGCTTTCGAGGGCTGGGAAGTTGGCGGCGGAGATGCAGGCGCCGACGTCGACCACCTGGTCGGAGGATTCGGATTCGGCTTCGGAGTCGAGGACGGAGCCCAGACGGAGGGACTGGATCAAGGGCGTGAGGTGTGCGATGAGCCGGTCGTAGACATGGGGGAGGGCGATGACGCGCTCGATGCCGATGCAGTTCTGGCCCGCGGACTGGAAGGTGCCGCGCAGGAGTATGCTGGCGACTTTCTGGACGTCCCGCACGTCGTCCAGGATGATGGCTGCGTCTTTGCCGCCGAGCTCGACTGTGCAGGGCGTCAGGCTTCGAGCCGCGGACGCGACGACTTTGTGCGCGACGGGCCGGCTGCCGATGAAGGTGAGGTGGGAGAGGCCCGGGTGCGAGGTTAGGTGCGAGGCGACGTCGGGCCAGCAGATGAGGGTGCGCACAAGGTGCGGGCTGTGGCCGCAGGCAGTGAGGGCGGCATGCAGGATAGAAGTGAAGTAGAGGGAGGACCAGGCGGTGGATTCGGAGGGTTTGAGGATTATGGCGTTGCCGGTGAAGAGGGCGGAGATGGCTGGGGAGAGGAGGTTGTGGAACTGGAGTGGGTGAAGGGTTAGGGGCTGTGGGTGTGGGGATGGGATAGGGTGAGGGGGCTTACGGGGTAGCTGAAGATCTTTTGTTAGCTGTGGGCGTAGAGTTTGGGGGAGGGAGGCGTGATATGCTTACTCACTTCCAGCTCACGCATGCGGCGACGACGCCTAATGGCTCCCACCGCACTTCGTTCTTCTTGTACATCATCAGGAGATTTGTAGGCCTTCTCTCCGGCCTGAGCGCTTTCTCTCCATGGTCGATCGTCCACTTGAGCTTCTCAGCCGTGACCAGTATCTCGCCGAAGCTGGAGTCAACCCTCGTCTTCCCAGAGTCTAGACATGCCGCTGTCGATATCGTCTCTTGGTTGTCTAGTATGAACCTGTTCCGCGCGGTGGTTACCCAGGTGCTCGATGACTCTCAGGTGCTGGTGATGGCACCAACTTGAGTAGAGTCCGCAGCACCCTTCTCCTTTGACTGAACGTAGTTTTCGCCCACGCCTTCTGAGCTTCTGTCGCCTGGGCTATCGCGCGATCGACGCCGTCTTGCGTGGCAGGATTGACGACCCCGAGGGATTTTCCCGTTGCGGGTGCATAGCATTGGATAAGGGAGGAGCCCGAGACCTGGAAATTGGCCAAATGATGAGCTTAGAGCAAGCCTTGAGTTTCAAAGGGGGAAGGCTTACCTTCAACGAAGGGTTCTCCAGAACTTCACCCTTCCAGTCGGGTAGACACTGCTCTGGCACGGGGACGGTGAACGGAACGGCTTCTTCTGTGTTGTGAGGCGCCCAGGCAGTGTAGAGGATCAAGACGACGGCGATTGCTGTGACTGTGATGGCAATTGGCGTGCCCTGTAGGGCCTTGAAGGCGTCCATAGTGGGCTTGCTGCAGTAGTTGTTCACATGTCAATGTGTATGGCCAGGTGGTGTTCGATAAATTCAGAAATTCCGCGATTCCGCGATTCTTGGCGTGTTCCTAAATTTTTGAACGTCCTGAATTGGCCTACTACTCTTCGCCGGACAAGGCATGGGAAGCCAAAACCATGTCCACTAGGGCTTGTATAAGTCTCGAGCAGCTACTGGCGAGAAGAATGGGAGAGGACAGTCCCATACTCAACGCGCGGTCACATGATCACATCTTTATATAGTGCGAGTCGATCGAGCGATAAGTCCGTCACGGTCAAGCTATAGCAACGTAGAAAAAGAGACACATTACAGCAGGGTATTCGATATCGTATTGTAGCAGTAGAAGGGAAGGCTGAGTTCATCAGGAATTTGGTATCGTACACCTCCCTAGGCCTCCTTAGCCATCCTTAACCTCACCTTCACCCCATCTAGGGGGTACATCGTCAACGAGATCTTCTTCCTCGGTTTCTTCTGCCAGTGCTCACCCACGCCCTCAATCCTATCGAACCTCTGCAGCATCCTCCCGATTAGGTATCCCGCTTCCGTAAGCGCGTACTGTTCTAGAAAACACCGCCCTTGTTAGCACATGGAGCACATCGCTAGAGGAGAAAAGATATTAGACTCACGACCAAGACAAATCCTCGGCCCCCCACTAAACGGCAAGAAACTCCAATCGATCCTCCTCCCCTCCCACCTCTCCGGCTTGAACTCCTCGACATCCTCGCCCCACAAATCCCTCCTTCGATGCAGGATATACGGGGTAAAGTTGACCTGCTGGCCCTTGCGCATTGCCACCGGTTTCGTCCCGTCCGCTCCGCCGCCAACAGGCAGCACCGTATCGCGTGCCGCGACGCGGCTGTTGAGCGGTACGCTGGTGTGCAGGCGCAGGGTCTCGTGGAGGACGTGCTGCAGGTATTTGCTAGATTTGAGGGAGGCAAAGGTGATGGGTTTGTCGGGGGAGGGAGCAGGGCCGAAGTCGGCTAGGATACTTTCGCGGAGCTTATTGAAGATGTGCGGGTTCTTGGTTAGCACGATGAAGACCCAACTCAACAACGTCGCTGTTGTGTCACGGCCTGCGAGAAGGATGCCTGGGATAAAGTCAGAATTGCAAGGAAACAAGCAAGTCCATAGGGTCTCGGAAGTTGAGCCATATGAGGCTGATGTGATGGTCCGTATTCTGGTACTCGGGAATGTGTGTGAATTGAGACATGTGATCATGCTGATCGAGTTTGATAACAGAACATCGAACCTATAAGGGAATTCTAGCGTATACTCACCCAGCATCTGATCCCTCAGCTCCTCCGAATCCCTTGTCTCGTTCACCAAAGCCTCCACAAGCGCGTACTTCTTCTTCTCCCCCTTTTCGGGTATCTTCTCCTTCTCCGCACCATGCTCTTTCTTCTCGAGTGCAAGCCGCACGTAGTAGTCCGTGAACTGCCTGATCAACTTTACACTCTTCCTCAACTTGGTACCGTCAACGAGCCAGTAGAAGCCCAAAGCCCTAGCCCGCAACGCCATCCAACTCTGCGCGGTATCGAACGCTTCAGCGAATCCCACATCGCCACCTGCTTTCTCCGCCGCCATCGCGCGGTGGCCCGACGCAGCCACATCTTCAACAGCAGCTAGCTGACTCTCGACGCTCTCACCAAACAGGAACTCCGTCGCCGTGTCCAGCGTGAACCGGAAAAAGAACGGCATGAGATCAGTCTCCGCCGTCCAGCCGTCCTCGTCCACAGGCACCACGTGAAACAGCGCCTGCACAGCCTTCTCCGTAGCTTCAAGATCATTAATCTGCTCCCTTGCGAACTGCGGTCGGAACATCGCGCGTGAATGCTCCCAAAACGGCCCATCGGACGTGAAGATATTCTTCCCAAGCAGAATGCCAAACTGTTTATGGCGCCTGGAACCAATCTCAAAGTCCTTGAACTTGGTCGCCAGGATAGCCTGGAGGTTAGCCGGCTCTATCGTGCTGAGTGTCGTGGCGCCTAAGGCCGTGGAGGTGAAGGTGTTGCGGCCCATGGCGCGGTAGCGCGCCATGATGAGGTCGTCGAGGAGGTCCAGGCCGCGCCGCTCGCATGTTAGGGCTCGCCAGACGAACTCGATGCCGAGGGGCCATTTGGCTGGTGCGTGGGCGGGGGGCTCGCAGCCATTGGCGAGGGCGAAGGCGCGGAAGCGGCGCTCGGAGAGGTATGAGGTTATGGAGGAGTAGAGGATGTAGAGGACAGCGACGCAGAAGAGAATGAAGACAGCCATTTCTGAGAATTGTGGGAGTGAGTGTTACTGAACGTGACTTTGATTGGGAATGTGTTGGATGGTTGCAGAGTGTCACGACTCCAGTTGGGTAAACTACCAGCTTACAGCATTGCGCTCTTATGTCGTCGATGCAGCAGATTTAGAAGGAGGTTGGAGCTTCAGTCAGCATTTGCGTCAGCATGATAATAGGGCGAAACAGCTTCCGAATACGGACTCCGTTGCGTGGTGTAGGCTTGCCAAGCACCCGAGTCATGCAGCTCTCCAAAGGTGGTTGGAGCCGAGACCTCAGGTGGACACGAGGTCTATCACGCACTGACATGCCTGCTGTTTTTAACCTTATGCACTCCACGGTTGCTTGTAGAGGATAGGATGGAGCACGGTAAAGAGGATGTGAAGGTCTGAGGCCATTCGCAAGGCAAGCCGGACTTGGATTGACATGAGACGTCCCACGGCACGTGCATCGATCCAATCGGTTTGAGCAGTTGAGTCTGAAGATATCCCGGCGTTCTTACGACCTCTAAGAGCGCTCGATACATCACCAGTGGAGGGCGGAACAACACCTGTCTAGCTCGAATATCACAAGACCGTTTGGACTGAGCTGAATCTCTAAGCTGCAGCAAGTGGGAGGTTACGAGGCCCCGACACATGATCTCAGGCTTCTATTAGCTGCAGATCGTGGAAAGAGAATTCATCAAAGCCGCTGGAGCTACAGGCCCATCGTGTCTAGAAGAAGCGCTTTATAAGCATTAACACTAGCTCCTCAACAACATCCTTCCATTTTCCCTGGCAGGGCTTTCACCGTAGGATCATTGATATAACCAAAGCAGGTTCTGCCGTCGAGATCTACGGGGTAAGATGTTGGTCCGGAAGGGACTCATTCACTTGCCTTGAGTACGCAACAGCATCAATGTGAAGTCGCCAAGTAGCCAAAGTAGGTGAATGTGGGAAATCCGCAGGTCATTATTAACTAACACCAAGATATCGCGTGGTGTCTTGTGACTTCACCCATTCTCCCCGTGCAGTGACTTCCACTTTCGCCTACCTTAAATTTGCTGCAACCTCCAGTCGTGGACACGATAAGAAAATTCCCGCACCTCGTACAATCATGTCTAAGCACACTGGCGACTCCGAATCTCAAATGTCCGAAGCCACCCGCGCTCCCGAGGTCACTCGCATGCCTGAAGACGGTTCTGCTACGTCCGACACAGATAAAGAGCCCCACATGACAACTTCCCAGTACCTAAAGTACTACGAAGAAATGAGAAGCAAGTATGGGAAAGGAGACGATGACTGTTTCAAGATGGCCCGCCGGCTGCTACGAAGAGCGGATCTCCCAGCCTGGTTCAAGGCTGGGTGTCACAAACTGCTCGCGCGTGGAGACTACAAGCCTGTGTAAGAAGGTATATTCCTAACGTTAAGAAATTTCTGACCAACATCGTAGACACCATGCTGAGGAGTATCTCCGATTGGCCATCGAGAAGGCCGACAGTACCGATAAAACCAATTCGATTTACGCCGTAAAGGACAAAGTCCGCGTCGAATCTGCACGAAACATGCTGCAAGAAACTCGTGAACGGGTAGCAAGAAAAGAGCAAGCGTTGAAGGAGGAACAGGAAGGCGGAAGCGCAAGCAAACAACCAGAGGCGGATGAAGAAGAGAGACAGACCATCTCCTAGAAACACAGACGGGATGTTTCACGTTCTTTCTGGAGATACCAGTTATCTGAAGTATGGCTATGTGGAATCCACCTATGTAGGCATGGAAGGGAAGGAGGAAGATGGCCGGGCTTCATGGCCGGGCTTCATGGCTGACTGTGCCGTGAGATATCACACGGAGGGCAGTAATTACTCTCAGTGTTCGTCCTGCTACGAGCTCGAGAAAGCCAGGTATTATGACTTCAATAGCACAATCGAACTACTAATTGCTGCTTACTTTTAGAGGTAATATGTCGTGCTGTGATCTCAGAATGCAACAGAAGTGGTGCCTCCGTGTGGCTAATGCTGAATCAGCCTTACGGCTTTGACCGAGATTTCAACGCTTGCGCCCCAGCGGCGGCACGTTTTGCTCGGTTGGGCTGAAAAGTCCTCCGGGGCCGAACGTCAGATGTAGAGAATTATCTCTGACTTGCATTCGCCTTCTTTTTCCCTCCCACAACCCTTTTATTCGGGACCTCTCCACTCTTCCTCTTACACAGCGACTCTTTGCTGTGTTCTCTGGCTTCCTCAGTGACTGAGTCTTTCCTTCGGCGCATCTCCCAGAGCGCCACTGCTCTCGCACGCTCTTTCGTGCCTCGGACACCTTTGCCCTGGGCTGAAAAAGGTCTTCCTACGAATTTACGACACACGATACCCCTAGAATCCTACAACTAGAAGATACCCTCGAGCATGCCCCATCACGAATCGCCTCCCATGGCCCCCGCAGTCATCGTCAGCAAGTCTACCGACCCCTCCTCCGCTCTACCGCCGTCGCAAGATGACGTTTCCTCGATTCTCGACACAGTCTTCACGGCGAAACTTTCGCAAGCCTCACTCGATGCCGCGTACGCTCTCACAAATCTCCTAATACAGTCCGTCGGCTTTCGAGGGCTGCAGGCATACGGCGTTCTCGACCAAGTCAAGAAAGCAGCAGGCGACAAGAAAAATGGCGGGAAGCGAGAGGGCGCCATGTTCGCCGTCGGCGCGCTGTTTGAGCGCTTTCCGGCACAGCAGCCGCTGAGCGAGGTGGTGTTCTTGCTACAAGATACGGCCCTTGTGCCGCTTACGCTTGATGCGCTTGCCGACAAGGGCTCCGCTGTGCGAGAGGGTGCGCAGTATGCGCTGGACGCGCTGTTCAACAATCTCAGGCCGGAGTCTCTCGTCGTTGCTCTGTTACCGATTCTGATTTCATACCTGGGCAAGAGGTCGGGCAAATGGCAGGGTACGGTCGGTGCATTAGCGCTGCTGGAGAAGATGGCCGAAAAGGCGAAGATTGGAATGGGAAGCCGAGAAGAAGAGCAGATCAAGGACGTGTTGCGCGAGGCTATGGGCAAGAAACTAGAACGCCTGATCCCGGTCGTCGAGGCTGGTATGCACGATCTGAAATCCGAGGTTTCCAAGCAGGCCGTCAAGACCATGACCGCTTTGACGACGCTACTACAGAATGACGATGTGGCGCCGCGGATACCGTTGCTCGTCAAATCGATGGAGAATCCGTCGACCGAGGCTCTTCAGAAGGCCATCCATGCTCTTTCGCAGACGACGTTCGTCGCTATTGTCACATCACCCGTCCTCGCACTGCTGACGCCTCTTCTCGAACGCTCGTTGAACACACCCACCACTTCCCAAGAGGTTCTGCGACAAACGGTGGTGGTCGTAGAGAACCTGACCAAGCTGGTCCACGACCCGATCGAAGCACGGGCTTTCTTGCCCAGGCTGAAACCCGGTGTCAAGACAGTCAAGGACCGAGCATCCCTCCCAGAAGTCCGTGAGATTGCACAGAGGGCTCTGGATGTTATCAACAAGGCGATTGGTGAACAGGATGGCGCCACCAATGGAGAGCTCTCCCCCGTACAACCAAGCGATGTTCTGGCTAGACTCGAGAAAGAAGTCAACGCCCATGGCGGCCTAGTGAATTACCCAGGCGATCCGGATGTATGGGACTTGACGAAGAATTATGTTTCTCAGATGGTCGCCGAAGACGTCAATCAGCGGCAGCTGAGCAGGGTCCCACTCTGCATTGCGCCTTATTTGCAGCCATTGATGCACCCCAGCCAGGCGGAAACGGTTGCGAAGGCTATCAAGGACTTCTACGTTGAAGAAGACAACCGCAAGTTTGGCGCGCCTATCAAGGAGGACGACGGCGAAATTGAGATTGTCAATGCAAACTTCTCCCTTGGCTACGGCGGCATGCTCCTGCTCTCCCACACCAATCTTCGACTGCTCAAAGGCCACCGTTATGGTCTGTGTGGTCGCAACGGTGCAGGCAAGTCAACGCTCATGCGAAGCATAGCAAACGGAAAGCTTGAAGGCTTCCCGCCACCCGAAGAAGTCAAGACTTGCTTTGTGGAACACAACCAGGGCGAAGATGCCGATCTCAGCATTCTCGAGTTCGTCTCCAAAGACCCTGAGCTGAAGTCCGAAGGCACCGAGCGGATCTCTGCGGTTCTGGAAGAGGTCGGCTTCACTTCCGGGCCAGAAGGCCGTCAGTCGCAGAAGGTTGGCTCGCTATCCGGTGGATGGAAGATGAAGCTCGCTCTTGCCCGAGCGATGTTGATGCGCGCGGATGTCTTGCTTCTCGACGAACCAACCAATCATTTGGATGTTGCGAACGTCAAGTGGCTACAGGATTACCTCAAGAAACACACCGAAATCACCTCGCTCATTGTATCTCACGACTCCAGCTTCCTTGACGAAGTATGCACAGACATCTACCACTACGAGGGCAAGAAACTGGTTTGCTACAAGGGGAACCTTGCCGACTTCGTAAAGGTCAAGCCGGAAGCGAAGTCCTATTATACCCTCTCCGCATCGAATGCTCAGTTCAAATTCCCTCCTCCCGGAATTCTTACTGGTGTCAAGTCCATGACCCGCTCCATTCTCCGCATGTCCAACTGTACCTATACCTATCCTGGCGCTTCGAAGCCTTCCCTCTATGACGTCTCCTGCCAGTTATCTCTCTCATCCCGGGTTGCCATCATTGGCGCTAACGGTGCCGGAAAATCCACCCTCATCAAGCTCTTAACGGGCGAAACAATTCCTCAAGAAGGGAGGGTCGAGAAGCATCCTAACCTCCGTATTGGCTATATCAAACAACATGCCCTCGAACACGTGGAGATGCACATGGAGAAGACGCCGAATCAGTATCTCCAATGGCGGTACGCGAACGGTGATGACCGAGAAGTGCTGATGAAGCAATCGCGTATCCTCACGGAGGATGAGAAAGCACAGATGGAAAAGCCTATCGATATTGGTGACGGCAAAGGCCCAAAAAGAATTGAGGCGCTCATCGGAAGACAGAAATACAAGAAGTCTTTCCAATACGAAGTGTAAGCCCATGCGTCCTCCTTTGTCAATTTCTTAACCTGAACTCAACCACTAACATTCGCTATAGAAAATGGGTCGGCATGCTTCCCAAGCATAACAATATGATCTCTCGTGAGACCCTTCTCGAACTCGGCTTCAGCAAGCTCATCCAAGAATTCGATGACCACGAAGCCTCGCGTGAGGGCCTTGGCTTTCGCGTGCTAGAGCCGAAAGTCATATCGAAGCACTTCGAAGAGGTCGGCCTGGATCCAGAGATTGCGAATCACAACGAGATCTCGGGTCTTTCCGGTGGTCAGAAAGTCAAAGTTGTTTTGGTAAGCAATCCCCCTATCAGATATATGTCCAGAGCGTCCATCTAACCTCTGAGAAGGCGGCCGCGATGTGGAATACGCCGCACTTACTTGTGCTCGACGAGCCCACCAACTTCCTGGACAGAGACAGTCTCGGCGGCCTCGCCGTCGCAATCCGCGAATTCAAAGGCGGCGTCGTCATGATCTCCCACAACGAAGAATTCGTCGGCGCGCTCTGCCCCGAACAATGGCACGTCGCCGACGGGCGGCTCACTCAAAAAGGTTTCCTTGCCGTCAACATGGACCGCTTCGAAGACAGCCGCCCGGGTAGCTCCGTGGGCTCCAGCGCAGTCAGCTCAGCCACAGCATCCGCTGCACCTAGCGCGAATGTCTCCGAGGCGGAAGATGGTGGAGATATGAAGTTCCGCGCGAAGAAGAAGAAGAAGATGACCAAGAAGCAACTTAAGGAGAGAGAGGTGAGGAGGAGGCTCAGGCATATCGAGTGGCTTAATAGCCCGAAGGGGACGCCGCATCCGCCGGATACGGATGATGAGGAGTAACGGTGTTGGAGGGCTGGAGCGTAGATAGGCTGGTGGGCGGGAATGTTGCATTGGGTTGGCGCACGCTGTAGATGTGGATTTGTGGGTTGGGGAAGGGGTTATCATACTGGGTGTCACGTGCGGCATATATGGCGTTGATAGCGTTGTAGACGTAATATTTCATGATATGCATTGAGTTTTCGCAATGTTCAAGGATGTTACAGCTTGCGGTGAAATGAAGTTAATTGACTGGTGAAAGTGTCCCCGATACAGAGATTCTAGTGGCTAGCGTGGAGGAGTTGATTGGCGGCCCTCCAACAGCGTGTGCGTACACGCGACGTCAATGGGCTTGAACTGTTATGAGCACACAGACCGGGACATGCAAATGAAATTGAAAGTGCTTCGGCAACGTTTCGATACAGCCATCGTTTGATAATTTGCGTGCTGGAGCCGGTTTAGTGATGTGATATATATCGTAAAAGCCGAATTTGACTCCTGAATCTGGTGGCATAGACCTTGCCACCTTCGAGTTGCCCGGCTGGCACAATTGGTTAGCGCGTGAGACTTTTAAGGCATATATGCCAAGGGATCTCAAGGTTGAGAGTTCGAGCCTCTCGTCGGGCGTCCTTTTTAACTTTGTTTTGCATCTCTTGCAGCTTTCTTGAACGTCTGTTCATTTTGGCTGCTCTGCGAGGCGCTTTCACCGTTTTTTGCGCCGCAGGGACGCCTGATATCGCACTAACGCCACCCATGCTCGTGGGAGATCAAGCCCTGTTTTGCGCCGATAGCCTCACTTTAGGATTACTACTGTAGAATTGAATAGTAGTATCACAAGTATTTGCATAACGTGTTACTTGTTCCAATGCGGGCACATCAGCGTATCACGCATGTCTCCTCTCCACCATGTGATGTGCTACGGCTTGCCATCCTTGATGCGTTACAAAGCCGGTGATTTTCAATTAATAGTATGACAATGTTCTTCATGTCGCTATGCATCCAGGTGCCGCGTATATCTATCATCTAGAAGGATTCAGAGACGAACCAGGCCACCAAAGCCGCACTCATGCTTTCTGCTTCCTCTAAACCCTTCGTCCCAGGAGGCTTGGAGGTTGGGCCAGTGACCGAAAAGCGTCTACAGTCTATTACCCGCCCGATTAGCTACCGCAACGTACCCCCTTTCTGATGCCCACGTCGTCTCCGAGCCGTGTACCGTGCCGGCCAACGGGTTTGCGTTACGCCTCTCACCTCCAGTTCAAGCGTGCTTCCTCAAGCGTGGCCCTTCGGCGGTTCGTAGTAATGGGCCATCTCTAGTCCAGCTCTCTTGAATCCGCACTTGACATAGAACCCTTCGTTCGCCTCCGAGCAATCGAGTATTGACTATACACATCCGCACATCAGTGTTTGTCCGTTTTGACTCTGCTCTACAGCTCAGTTGGAACAGCGGACAGACCTTATAGCACCCGACCTTCTCGGCCACGAAATCCAGTGCCTGGATGATGCGCAGACCGAGCTTCTTGCCCTGCTGGTCCTTGGCAACCGCTATATCCTCAATGTGGCCAACGATGCCAAGATTGTGTATGCTGCATTCAACTCAGCATCAGCCTGCGCTCTCTTCCACTACTCCCCTATCGTTTTCACACCGCTCCCCCTTCCCTCACTTCCTCACTTCCTCACTTCCCCCAACCCCCAAGCTCCACACAAGACAAGGCGCACTTACAACTTCCTCTCCACAACTAACGTCCCCGTCCCCACAATCTTGTCCTCCCCGTTCAAAATACACAACAAGAAGTACTCGTCGCTGCGTGCGCTCATCCAGTCGTAGCGCTTGTTCCATTGCGCCTCGCTCACGTCGCCGACGGTCGTCAGCACGCGCAGGACGTCGAGGAAGCCGGAGTGGTAGTCGGAGCGCTGGATCGGGCGGCAGGTGTACGAGGGTGGGAGCTGCGATTGCACGGTTGGGGAGATGAGGGTGGGGGAGAAGAGGGGGGTTGAGTCGGTGGACATTGTTGTTGTGGCGATAGTTGAGGAAGGGAGAAAGCGAGGGTTGTTAAACGGTATGGAGGGAGGGAGCTGTATTACAGAGAGGTTCTGAAGTAATTGAGGCGATGTGGATATTGGGGATTGTGTTGGTGTTTATGCAAGTGCGGGTACCTGAGCGGGACCGGGTGGGGCTGAGAACATAGGTAGGCTCAAGAATGAGCATGACACGAGTTACAGCTCTCAAGGTTACACCGGTCATAGTAGACTCTCACTGTGTCTAAGGATAGTTTGGAACCGCACGCACGCATCGCTGGCCGCAGGATATGCCTCTTGAAGGGCTCACTTGGCAGTGTTTGTGACTTCCATGTGAATATCTGACCCCTGGTCCGTCCAAAGATTTAAAACCCCGGACTGCGGCTGAAGCGAAGTTGAGCCGCCTGTCAGGGATCTGGTGTCAAAGCTCCAATACATCTGCCAGAAGCTGCATCGACTTTCCTGTGAGCTGCTTATCCACAATCACAACGCACAATGAATACCCTACGCCCAGGCATGCAGGTCCATGCCGTGCCAGAAACAGAACGCGCATTTGATGCGAGTGGCAGACAGCTGCCATGGGGAATAGAATACGCAGAGTACGTCCTCCACCGCAACACAGCCTACGATGTCAACATCAGATTGACAGCGGCCCGCTAACAATGCATCCTTTAGCTCCGAGAGGCGGCGTGTGCCAGAAGAGAAAGGCCCATTTGGGCGATCTACACTGCGGCGCGCTGGTTCCAGAAGTAGAACGACGGCGACACCTGCGCGCAAGGAGGACCAGACCAAGATCGACAACATCCGGGTGATAGACGACATCTTCAACTCCTTCAAAGCCTCCCAACAAGCCGCTCAACCCACGCGTCAACCCTCAGTACCGCCCGGATCGCTTCCCGTTTCCGCGTCCATGCCGAATCTCGACACTGCAGCCGCTGCTTCCGCGACACCTTCCACACAGTCAACAGCCCCCAAAGAACCAACAGAAGTCATTCTTTACGGCTTTGGGGCCGAATACCAATGGGCCGCCATCGAGTTCTACGAGCGTGTTTCTAGGGGTACGATCCTCGAAGACTACGACCGACACCCGCCGCACTCGCGTTACAACCAAACCCTCAGTCTCAGCCGAGCCAGCGCCCAACGCACTCTCTCAGCGACAGCATTGAGAAAGAAGAACACGTACATGGGCGGGGAGCATTGGATCAAGGTTACATTCGATTCTCCCGAAGCCGCAGACCAGGCATGCTACTGCTCACCCCACAACATCCACAGCTACCTGGTCGTTGCAGAGAGGTTTCGAGGCATAGGGCCGGCCCAGGACGCTCCCATGTATGCAGCACCAGGGCAGACACAATCGCCATCGCGGTCAACCAGCACGTTGCAAGGTGGCACCCAAACCCTTTCTCCTGAATCATCGTCAGGAACAGCCTCCTCTGCAACAGCGACGGGAGCCAATCGTGATCCGCCATCGCCAACCCCACGACCGCGCACGACGCGAGAACCCGACTACCCGCGGCTTCCGGGCTCAATAGAACTACAGCCCATGGCCCAAGCGCCAGCGCCACAACAGCTCCAGCAACGCAAACAAACCAAAGAGCTACCCCCCGCCCCGCTACGCATACAAGGCGCCAAGCGCGCTGTCCTGCTGCCTGCAGATCAAGCGCTTCTACCAGTGGGTTCGAGGTGGCAACAGACGTTTGGCAGCTGGCCGCTAGTCGGCTGGCTGGTTGGCGGCGGTGGAGGGGTTGAGATCTTTGGCGGCGAGCTGGCGAGGAAAGAGGATGGGAGTGTGGATTGGGAGAAGACTGGATGGTATTGGAGGGTTTTGGGATGGATGGACTCGCTGCTAGGGACGGATTTTCTGGGATTGAAGGAGGATTGAGGGGAAAGGAGAGGTAGGATTGCATTGCGGGCGTCGGTTCGGGCGAGTTATTGGTGAGCGTTGGTCATCGAACCATATTGAAGCACTGGGTACCGTATATCATCGATTTACATGAGCGAGAGAACCGTTTCCTCACAGCGTCAGGTTCAATCTACCAAAATCAAGGATTGATGAACGAAGTATCTTATCATTCTTCTCAGTTTCTAGACCAGCTCGACCGTCATGCACGTGACCAGGGCTTCACTACTGATCTGTCCCTATCTCTTGGAGTTGACAGTCCTTCTCTTATCTCCTCCATAGTCAAGCAAGAGTTCCACACACACACTCACAACAGGATAACACAAGCTAACTAACAACTGTTCTCCGGCCTACACTATCAGTTACTAACAATTCAGTAACACGAATACTGAGAACAAGACGCCAAGGTTAATGCACATCTCCCAAGCGGTATTAATAGCAGTTCTCCCGATGTCAATGAGGCCTTCAGTCATGATGGACAACAATCTGTCGAACGCTTCACCAACCATTATTGGATAGAACGATCACCGAATATACCACATCTTGCGGCCTAGGCATAACATCACTCAAGAGCCCCTACCAGTCTTGCTGTTCCCACCGATTTGGAGAGGACTCATAAAAGATAGAAAGAGTAACAGTACCACAACTCTTGATTACTACGTCAATATCACAAAGAAATCCAAGGCCTCGCCGGTTGATCAGCCACGTTTCGAATACACATCGCATAGCAATGACCGGTACGTGCCGCGGCTCACGTTCTGCGAAACATGATGGTAGTGAACGGCCAGGCGATCAAGGTCAGCGACTACCTCGGGAACGAATGCACCGTTGTCCGAGGAATACTTGGATTTCTCAAATCGCTCCATGGGATGACCTTCCCCTCTTCCGGTCCACACTCATGAAGAAGCTTCAGGGGTCGCGAGATGTCAAGACGCTCGACAAGCACGGCAATGCCGTTCGATCTCTTACCCTGTGCGTCGTAATGGTTAGTCATGTCCGCGGCGATATGTTCTGCCCAAAAGACTGTTCGCCGCTCCCGTTCTTCTTCTTCTCACTTCCACGGATCTTCTCATTTCCACGGACCCTCTCACACATCCACGGACCTTCTTCCCAGCCTCAACGCCTGAAATCCCTACAAACCCTCTCAAACCATGTCCGGCTCGTCCGACGAGGACCAGGCACGCATCACGGCCGCGATTCAGCACTTCAGACAAGAGATCAAACGCGATGCTGTAACTGAGCATCTTGATCCAACTGAGCCGGAGAAAGAAGAGTAAAAATCAATGAAACTGCTGCACTGGGTTCGCGTACTGGAAATCGCCGAACGAGGTGATAGACATTACATGTTTATCGATTGTCCATTTATGCCTAAATCCTCGATCCATGGGAATCGGAGTATATCTCTACGACGCCAAAGACATCCCAGACTTCCAGCTCGTTGCCTGGTGAGTCAGCCGACTTCATTTCGCTGATTGTGCGTGAACTAAAACTCCGTCCGAACTCCACTCCGACTACAACACCACGGCATCGCAGGATGGCGGACAAGCCGCGGTGTATCTCGATGCGTTGGGGGCGACGGGCCTCTGAGCCTGCGTCCGCCGCCGACCTCGAGAAGTCCATCCTGAAGAGAACCATTCAAGATCTGAAGGAACTGCCTCCAAGATCCGCCACGCTCAGCCAAGGGTTCTTCACTGGCCATAACGTCCCGTCCACCTTCCGAACGCTCTGTCAGCCTCACTCCCTTCACGGCCTTGACTTCACAGCCTTGATCGCTTCGCTCAACGCTATCACCATGAGTATTAGCCACGACTACGACGACTACGACTCCGGGAGCGACTTAGCTTCTACAGATTCTCAGTCGCGTCGATAACAGTTGCAGAGTTTCTGGCCGAATATCGATGGACCAAATCCTCCATCTCTTCTTCACCACACTCCATATTAACAATTTCGGGTCACTGGCCCGTGGATCCCGTGTAGTCGGTTTTTGAGCCATTCTATGCTATTTACTCCCCTTCTAGCTCCACAGTGCCTTTTTCTAGGTTAAGTTGGTCCTGTCGTGCGTCATTTCGACCCGAAACGTGCCAAATCTCGCTATAAAACATTACTTTGCGCCAATTCACACCAACACGGCTTCATCCAGCAATATCGACCAACTTCTGTCGTCTTTTAGGCCCATACAGCACCTTTCTGGCGCATTATGGCTGAATCCTGGAAGGAACGTCGTCTCCGCTTGGCTTCTGAGGCTGAATTCTCGATGAATCCCTGCATTAACTGCGTCCGCCGGGTTGCTACGACCCCTTCCGGCCCGGATCTGGGCGATTTTGTCCCATTATGCCGCTTCTGTCCTGAGCGCCTTGGCCTGCGTAAGGACTGCCTTCCTTGCCACCAATGCGACAAGAACAATCGCCCCTGCTTTCAGTTACTTTTGGCCCCTCATGGACCCTCATTCTGGCCCCTTCTGACCCAGTCATCTCGATATGTGAAGGTTTAGTGTACGAAGGGAGCATCTACGAAGCCTGAACATACAGTACTGAGTGGGACGAAAGACTTCCTGCAACGCCACCATGGAGGTCGAATCCTGGTCATCCATCGAGAAAAGCTGTGTTGGCAGAGCAGGACGCCGTACCGCATCAAGAGGCAGGAAATAGAGCATGCACATGAACTGGACTTCTCGACAAGAGCGAGAACAGCGTTACCATCTAGACAGCGGACCTAGAATTTCGGCCTGCGTGGAATAAGCTGAGTGGAACCAATTGTAGATTATCAGGATCTGTTATCCCCACCGATTAACCCATCAATGCACGCATTGTGAAGAAGTGTCTGCTCCGTCAGCACCGAGGGCGAAGGGGACAAGAAGACAAAGCATGTCCTCCGTTATGGCAACCACATCTTCGCCAGCCAGCATAAGATGACTAGATCCGGGTATCTTCCGAGCAGGCTCACAACGTGCAGCTACACGGATAAGACATCCATACACATCAAGTGCGTTTCCGCAAAAGTTTAGCCCAAGAAATTACGGATCCGCCAACAGGCCTACACTCTACAACTTGCCGAGCTCGAATAAGATCTCCTGGTAATGGAGCTGTGCCCTGATAAAACCGCGCTGCACCGCTGCCGTGTATGAGACTTCCAAGAGGAAGACGGTTACGACAGAGACAAAACGTCAGCTTCCTTAATGGCGAGACAGTCGACGGAAATAGCGTCCACCCCGATATCCCTATTGGCACAGTCGATATTTTGGGTGTTGGTTTCAATCCAAACCAAGCGAAGCGATTTAGCAATCTTAGAACCTATATTAGAGGGATTCCGAGCCGTGCAGGCTCTAGACATCGAATAGGCCACGCAGGGATTATCAATCGCCTATTGGCAAGCGCGGGTCTCACAGATGTGGTCTCGGCTCAAGGAACAGGCGGAGCTTCAGGACTCAGATGTATATAAAGCAATCGACGCGCTCCCTAGGTCTAGGAATAAGACTAGAGTGTCCATACTCCAGGACCTGGTTCTCGAGACGCTGAACCCAGGCCAAGAGATTACGCCTCAAATCGAAAAAGCCTTCCACAACAATGAGCAGGTGGGACAGAAGCTGTTCTTCTCGAGCCACGGCAAAAGAAGTCCTCATCAGGTGCAGATGGTGCCGGTTAATTGCTGCCAACCAGGTTGGCGCAGACGTCCCGGAGATCTCTAGGATAAAAGAATCCAACGCCCTTGAGGCTCTGATTCACCACTCAAATATGCACCTAACACTACACTACCACGAAAATCGCCTTCAAGTAGGTGGCTCAAGACAAGACCACCATGTTCAAAGGCAAGACACTTGGGTTTCCGACCGAGCGCCGACCAGCGTCGTTCAGAAAACAATTGTCGACCGTTGATCAGAAGACCATCAACGAATGGATGTCATCCATGGAACCAATGCTCGGCAATCTAGTGGTCACGGAAGCTCAGCGAAATAAGGACCAAGGAACTGTATAGTCTTTACACGTGGCATCCGCTCCAAGCCAGACGTCAAACAAGCCTACACTGTCTCTGCCTGGCAAGGCCCCGGCGAACAAAACCACTCTCTCTACTGCTGTCCAGCGCGCAGCTAGCAAACAAACCTTCTGTGCCCCGGGGAACAGAGTCCGTGCAAGTTTGAAAGACGGATCGAAGCTCATCGCGGCCACTCCACTTTCCAGTCCGGAAGACGCAACCACGTTCAGATCACGGCAATTACCAGCCGCCGAAGCCCCGGACTCAGACTCTCAGGCAGAGGAAGTCCAACCAGAACCAGCAGAACCACCGGCAGCAGAACAGGTTGAGAGTACTTTTTGAGGGAGCTCTACCGAGTGAGGGGATCGGCTCGACAGGGATGGGCAGTCCTCGACGCCGCCGACGCTGGCGACGCCGAGACAATTCACAGCTACCACACCCTCGACGCCCACCTCGTGCCCCTGGCCCCGGCGCGCATGGAGGAGCTGGTCCGACGATCTCTCCACGTTGTTATTACGCGCTTCGACCCGCTTACTCTCGCGGCTCAGCTCAACTTAGACCTAGCCACTAACACCACCGCGAACAGCACGGTAATCAGCCTAGGCTTACTCTCGGGGTTCTACGAAATCAGGAAGGCCGGCCTACTCATACACCAGTGCAGCAGCGACGCTTTCCGGCTTAGCATGTTTAACAATATTAAGGCCTTCCACTAGGGCGACCTGCTGCCGGCCTTCTTCCACCTCACCAATGCATACCACCGCGCCATCCGCCACGGAGCGCGATCAGGGTAGCCGGTCGCCTAGCCGCTGCTCTCCACCACCGACACGGCTCGGGTATAGGTAGTAGACAACACGCTAGATATAGCGACGCTATTCCTTTATTAAGAGCGTAGGACGGGGCTCCGAGTGCGTGGGCGGCTACCTTGCTTTCTACTACGTTCTACTACTGCTAAAAGCTGCTTCCTAGCAGTTTATCTTGGCTACTAAAGATAATTTGGGCGTTTGCTTCTGTACTATAGCCACACAGCAGACTTGTACAGGCGAGCAATAGCAATCAAAAAAGTACTTTCCCTCTCGATAAACAGTCCCCGTCTGCTATGGGGGTTCCCTCCTAAACCCCCCGCCCTCGCTGCGCTCGATCGTGAATTGCCTACGGCGAAAAATCGGGCCGCTAGATACAGGCGCGCCTGTCCATCCTGCACTTCTCCACCGGTCCGGTATTTCATACCAGACCGGTATAAGTGCTGCATTCTATTCAGTTTTATGTATCGCTTTTACATCTACACCGTAGTTACATCTATCTCAATAGCTATGTAGGGTCATTCTCAATCATCCCCGACGACTTCCAAAAAATGTTGAAGGATAGCTCAAGAAAGCGTCAGAGGTCATCAAGGAAATGAGCGAGATCATTAAAGCCTTATGAGCAGAACTTGCAACCTACCAAAAGAACGAAATCATTACCAAGCAAATGGTCTTGGACCTTGCCAACACAAACAAGGATTTCGCCATCATGCTCCAAAGTTTATTCGTAGACGGACAGGCGTTGCAGGCCCAAATAGAAGAGCGTATAAAGAAAAAGTTCTAGAGCCAATCGCGAATACGTTGAAGCTGAAAGGTTACTGGGTACCCTTCTCGATCGAATGGCTGCTACGCTGAGTCTCACAAGCGTTAGCCAAAGACAATATTAGCGACCTAGGCTTTTCTTATAAATAGAAAGACCTCCACTAGCCGCTAGAGCCTTAGGAAGTACTAATCTAGTTCTTCTAGCTCTAACGAGGCTATTGCGTGGTTTAGTATAGTGGGCTTGGTAAAGGCTCCTATAAGCGCATCCCCCTATCTAAGCCTATTCCTAAAAGCAAGCGCGGTAGAGTGGAGGCTAAGTTTTAGATATCTTGATTGCAGTGGCATAGATGTACAATCCCAGTCCACTCTCTACTTACAATACATAGCTAGAGGCGTGTTCCCGGCAACTCGAAGCTTGTCAAACGGAAACAGAGATGATACAGCTTCTTGAAGATCTGACAGGATATCTTAAGGATCCGACAAATCTGCGAAGGACAATTTCTTGTTCAGGAAGAACGGCCTTGGAACGTTTAACCCAGAGCAACTGGACCTGGACCCCGTGCTCCACACATACCTGAACAATAACCGAGCACACCACACCGAAGCATACAAGCAAGATCCTACGATCTACAGGCCGGATGGCACAGCCAAGATGCACCCAAGACGGATGACCCAGGCCAAACAAGAGGGAAAGTTCGTACCGATGCCGGAGAAAGATGCAGTCAGTATCTTGCTCGGAAATAGGGCGGCCGATCTCGATGTGGAGATCAGTACTGGATTTTCCGACGCCCCTGCATCCGTAAGTTGCACGACCGAACGAAGAGGGACATCAACGGTGTGCATGTGATTGTCGTTGCGCTGCCAAGGCCCCTCCACGTCCGCCCACTTCTGGATATACCTGGGTACGCGCCATATGACTTCGAGGAGTTTCGAGGAGTTTCGAGGACTTTAAGGTTCAGGATAAGAGTAGCCAAGTAGGTAGCGTAGCTGGCCTGTCCAGACAGAGTCGGACCTTTTCGTGGAAGCACAGGGAATGGATGCCATCAGTTGCTCAAGTGGCTTGCCGTGGCCGATTTGGTGGCGAGAGTCACTGGTTGTTCGGAGACAGCAAGGCCGAGACAGCAAGAACGAAGAAGGAAACGCAGCTGACAAGCGGCAAATTGATTCTCCGACGACCGTTCTTGAGAGCGGAGCGTGATCCGTGCGCCAGTGTAAGACACATACAGATCCTCACCGTTCCAGCCGATAACTGTGACCCTTCGCTGCGCTCGTGATAGCCAGCTTACGAAAATGTGGGGTTAAACTCGCTCCTGATTGTCTCTACAACTTACTTCAGGCGGGGTCGCCAGGGTATCACGGGCATGTCTAACAAAGACATAAGCACAGAAATGACCGTAGAAGAGCTCTCTCGGAGCACCTCTTCACACAACACTATTGATCTAACAAGCTAGCACATTAAACGCTCTAGAATCATAGTCCTACTTATAGTGACAAGCATCGTCTACCTCCTCAGTAAACCCAAGATGGCAGTCAGGCCTCTCCTAACCGTTCTCAAGACAATCACAACCACTGCTCTCCGTGCACCCTCACATCCGCCTATCTCTCTAAGCCGTGCCAGCTACTCATCAGCTGCACCTCGCCACGCGCCCGCTCATCATCAACCTCAACCTCAGTCTCATCCAGTTCAGCCACCACCCACCGCCGCCGAAGTCGTGACATCCATCCACGGCGAAGCTGACCGCAACGAAGCTGCCGAGATAGAAGCCCTCTTCCGTCCCCCGCCTGAAGCTCTCGACAGCACCAAATCCGCTTTCCTCGGCGAAGCCGACAGCAACGACTTCGTCGAGGCCGAGGATGCCGTTAATCCGCGGAAGCTGGAAGCCCTCGACGCGAGCGCCAGCGCGTATCTAGGCGAAGCGGACAGCAACGATGCCGTGGAGGGCGACCGTGTGATCAATCCTAGGGACCCAGAGCCGGTGGATCCCACCGTTTCGGCATTTCATGGCGAGAGTGGGGAGCAGGATGCATACGAAAAACCTTAAGACAACCTAGTTGGATGATCGAACGGAGGGCGGAAAGTAGTCTCCGGTCAGTCGGGGCAAGAATGTGGGCAAACTGTTACGTTAGTTTTCAAGAAGGGCGACCTTGTACTGTCTACTCTCCACGAAGGGATTACAGCTTGAGATTGTGTAGTGGCGAAGCAAATACTGCAATTCGTCTTGTAGCGTTACGCTAGCTGATATTAAAAGTTGTCTCCTTTGTCCAAGAACCTAGCCCTTTTCAAGGCTAAGCTGCTCCCCCTGCGTCATGCAACCGCAAAGTCAGGCCTTCAATAATACCAACCACGACACAGTGGGCGGAGAGAGCGAGACTGATGGCCAAGGAGGAGGAAGGCCGCAACTATCTGAGGCGTCAGCATGAGCGCATTAGAGAAACCGAGCGTTTCTGCATGCTTATCGAGAACATCCTGGCGCTCAAGGACCAGGTTCAATAATACCCGTCTTCAAGAACCCATCAAAATATCGAAGTCGCACTGCCATGTTCGCCTTATTGACTCCCATCCACCGACCACCCAACAGTCCTCGAGCCACTCAGCAAGCCCGTAGACACCAGCGTCACAGAGAACTCCAACCTAGGGAGGAACATGAGCAAGCTGGTATAGTTTGTGCAGCTGTCGGTGAGCGAGCTAAAGGCTCTTATTGTAGGCCGCAAGTTCAGGGACATCTACGACGAGCTTAATAACCGTTGTCTGGAGCCGGCCCGTGAGGAAGCTAAGAAGGCGAACAAACCGCGGCCCTGAATGATGGATCTGCCCACCGTGGAAACCGCCCTCGCTGCCGGGGAGGTCGACGGCGCGCAGACGTACTCCAACTCAGACGCCGAAGAGGTCGAGAAGTAGTCGATAACGGACCACCATGCGCGCTTCCTACGGCGCGCGCGTCAACAATTCTATCTGCGACGCTCAGGGTTCCTTAAGGGCAAGGGCCTAACCGATGGAGCCGTCAACCAGCGGATCTGGTTCATCCTCAAGAAGGTCGACTTCCACAATGCTCCATTGCTCCGTCCAGGGCATTCTTTACAAGCGACGTCGTAAAATCGAACAATCCACCCCTCGAGTATACAACATTATCATCAAGACCATCGAGGTAGGCTGTACTCTTCCGAATGATAGATACTCCACGTTGTCTGCCTCTCTTCACTAGCGCACACAATACCCCAAACATCACCATAATCCAGTCCAGGTTGTCTACCTTTTTTCACCGTCACACGCAATACTCCGAGGATAACGATGGCCCAGAGCTGTTCCTCAGGCGCCTACATCAATAGCCTCGCCCTCTTTGTCAAGTCCGACACATGCCCTACTCGTAAAAGCACGATGGACCAAGCCAAGAAGCATGCTGTCCTAAATCGCCGGTCATACCGCCATCGAACTCCGAAGTTTTTAAGTTACTATATTCCAGCTGGTGCGGAATATTGAGAAAACTATATTCGTTAAAGATAATGTGGTAGATTTCTTTCAGGTTCCCTCACCTGAAGGGGCTCACCCGAACCGACAGAGTGCTTCGGGATCAACGCGTATGCTATCCCAGTCTGCTCGGCCCAGCGTCCGCCAAAGCCACTAGCTAAGCGAAGGCTCACCAGTATGGGATAACCCCGCCCTCAAGCAAGTATTGAATGGGACTTTGAAGTAGAGGGCTTTGGCTCCGCTCAGAATAAGACACGCAATGACGCGGTCGACTGGTTCAACAACCCAAAGGACCGTTATCAAATCCTGGTCACCAGCTACCGATGTGCGTCTGCCTCACTCAACCTACAGGAGGGTTTCTGGAACCTTATCATGCTCGACGTTCGCAACTCAGCAAATATCGCCGCATAGACGATAAGCCGAGTGTTCCATCTAAGATAGAAGCACCGCCAAGACATCTAGATCGACTCAAGGAGGCGAGAGGAGTCGCAAAGTAGCCTAGCAGAAGAAGGCGCTCAATGAGGTCTGCGGGCCACCGGCAAGGCCATAGAAGGACACCGTCAAGGACAAGGACATAATTATCCAGACCCTGCAAATCGACCTCGCCGAATCACAATTAAAAGCAAAGCTTTATAGACAAATGGCGAAAGACATTGCCATGACCAGCGAGGACTTCGGCATTAACCTACGCAACTTCTCCTCTCACAACAGCGAAGATTTCCAGGAGGGTACTCCCACCTCGCCGACCTCCTGACTAGATGGCGGAAACCCGCTCCGTAGACTCTTCTCTTTAAGCCCGGCTACGAATCCCCCGAGCGTTTACCCCCTTTTCTCTTTCGCGTAATACACTACACCAACGGGTCGGCACCCGCCCTCTCATATCCAAAACCGAAACCTGCTAACGGGGCGACGTGTCCCTCTCTTCCTTTCACGACGAAGAGCTGGTCGACGGCGGTAGAACCTTTTGCCTGACCGAAAACTCCAAAGGGTCAACCCGGCCCTTCATTCCTTCACAGTCGTATTAGCCTCACTTTCCACCTTCGCTCCGCCCAACTCCGCAGCGCTTCTTTCTTCACAACACCACAAAATAAGGGCCAATCTCACAAGCGTAATCTGGCATCGCCATTGTGCGAGAAATATAAATCCGGAATTCGGAAGGCGAGTGGACAGCGCCGGTGCCCATCATCAATAAATGCCGCGGGCAGCCACTGCAGATCCATATTGCTAGTGATCACTATCAATCTGTACTTTTGATGTACAACACGACAACATTGTGCTGCGGAGCTTTATTCCCGTTTCTTACTCTGTAAAGGCACTGCTCGATCAGCGCGTTGCACATCTGATTCGTAAGGATATACTCTCACATCAGCATGTTCCCAGATTGCAGCAACAGACGGGGGGTGCCTGCGAGTAAGGTTTAGTGAAGAAAATCGGCGAGGTAACAAGAAGACGATGATGGTTAAGTCTGGAAGGTATGGATCCTAGACGAGTGGGCTAGACAAGGTAAACTGAAAGATACCGCTAGATAGAAACTAGTTACGCAGTGTTGTCCTTCTGCGGGCTTCTAATTAAAGAGTGTATTCGAACACAAGTCTCCGGAGTTGATATCTACTGCGCCCGTTCATCAACGCTCTTCAGGGTATCCTCAAGTTTAGGGTCCCTGGCAAACTCGTAGAGGTTGCAAGAGGATCCTCATGATACGTCATCAGCAGTTCAGCCCCGTTGAATAGTAAAGGATCAAGTTTTCTCAGCCATGAGCGATACCGATTGCAAAGCCGACCATGCCGAAGAAGCCATCCGCCCACCCCAACGCCAACGAAGAGCCAACCTTACCAAACACCCTATCCATCCACGCCCGGATAATCATTCAAGTTATGCAGGCTAATATCCTGGCTCTCCCTCACCCTGGGCTGCGTATCCCCATCCGTCCTCTGCTCCTCCCCGTGGCCGACCCCGTTGACTTGCTTGCTGTCCGAAACCGGTGACGCTTCTCCATCAACCGGCACGACGTTCCCATGGCCATCGACCTCAACGCCCTTGATCGCCATCCGCATCTCCTCTTCCCCCGCCACGCCCTGCAGAACCGCCTCCTTGGCCGACTCAACCATCTTCATCTTCCTTGTCTCGCCCCTTACACGCTCAAGATGCTCGAAGTATCCGTCGTCGACGGGGGTGACATACTTCCCGCAGAAAACCCCGACCTCAAACTCCTGCGTCTTCGGGTCTCTGGGAGAGAGATCCGCACACGCAGCCTTCAGATCCGGCAGCGTCTGATAGATCACCGCGTCCGCGCCAATCAGCGTAGCGATGTCCTTGCTCGAGCGATGGTGCGCGATGAGCTCCGACGACGAGGCAAGATCAATGCCGTAGATATGCGCGTTAGTTATCGGGGGCGCGCAGCTGGTGAAAAACACCTTCTTCGCGCCGGCCTCTTTGGCCATTTTCACGATCTCGGCCGAGGTGGTGCCGCGCACGATGCTGTCGTCGACGAGGAGGACGTTCCTGCCTTCGAATTTCTTGCGCATGGGGTTTAGTTTTGCGCGGACGCCTTTTTGGCGCTGCCGCTGGTTCGGCATGATAAAGGTACGGAAGATGTAGCGGTTCTTGACGAAGCCTTGACAGTATTCTTTTTGGAGGGATTGCGCGACGCAGAGGGCGGAGGTGATGGAGGTTTCGGGGATGGGCATCACGACGTCGACTTCTGCCAGCGCCTCGGGACCGAGTTGTCGCTTGATGGTTTCCGCGAGCTTGAAGCCCATGCTTCGCCGGCTTTCATCGACGTCGATGCCGTCGATGACGGTGTCCGGGCGTGCGAAGTAGACGTATTCGAAGATGTCGGGTGCGTAGGCGAGTTGGGGGTGGACTTGGTGAAAGACGGGCTCTTTGCCCTTCTCGATGATGACGGCCTGGCCGGGTAAGACGTCTTGGAATTCGGTATAGCCGCACTGAACCAGCGCCACCGATTCAGAGGCCATCATGTAGTCGGTGCCGGAGCCGCTGTCTGAGGGTTTGGACCCTAGGACCATCGGACGGATGCCATACGAGTCGCGGAAACCGATAAGACCGAATCCTGTGAGATGGTGTTAGCACGTGTGCTCCCCTTCGGTGGAGCTGTGAATTGACCCACCTGCCAACATCGCGGTACATGCCCATCCTCCAACACACCGCTTGTACATCCTCTCCAGCGCCGCGAAACAGTCGCTCGCGTTGACACGCGCCTTACCCGTCTCGTTCAGCTCGCTGGCGAAGATGTTCAGCATGAGCTCACTGTCGCTCTCAGTATTGATGTGCCTGTGTGCCTCCTGATCTAGGTATTTCCTGAGCTCAGGCGCGTTGATGAGGTTTCCATTGTGTGTAAAGCAGATGCCATAGGGACTATTGACGTAGAAAGGCTGTGCCTCAGCGTTTGCGCTACTGCCGGCCGTCGGGTATCTTAGGTGTCCTAGGCCCATGAAACCAGGCAGGTCTGCGATGCGCGAACCGTCGCGGAAGACCTTCGAGGCCATGCCGTTGCCTTTGCATTGGTATATGCGGCCGCCGGATGCGCAGGTCGCGATGCCACAAGCGTCTTGGCCGCGGTGTTGGAGCAGATAGAGAGCATCGTGGATTTCGATGGCGGCGGAGGGAGAAGCGGGATCCGCATGAATGACGGCGATTATACCGCACATGTTGGGTGCAGTACGTTCTACAATACGTCTGTTGCTGCCTGTCAGTGTGTGTGTAGCAGATAGCAGCAGCCAAGCGATAATGAGAGGTAGACACAGGTCAGAAGGTTTGTTCTCCGCAGAAATAGTCTCGGTAGTCTAACATCTATATAAAAACAAATCATCACAATGGAGAGCTTGTAAAAGCATTGCCTAAAGCCTATCAGATATGCGGGACGTACCTGAGCGTAAGGAGCAGCGATATAGCTCTATACTGAACGCGGCCTTAACGCGCAGAAAAGCGTGGGGAGGGGCAGGGCGGGATGACGGTGCGGGAGCAGCAATTTTGCGGAGAAGAATTCAAAGTGCAGGGATCGAGCAGTGCTTCGTCAGGCGGTAAAGCATCAGCAAGGTGTCTGCCACGGTAGGGCTTTGCCAAAGGAGGAGAATTGCACGCCATTGTTAGAAGCTTGCGTTCTTCTCGCACTGAAGGCCAAAGAAAATTTGACCGTCCAAGGGTCGAAGTCCCGCAGTTCGGCCCCTGTCTGCCGCATCTGCCGATTGGCCCTTCACTCGTCCCCAAGAGCCGCACATCACGTGCTCACATCCCTACAACGCGACCACAACATCCAAGGCAGAGAGAGCATCGCGGGTGATATCAACACTGACTGTCAACTATTGCGCATCTATCTTCACCTCGCAGAGCTGAAGCGCTTAGAGACATTGCAGGCTGCAGACGCGCCGCCAGCGATGATTCACTTGTCAGCATGCTGCTCCCATTCATCTTGTACCTTCGCTCCTGGTAGTCCTGGACGACATTCAGTTCTTTGGTAATCACTTTGTGCTTAGACATGCTCCATCGAAGCTGTTCTCTGCAAGTGACTTCGTAGTGTGATCTTCGGCATCACGGCACGGGATAATCTCCCCATCCAGTGCTACACTGTCACTTTTGCTTCACAGAAGCTTTTTTGCATGTCCGTCAAGATGTCTAAAGTCATGAAGGAAGGGCCTTCCCTTCTTTCAAACCACAGAGCATATCAAGCCTGTGCTAGTCATTCAAGACTTCACCCTAGATGGCGACCTCAGCCTTGCTCACCGAGCCCGACTCGCGCTCCCTCTTCACATGCTGACAGCTGCATACACTTGACTGCCCCTAGACGGGCTTCATGCTCTTCACGTAAGTGGAAATAAGCCAAAGAACGACGTGGATCGGATGTTTCACACGATGGCACCCGTCAGCCGTGATGCAGCGCGCCAGCCGGGCGAACCTGTCCCGTCCAGACCCTTGGGTCCTCATTTCGGGTTTCTTCATTCATTTAGCATCTCACAAGACTGAAGTGAAACCTGCGAACGAGATGGGCTCCTGCGCCATCTAATCAGGGCTTTTCGTCTAGTTTCTTCACAAAACTTCCATCTCAACATTAACAACGCACTGTTTCATCCGCTTCTCGTCACTCGGTTTTGTCGTAGCTAACATTGCGAGCTGCAGCTCGTCCGCTCTTACTTCAGTTCTTGCAAACCAGTCATTGCCCAGACCCTAGTCCGTTGAAGATCTGTCACCAACATCCCATCACCAACACTTCCTCACTACGCGCCGCTTCAACTAGCGCACTTGTCGGCTTCACAAACCTGCTACAGTCAATCATGGCTAGTGTCTCGGATGATGACCTTTGGATCCTAGACAACGAAGAGGAGGTCGAATTGCGCAGAAACGGTGAGCTGCTTCCCTTAAGTTATCTTCATGCTACAGTCATTTTGGTAGCATGCTTTCCAGATCTCTGCAAAACTGGCTAACACACTCGTACACGCAGAAGATAGCGACGCCGATAGCGATGTGGCCGAAGTGTCTTCTGAAGACTACTACGAGTCTATCATGGCCAGCACTTCCAACACCCAAGAACCGAGCCAGAGCAGCCAGAGTCCCACAAGATCCACTCCAGCAAGATTGAACTCCATAGCTCCTCCGTTTGTTTACGAAGATTCATGCACCTTATGGGACTCGGTGATCCTGAAGGTGGGGCAAACTGTGGAGCTGCAAGACGAAGTCGAGAGAAACTCTACGACACTGCACAGCGGAGACTTTCTGCGAATTCATCAGATCATCCACAACCTGGAAACCGACGAGACATTCCTGCGCGGTCTGAGGTTCCGCCGGACCAAGTACTTTCATGGTTTGTTTCCTCACACGCGCAACGAAGTGGCTATGGTGGTGGACGTCGACGTGAATGATAACCGCACATTGGACGTGCAAGGTCTCGAGGACATCCCTCTCGAGGACGTGCTTAGGGTCCGTGAGCTTGTCATTACCACAGAGGATGTTCGCAAGACCCTTTTCAGGCCTGTCATGGAGAGGTGCAGAGGACAAAGTGAAGCACAGACGATCTCTACGATATTTAACGAGGCGCCCCTAGTGTGCCGCTGGATTCACACGTCAGTCTATCCTAGTGCTGCCGACAGAGATTCCACCAGGAAGAACAAGCGCGCCCTGCAAGGCGCGGTCCGGAGAGTCCCGCCGTCTGAAACGGACGGAGGGATGCAGCAGCAACGTGAAATCATTCACCCTCAGCAATCACCCAGATCCCAAAACGCCCCACGCAACAACGCCGTCGATCTTACAAGACCTATTGAAGATGCAAGACTCAAAGACAGTAAAACCAAACGGCCGCCTGCTTCCTCCGATACTGCGTCCGAAGCAAGCCCATCTAAGCGTCTAAAACTGCGGGCAGTGGCAACGAGGCGCAAATTGACTTGGGCTGATGCGTTCTGCTGCTCTGGAGGTGCAACAAGAGGCGCTGTCATGGCCGGAGGTGTGCAAGTGAAGTGGGCAATGGACCACGATGATAAAGCTCTGCTCTCCTTTGCTTCTAACTTTCCAGAGGCGACGCTGTACAACGACAGAGCGCAGGACTTTACTGCGCGCTTGTTTGACAGCCACGTTGACATTTTGCATCTGTCACCACCCTGTTCGTACTTCTCTAATGCGAACTGGAGAATCGCCGGATATGAGAGAGGAGAGACCTTCGAGCGGCCTGAGGAAGGCCTCGCTAGGGATGAAGAGAATAGGGCCGCTCTCTTCACCGTCGGACCGATACTAGAACACTGCCGGCCTCGCGTTATGATTCTGGAGCAGACCGATGGGCTTTTCTACCGCCATCACCGTTATTTCTCGGCGCTACTGCGTCAAATACTGGATGCTGGCTATAGCCTCCGCTGGAAGATTATGAAGTTTGTGGACTATGGCATCCCGCAGGACCGCAAGCGACTGGTCATCATGGCGTCTGCGCCAGGCATTCCAACGCCAGAGTTCCCGAAGCCGACTCACGGTCCTGGGTTGCGGCCCTACGCAACCATCTATGATGCTTTGCATCGCCCAGAGATTCCCGTCACTGCCACTCATCACGACCCGAACACCATGCCTAGGAAGGACGACCGCTATACCGACCCGCACAGTTCGAGGGTAAAAACTCTAACAACCACGGGAGGGGTGTTGCATTACAGTGGAACGAGGAACAATACACCCCGAGAGCATGCCCGCTTTTGCGGATTCCCAGATAACCACATGTTTGTCGGCACTAACACGGACGCCTACGCCCAGGCTGGAAACGCCGTGCCCCCGTCCGTGTGGAAGCTCCTTGTACAGTCGGTTAAGAAGACCCTGAATGATTTTGATAGGAACCTCGAGAATGAACCGGCTGGGTCTGTGACGCCATCAGGTCACAACACATTATCAGACTTCGCTATAACAACTCCTCAGCGGTCCACCGGAAGTGACAGAGCGTCATCAGATGTTGTGGACCAACGTCGTGCTGTGGACAGAAGCGCCAGGCGGGCTCGCTCGATCTCCCTGGCACTTAGGCCACGAACGCTACGGTCGTCATCGTCATCAACATCGTCTCGGACACTGTCACCGGAGCCTGTGGTTTCAACACCAGGAGAGGGGTCTGGCGGTCGGAGCTCTCGTGCCAATGAACATCGGAACGTCATTATACTGGACGACTAGGATTTGCCTGCGAAAGGGGAATTGAGCGCTCTTCATGCGGCCAATCTTTACGATCCATGCGCAAGTGCTGTCTCCTCTCGAAGCTCATGCGTCTTGTCGTATAACGCCGCTACATGCTCCAGTAACACCCGGAACCTGTCGTGCGGGATTTGACCGCATTGGCATTGTTGCGCTTCTGGCAAAGACCATCAGTTTCTGCTCCTTGAGTTTTACCACCCCAAGCAGTATTCGGATGTTATATGATTTGTGTTCCGTCCTCGGGCTTCACTGTCTCCGCCGCAGCCGTCGGCCCCTGGTCAATATTCAGCGTTATGATTGAGATGTTCACTGTAATATTGGAGACTGGCTCCAGTTCTCTTGACATCCCTTTCTGTTTCTCTGCACCGCGCTCAGCTCGTCTTAGATACCCCTTCACGGTATGCGTTCTGCTTATATCCGCTTTTCGCATACTTTCCGCAGTCTGGATACAGCGCAGTGATAATTGGGTTTGTGGGAATGCAGGCAGTCGAACTCGCTCTTGGAAGGCGTCACATTCCGCGCAGATACCCCTCTAGACGTACGTTACCAACAGAATCACTTCATCACACAGTCACGCTCCTGCTCTAGAAACACCGCCTCTCTTGACACCTACCGATTCATACCAGTTACGCGAAGTGTACACCACAGGGCGTCAAGCCTACGATGAAGCCTCGTCTCTGTGTACCAGCCGTCCTCACTCTCGCTCCTCTACGATATCTGATCTCCATGCCACCCCTCAGGCCTCTCCTCCACACACAAACGTCCCATCTCGAGACAGTAGGCCCTTCAGTCCGTCCCACCGCCCATTCCCTATCCCCTTTTCACCCCCCATCCAGACCCTTCCGCTGCCCGCACTTCCACGCACCCGACCCATCCACAGCCCCGCCCACCATTCCCAATGCCCCCCCTCACTCTGCCGCCAGCCCCCACCCACACTCGCCCCTGCAGCGCCATCCCGGTGCTAGAAGCCAACGTCCTTGTTACCCTGCCACCAGGTCCAGCCGCAGTTCGCGGCTCCCGTCCGTGCAGAGTTCGATAGCGTTCTGCAATCCTCGCTCCGCACAACCCGCTCTCCTCAGAAACCCGTGGCCAGCAGAGTCGGCCCATACGCACACCGCCACGAGAGCAGCGTTTTGCGCGCCGTGCTGCGCTGAGAGACGAAGAAGGGGATGCGGAGCGTCTGTGTGGGGAGTGCTGACTAAGTGGGACTAAGTCGCGGCGGAAGGGGGGGGGGGAAACGAAATCTGGATATGATGGACAAGGAGGGTTGGGTGGGATGGCACGGCGGGTTTATGAGGCTAATGGAGCGCCGCGGTGCTGGCGAGACAAGTTACAGGGAGTGAGGAATGGAGTGCCTGCTGGTGGGGCTGGTACGTGGCGTCCTCGGAAGAGGGTGGGAAAGTTGCGCAGGAGTATATGTGTAAGTTGGGGGAGTCTCTCACTCTTTGACCGCTGCCTCATCGGCTTGCGGAAAGGCGTTGCTATTTGAGATTGTACCGGATGGAGTGGCGGGAAAGAGTTGGCCGGATAGTGGATGGATCCAATAGTGGGAAAATGCGGAAGTGGAATGCTGACGCTCGATCCTCATACGCTGAGTGAGGTTTGGATACTAGATGTGAGGGAGAAGACGGGCGGAGGCGTCTGGCTCGGCGCTGGGAATGCAGATATGGGCTCTGTAGCACTGCGGGAAGCCTGAAGGTGCATTTGCTGTTGCCGCTATAATGAAACCAAGCTTCGGATGATAAGATGGTTGGGAAGGAGGCGAAGGAAAGCAGGGTAGAAGGCGAGCCAGAAACCCGCCCAGCAGCGCTCACCGTGTCACGTGTTGATTCCAGTCCATGGCATTGAATGTTGCATACCATCATCAACAGTCTCAGGCTCTTGGAAAACGAGCAACGTCAACAAAGCTTCTGCCACAGCGGCAACAAGAGTGTCCCTTCTTTCGCATCACTATCAATCACGTGATAGGAGAACAACTTCGGCAACTTCAAAAATCTTGTCAATTCCACCAGTTCTCTTCTACCGACACCGCAGAATCGACGACTGTGCGGTGCGGTGCCGTGCTCAAGCTAAAGCTCACAGATATGCCAGCCCGAAATTCGGATTTTCTCAAAGAAGCCCCCAAACGGAAAAAGCATGCGCGGCCACCCGATTACGAGCCAGAAACGTAGTTCTTTTACGTGAAACGCGAAGTTGAAGTTAAGCATTGCTAAAGAAATGAATAAATTACGCAAAAAAGCAGGTAGCCACCCGAGATGCCGTTTGTTTTCCCGTAGAGACAGAGCGCGATCCAAGCAGATGAAGCCGACCGGAGACAAAGGAAATCGAAAGGCAAAAAACCAGAAAAGGAGGGCGCTGCAGTTGCGAACCACACCCTACGCACGCAAGATACGCCGCAATCGTTCGGTGAGCCCCGAAAGACTCCCAATTGCGATTGTTCAAAGGAAGCGATTTGTTCATCAAACCCAGAGAAACCAGCTCCAGGTCCAACAACCGAATCGCCAGACCATCGCCACGCAAGGGGAAGGGGAGTTCCACAGCCCCTACATAGGCCTCCGATTTAGCGCCTTCAACATGTCGCTATCCGCCGCGCTTCTCCCGCCACCCGAGCCACCATCAACGATATCCGTAATCCTCATGCCCGGTCTGCTGCCACCCTGACTTGTCGGCGGAGGCGTTCTACCGTCGTTGTGACCCGCCGGTCCCCCCTGAGGCGGACGGAGACCATCAGGACCGACACCGCCGTATCCGTAGCCAGCCTGCCCAGGCGTGGTCGGCGCAGCTTGTGTATTCGGCGACGACGAGGCCCGTCCGGGGTCATACGAATAAGTCGACTGGGGGCTCGAGCGACGCGGCGCCGCGGGCTGGGGGGCGTAGTACGGCTGCTGCGGCTGGGAATGCGGGGGGACCGAGGAGTGGTAGGAGGCGTTGCTGGAGGCTGGAGAAACAGCGGCAGGAGTCAGAGCCGTAGGATCTGGATAAGTGTACGGTGAAGACTCGGCACCTGAGCCGCGATGGCCGGAGAGCTGTGATGCAGTTGCTGGATTCGGCGGCGGGAGCGTTGGCGTGTGTGGTTCATTGGCCGGCCGCTTCCTGCTGGTTGCATCATGGCTGCTCCGGTCATCGTACGGCCCGGGAGGGTACGCCGAACCGGGTGCGGGATACGGACCTGATGGGCTGGGGAGAGCGTAGCCAGGCTGGCGAGGGGCGTATGGGTCTTGGTGATGCTGTGGCGGGAGTGGCTGCCCGTACGCGCCGTAGAGAGGTGGCGTCTGACCGTTACGCCAGGCGGTTTGAGCGGGCACAAAGGCTTGGGCTTGGGCGGATACGGGAGTGAACAAGCACTCCTGCGAGAAGCGGACGCAGTTGGTGCATCGGCCGTCCTGATTTTCGAAGCCGGAACAGCGAATCTACACGTGTGAGATTAGCGACTCGGATGCGAGGTGAGATCTAAATCGTTGAGACAAACCTTCCGTCGCCGGCAGTAACGACAAGCGATGGCGGTCCTCTGACGAGGCGCAGGCTGGTGCTGTGGATATGCCATGTGCGGCGGCTGACCACGGTACATGTCTTGGGGAGGAGGACCACCACGATACATGTCATGAGGGAGAGCGGGAAGGCGATACGCCTGCTGAGGGGGTAGTGTGCTCATGTCTGGTCGTGGTTCTTGCGGTTGCGGAGGCAGCGAAGTATTTATCTATGGGCGAAGAGACAGTGTTAGACAGTGAGGTGGGGCTCTTGTGAGAGGTCACAAGTGGGAGCGGCTCTCTACATACGTGAGAAGGCGGAGGAGGGTATGCGGTGTGCGCAGGCTGATGATGTATCTGCGGCTGTGGAGCCCAGTGAGACGCAGGAGGAAGCTGACCCTGGCCGGCGTTGGGATGGGGGTACATTTGCAGGGAGTTTGGCTGTCGCGTGTCGCCGTCGTGCCGATTGTTCCACCGTGGCAAGCGTCGTATGCAGCGACTATCATAAGCAGGCAGAGGTGCGCCGAGGAAGAGATATGATCAGGAACGGCCGTTGGAGGTTGCACAGAGGAAAGCGGGCCGCAGACAAGCGACAGGTGCGGTAATGCGATGCGAGGGCGGGTCTGCGCAGGTGAATGAGGAAAGGCAGACGGAAGGTGAAATGCGGGATGGGTGAGCGTGCAGCGGGCGGCGAGCGTGCAACGGGCCGACGAGATGGCGCGATGGTTCCTTCCTTGCAGCAGGCTATCCTAAAGCCTAGTTTTCTCCGGCGAGTGCGATGGGAGAAGTGCTCGGCTTCAGGCGGCAGGCCAGTACGAGTAGGTATGCCAGTATGCCAGTATCTCCAGTCGAGTCGGCGGGCAGCGGGAAGAGCAGTTGCAGAAAACGGCACCGACAGACAGGAGGCGAAGGAATCCAGTGGTCGGGTCGCTGGGTATTTTAGAGTCCACTAGAATTGGCCAAGAAGGCGCTGCTGAGGCTGCGCTGCCATTCACAACAACACACAGTGCACACAGAGCAGAGCAGGGCAGAGCAGAGCAGAGCAGACGGAGAGGAACCCCACAGACCAGCAGAACCAGCGGCACCACCAACAGCAGAGCGTGGCCGGGACAGCTGTCCGGCGAGCGAGAGGTGCAGCGGAAGGCTCGCGGCCCCCAGGCTAGGCGGCCTCAAGTACGGCCTTCTGGCTTAGCCTTACCCTCAGCCCGCCAAGCGTCCGAGGTTGGGTTCCGGCCAGCGCTGCACTGGCTTTGCACTGCTGCGCTGCTGCTCTGCGCGGCACTGCCGATCTTCGGAACTGCGGCACTGCGACAGGCGACGAGCAGCTGAGTGTGTGAGGGTGCGAATGAGGCAGTGGGTGCTGGTGCCGGCTTGTGTCAGCAGCAGCAGCAGCAGCAGCAGCAGCAGCAAAGAGCAGCGCCGCGGCCGTGTGGAAAACGACGGCCCAGCAGCTGCAGCTGGCGGGAGGAAGGCAAGGCCCGCCGAGCAACACACGCAGCAATCTGGGCGAGCTGACAAGGGGCCGTGCCGACCACGAGAGGCGAGGGCAGGGACACCAGCGGGGATAGCCCTGCTCGCGCGGGGGCCGATGATGACGGCGACGGGGCAGGGGAGCAGGGGCAGTATCTGATAGACAGACACACACGGCAGACGGAGGGCGAGGGAAGCGGATGCCGCAGCAAGCAGTGTGAGTGGACAGGCAGAAGCCCATGCCACGCACGAGAAGTGCGCGTCCGCCAGAAGAATGTTGTATCATCAACCCGCGAAGTACCTTGCCCGTGCGACGCCGTCCTGGCGTGGGCCGTGGCTCGGACGGTGAGGCAAAAACGCCCGACCAGTCGACCAGGGCTTGCCACGCGACTGTCAGTCGGAACAAGCGAGAATGATCTGCCTCTCCTCAAATTTCGCTGCAGACCTTCCCGTGCCGTACCCCGATACCCAATCCTTCCACCTGCTGCCCAGCGCTAGTCCCAAAAGTTTGCCCCCAACTTACATACCTACCTTGCGCTTGCCCGTGCCTCCCCCCTCGCCTCCAACATGGTCTGCCCCCCCAATGCACCCAATGCACCGCGCCGTCACATCTCACACACCCTTAAACTCTGTTCACGGGGAACCGAAGCGGTCCAGCAACAGAAGCTAAAGCCTGCTGTCCCACACGACGTGCCAATCGCTGACCGGCATCCTTCACCGCGCTGCCAGTCCAACGCAACAGATCGCAGTAGGTACCATGGAAGCGCAGATGGTCCAGTCGCAGCCCGCGGCCAGATCCGGGATCTCAGGAACGGCCGGTATGTGCGGTCGTGAGCTCTGGCGTCACCGCCCGGGAGCCTGCATATGACAGGACCAAGCCCAAGCAGGAGCCGCAGCCCACACACTTGTGAGACGGCGGCAGCAAACGGACGCTGAGGAAACGTGCAACAGCCGTTATCCTGGAAGACGGGAGTCTCCACTTGCGCGCTACCCGATCACCAGACTCGCAAAGCCTGGGTTTCGGCGGCGTTGCTTGTTCGTCACTCGGACTCGATCGCCGAGCTGACAGGATGGCCCTTCTAGCGCCCTGACGCTTAGATAGGTAAGGCTGTCCTTAAGTGGAACGGGCCTCCAAAGTGGCCAGCTAGCCGTCGGCCAATCCCAGCGCCGAGGATTGGTTCGCGCTCGACGGTGAGGTTGTAGCTCAACCAATCACAGTCCAATAGAGCCTTTTGGTCAGCCAGATCCAGGGTTGGCGATTTGAGGTGGAGTGGTTCTGAGAAAATTTCTGAGCGATCAGAAAGAAGGGAAGACCGACGGCTGGGCCGTGGTGCAACCAGGGGAAGCGCTGTCAGCTCAGGATGGTGACGTGAGCGTACGAAATGTGGTTTCGAATCAGCGTCGAAAGCGAGGGGTCCCAGCGTGCAACTCCGTCGAAAAGATACGTAAACCCGGGGTGCATCCGGTGTAGGCTTGTGAGCTGGTCAGATAGATCAGCTTCGCCATGATCTGTTGGCCGTTCAAGGGGTCCGGGCGAGTGCTTTAGCCGTTTTGATAGTGGGCAGGTGCTCGGCCCGTACAGTCTTGGCTGAAAGACCGATCAAAGCCGCTTGCTCTACTCTACCATGCTGGTCTTCCTGGCATGCGCGCCATTCTCGTTGAGTCTTCGTGCTGTAACTAACAACGACCCACTCTACGTTGAAGCTGCAGACATGCGCTTTACCGACTGCTAGCATGGCTGCTCAGAACGCCTCCTTAAGTGGAAGGATTAGATCGAAGCTGGATGCACTCGCCTTCCGCGGTTCCTCGCAGTAGTGAGGAATTGAACCAGTTTGTTGCAGTCAGAAGATCAGCATCGCGGGTTTATGGCGGAAATCCCGTTAGCCTTTGGCGCTACGCCGAGTCATCCGTGATAGCGGTCGGGCTGGTAACACCACCAATCAACCGTCCCAATGGCATCTTCGGCTGCTAGCGATGCTTTCGCGTGGCGTAACTGTCAGTGGTGGTGGTGAGTGTTGAAACGGCACAGTCGGAAAGCATTCTATTGCATGTTCAAACTCTTGCGAGCACTCGACGATGCCCATGCCAGACGCCTCCTCGGGAATTTGCAGGACAGGGAAGAGTCGTCTAAACTCATTGCGTCTATGGAAGCAGGAAGTGCTCTTGTTCTGACTCGTGTCGACGGTACACGACAGAAAGATTTTCTGTGACCTGTGTAAAGTTTGTAAGCAGGTAGTTAGGCAACGTCACCTCCTGCAGCCCGTGGTTCTCATCACATCCTCGATGCCCGAGGGGAACTAGGGGTAGGCTGGCGGCGGATCGATGGCTGTGCCGCGCAATCTTGCTACGGGTCGGGGCGTGCACTAAGGATTCCAGCTCCATGAGAGGCGCTGGAAGGGACCTCTGTATGACGAGCAGATGTTAGGCATGCGTGGTCGCACAACAGCCTATGTGTGGAAGAACACTCGCGCGGCGACACCGAAAGAACAGGCGCCGCTTGATCGCACATACGCCGGCTCGAGGTCACGCCTGCATGGCGATGCTCAACTGCTTCCCAGCTCATAGCCGGAAATTTCTCTTTGCCATTCTACACTAATGTCCTTGCAGTGCAGGAAATATCTCTAGATATCGAGGAGCGACGATCCCTGTATGCAGGCTTGTGCTTAGCAGCATCTTAAGCAAACGCGTATGAGCGACGGCGTTAGTCTTGTGACGTTCGTTGCAGCATCGTGTCTGCCCGGTGCCTCGATAGTGGGTCCCGGATTTGCTTCCGCTACGCAAGGGCTTCTGCTGCTCGCACCAGACAAATCACCAGTTTATGCGGAGAGATGTAGAGACACTGCTGCGTCGGCTTACCGGGCACTGAGCAGATGGAAGTCATTTGATCCTGTTCGACTCACATGGAGATCGCAAGTACGTGATGCTCTCACTGTTCAATCCTTGTCTTCGCTCTAGTGTATGCAGCGCAGTGCCTAGCTGCATCCTCTCACCTCTTTGCTCGAAGGCGGGCTCTTGCGGTCCGCCGTCAGGGTTGATGTCGATCAAGCGGCCGGACTTCAGAGATTGAGTGGATGATTAGGGATCCCTTCAACTTACAGGCGCAGCAGCCGAGCAATGTTGATAGAGCGATGCATCAGATCAATGCAGCACGCTCGAAAGAGCGCGTCATCCGTGACAATTGTCTTCGAGGAATGCATGAGGTCCGTACGACCTAACCCGACGTTGCCATGGAGGCGGCCCGTCCCTATCGGCAAATCGACCTCTTCAGGCAAACTTTGCCGGACAAGGGAGGCCTGCGGGATTCTTGTCAGGAGCATTAGCTCGAACTTAGCAGCATCTACTGCAGGCCACCGAAACACTAATCAGCCAGCATCAGGAAACGAGGAAGGTGAGGCTTATGGTCGACACCTGAGGCCAAGCTCTATGTGCGAAGGGCGGGATGAGCTGATGAGAAAGGACGTTGTCGCGCGCATGAGCGGCAGCGGCAGCCCAAAGAAGAGGTGCGGTAAGCGACCTAACCCTCGCCCCTGCAAGCCGCAACAGGCATATCCATGCTCTGGCGCGAGTCCTGCCGCCTTAACGCCGAATGGCTTGAGCTGATTAGCGCTAAAACACTAGCAGGTCACATGATGCAACCCGCTATGCGACGGTCCGCGCCACAAACCGCTAACGAAAACGGAGCCTAGTGTCCGTGCGGTGCGGGTCCTTAGGCCGCAATAACTCGGGTGATGGGAAGCATGGGCTGGCAGCCCAGCTGAAACGACTCGTAACACTTGCAGGAGAGAGGGACGCCTCGCGGCAGAAGCGGCTTATCCTGAAGAAAAGAGTGACTGCTCATATTTTCAAACGGCTGTGCCGCGAGAACTGTCTTGCCCACCACACCCTCTCACTCTTGGCTTGCATCATCCATGCCGGTGTCGTTTTCCTCGTCGTTCTCATCCATGCTGTCCTCTTCATCGCTCGACTCTTCCGGATTGTCAGGCATGACCACGCTGTTCAGATATGAGATCTGCCCACCGTAAACCGTCAGCATTAGTTTCAGCCAGGCGTTAGCAGTCTGATCCGCTGCGAAACAAAGCCCCTGAATTAACAAATAGATATGTATGTTATCGGCACCCTTCCCCGCTCGGGAAGTTCCGAAACCCATCTCGACCAAGGGAGAGTTGTGCTGAATAATGCCGCTCCAAACACGTGATATGGGTTGACGGAGCGGCAAGCTTCCTTTCAGCCCTTGCTGAGATGCTGCGTAACCAGCTCGGCTCAATCAGAAGCAGTGTGCATATCAGGAAGCGAGAAGTAGTCCTTGCCGGTGCTCCGGGCTTGTGAAGGCGCTGGTAGTGTTGTGTGCCAGCTGAATGCGTCAAGTAATGAACCAAGGGGACTCACAAAAGGGACCATGGTTCCAATGAGTTTCGCCAGGTGCTCCAACCCGTTAGGTCCAATCACCTCCTCATCTTTGAGTTTCCTTCCGATCGTAAAGTTTCTCAGGCGGAGGAGTTCGATGTCTCTGTGATCCGCCTCGTAGTCCTAGACCATCAGAGGTTGTCAGTCACTCTTCTCGATTCCTTGTCGGAATGCAACCGCTTCAAAGCTATCTCTGCAGGACCTTTGATAAGATCTAGAATATTTTTGAACTCCGAGACTTCCGTGGCTGAGAAGGCTTGAGGAAGCATTCGAGGGCTCCTCAAGGGGTGCCTGGTTATTCTGCTCCGTGAACTTTTCGACCGTCTTATAGGGGGTGTACATTGCCCTGAATTAGATGGTCGAAAGCCCTCAAGGCTTGCGTTCTAGATTAGTCTGCTTCAGAGAGTAAATGGCCGTGAGAGACATCGAGCCACCACCTCAACTATCTGAGCGTCCTCAGAATGTAATTCTGTGCATTCTTCAGCTCAAAAGGCAGTGGCAGCGGTTTTGCGTCCGACAATTGCCCTTTGATGCTTGGTGTATTCTTGGTGCGCGTTGACTCCAACTCCGGCAACCGCACCTGCATGTACAGCCGAATGGTGCCCTAGGCGTAGCCTACCCAAGTTGAGGAACACCAACACTCAGATTTACCCTTCTTCCTACAGTAGCACCCTCAACTTACTGTCTTTATTTCAAACTTCAGGGCCTGGTTTGACAGCTTTTGATCGATTTATCACAAATTTCACCCTCTATGGCCCGTTGAGGTCGCTGCAGTTCCGAACGCATACGATGCCCCAGTTAAGCCGTCACGGTCATCGATCAATCCAGGAGGGAAGGAGCGATGAGACATCTCACCTCCCTCCTATAGACGCACGGTGCTAACGGACGAGGAGATGTGTTCAACTGACCTTTGGTTTCCTCTTCAGCGCGTTCTCCGAACTCTGACTGACGAAAGCCCGAACCGCCTTCTTTTCGTTATCAACAACACCACCGAAGAACTCCTTCCTCAGTCCGGCATCGGTCAGGACACGTTTGATCTTTTGTGGCTTTCGGTCGATATCGCGTCGCAGAAGAGCGAGTGCCCTCGATTCAGGCATCCACAATCCACCGCCTAGAGCAGGCAACAAGTCAGCGACCGGTCCTTCAACGCGTCGAGAATCTCTCGGGACATCGAGTATAAAGAGTGATTGGTGATAAATCGAATCCTGATAGAGTACTCTTAGTGCTCAGGCATTGGGCACGCCGGCGTAGCTGTCGAGGAGGGCGTAACGCGATGAGCGTTTCCATTTGGTTCGCTCGCATCGAGACGATTCCATCGGCTGCCGCTATTGCGACACAAGTGTGATGTCCAATGGAGGTAAAGCCCACAAAATCGCTCCATATAAAGTGATGAGGGTGAGTCGCTTTGCTGACTCGACTCAGTTGCTAACTGTGCAGTACGACAGCAACGGTGGAGCGAACCCAATGCAACAGTCGCAACTGAGCTCAGGACATATCGCAGCTATTTTCTTCGCACGATGTGCCGTCTGGTGAGATCCAGTAGTTGTCCTTGGAAACTTCGCACTGCACCGGCGCGACCGTGAAGCTAGCCTTCTCTCACGGTCACTACAACCACGAATTGCGTTCCCGCCCTCACCATCGCCATCCTTTCGAACCGAGACCTCCGTAAGCCACAATCGTGTTTTCGCGACTATACTACGGCGCTCTGCCCATAACGCCACGAGTCGATCAGAACAGGGAGATGGGAGAGACAATCGAAAGCTGCCAGGGTCGGTCGAACAACTCCCTTCGTGGATCGTACTCTCGCCTACAGCAAAGGCATTATCGCGTACTACAGGCGATGCTCAAGCTAGAAGACGGTCCAGACGTGATACTGAGGTTGAGGGCCGCGATCCCCTTGCGTAGACAGATGCAGGATTACAATGTGTCGTGCCCAGTATAACTCGCGACAAAAAGACCCGATGTGCTCAGTGGAGTTGAACGTGTAGTTGTCCTCTATGGCAAGATAGATCTGCTAGGATTTGGCTCTTGCGGTTAACATCTCTCGGCGGATTCGTACGCGCAGCTGGTGAGATAGCCGATTCAGAATCCTCAAATGCCCTTGACCGCGCCTATGCGTATAACGCGCTCGGATACGACAGTCGTGATTGCCGGCGCTGCATAACAATCGAAGATTCTCATGGCGCTTCTCCTGTCACACAACGCTTTCCACGGTTCATCCAGGACCTTTGTGACGGACACTCGCAGTCCGTGTCCTAGGTGGCTAGACGGGGAATCCGGAAGGTGTTCCCCTAGCTGCACGTCGCTCGAAGGTATTGCTGGTGCATCTGCTGATGACGGAAGAAAATCGGAGACATACCGACGAAGCTGCCTTGCGGCTGTACCTGCACGTAGTACGCCGCATAAGGGCCTTTGCGACCTGTACGAGACCTCGACAAATTCAGCACATCTACGGGATCTGGTCACAATTTAATCTCACCATGCGGCCGAAAAGTATGTCTAATTTTGGATACGGATGTCAGTGCGCTGTTCAGGATCAAGCACTCATGTTGGGCATGCTTACCTTGTATGGAGTCTGATCCTTGCTAAACCTTACGTCTCTGTATATGCGAAAAACCTATGCATGGTTAGTGAGGGTTACTCAGGCACATACTCCTGCATGATTGTGCTCACAATGTCTTTGATAGGTAGCTCGGGAATGGTCTCATCCACGCTGACCACTTTCTGAGTGAGGCTTTCGACAAAGGAGTTGAAGTCATGCTGTGAGGCTCGATAGTTCGGATCGTTCACTGGTTGTAGGCCTTGTTAGCTACAGATCGCTGTGATGAAGTCCAACTTTGCAGCAAGGCCCGTCCTCTCCCTATCGAGGCATAATACATGTCGACTGCTCCATTGGCTACAGAAGTGATTTAGACTTTGTTGAGAACCATCTGCATTACCCTAATGAGACTTTGACCCGGCATGAGTAGAAGCGAGGCAAGGGTCCAGCGTCCCAATTCAGAGCCTTGCAGAGCTAGTATGGCGCCGACATGAAGGAGCATCTTACTTTTCAACCATTCGCGATCATTGTTTGCACCCAGCTCTTTGAGGAACAACATCGTATTCGGATGAATAAAATCCTTGGAATACGGCTGACGGCCCGCTTCCCTAGCCTTAGGCTTTTTGATGATGATCTGGTTGCCGGGGCCCAGCCCCGTTTTGACCCCCTGCCTCCACAACTCTTCGTTCTTGCTCTGCTTTCCCACTGCTTTGACATCTGCTTTGGGCCGTTCTCTCTTCCTTGGCTTTGCGTTTTCCTCGCTTGAGACATCTGGCTCACTTGCAGCCTCGGACGACAGTTCAGAGGACGCCGCGCCCCTGTCGTCGTCTTCATAGCCTGATTCCTCTTGCTCGGCAGCAGACTCGGCATTAGAAGTAGATTCAGACAACTCTTGGTCGTCGTCCGAGTTCTCCTCGAGATATCTGCTTTTACTTTCACTGACTATGGCCGCAGTCGATGAAATCGCTTGCTTAGTGCGCTTTGGCTGCTGACGGGCTGAGGTTGTCGGCGAAGGAGGACGCTTCGACGAGCTGCGCGAAGCCGTGACGTCTGAATTCGCAAGCGATCGTCGTGCCATGTCCGCGCAAAACTTATTGTCAGACTCGGTTTAGCAAGAAAAGGTTGGTGTACTGTAGTTAATCGGGATATGTTAAGGTTTCGAGAACGCTGCGACGGTCCGTGCGCGATGATGACAAGCTCGCACTTGCGGCCGGCTAGGTAGTCACTTTTCATCGACATCTTTCTCCTGGGTATCAACCAGAAAGTCCTTGTAATTGGGTTTATTTGACAAAGCCAACAAGGTCTCCTTCATCCTTCTTCTGTCATATCACAGCCCTGTCACAATTCTCGCCAAATCAAAGCGGAGCATTAGCGTACATGCTGGTTTCATGCCATAGAGAACAAACACTTGCAGTATACGAACTTATCTGACAGACTTACGGTCTCCTGCTAGCTATCATACTCGGTATCTTTTGTGCACGTCAAGCCATCAAAAGCAGGCCCGATGTCTTCCAGCTTTCTGGCGAAGAAGCGGAAGATCATACAGCAGCTCTCCGTTGCAGGTGAAGAGTACAACGATCTCTCTCCGAAAGGATCCATTGACGAAGGCATCCGTACGCTCATAGACGAGCTCAATAGCATAGATGGCCTGGTAACGACAAGCAGTTGTGCGGGCAGAATCAGTGTGTTCCTTGAAGGTCAGAGGAAGGGAGCATCGGCATCGGCTACAACTGAACCTCAGGGATCATCTCCTTCTCCCAAGCCACTGGCCGGTCCAGGCGGGAAGGGCGGTGGCAGCTGGCTGTATGTTTCTCACGAGGCTCTCCAGCCACCAAAGGTTACATCCAGTACCAATCTCCACTCATTGTTCGGATTGCACGCGAGTCAAGGCGGCTGTGAGTTGATTCATGCGCCGGGCCGGAGATTTGTCCATCTCAAATTTGAAGCCATGGTAAGCTGCATCCGCGATCCCCATGAAAAAGGACATCTAATTAAGCAATGCTACTCCAGATTTTACACCTCCTATGTGCATCGCTTATTGACGCGCAGAAGGTGCTGTCTGCGGCGCTTACTGCCGGGTTCCGCGAAAGCGGCGCTGTCAGTCTGACTTCAACCATTGTCGGGGACGAAACCCCAATGGTAGCCGTTCGCTCAACCGGCCTTGCTTTTGATAGCATAGTCGGCTACGTGACAGCAGAAGGAGACATTGTGTCTATTGTCGACGAACCGTATCTTGGAGCTCTCGTTGCCATAGCCAACGAGAGATTCTGTGTGAACACTGAGAGGATTCAGAGATTTAGATCAGAGATCCTCAAGCAGTACCAAGATTTACCCGAATTATCAAAACATACTTCAGACGACCAGAGCTCTAGCTTAGGCTGGGAAGATGCTGAAGCGCGGAAACAGCGCAAAAGGCAAGAAGGCCTCCAACGTCAGAGACTACTGCAAGCCGAACGCAGGCAGGGGTCTGACGTGAAAGTACCTGACACGGATGCACTTGATAGCGACGCGTCGCTGGCGCTAAATCGTGTTCTCAGCTAAGCATTAGAGCTTCCGCTGCATGTATGCATGGATGGGTTGTGTATGACTAAACACCGCAAAAAGTCTCCGAATGCTTCGAAATGATCACCCAGGCTATTTGAATGTCTCCGAGTGCTTCGGTGATTTATCCAGACCATGAACGAGTGTTCAACTGCTTCAAGACAGAGCAAACACGCTTGGCTTCCTGCGGAAGATGCATTTATAACGCCGCTTGCCGCATGCAAAGAACTCTCAACCTCCATCACCCAACTGCAAATATCACGCTGTTTAAACACCTCCGTCAAAATGTCACTTGCCGCAGCAAACAAAGCTGAGTTTGAGTATATACACATGGCTTCATCTACCCGTGCTTTGCTAACTTGCAAAATAGCAAGATGGCCGCGGAGTATGACCTCAAACCTGCCTTCGTCAAAATGAATGCCCAAGTGACTCAAGCTATCCGTGACCGTCTTGAATGGATTGGCGTTGATTGGATCTCGGATGAAGACAAACCGGAAGATGGCAAGGAGATTCGTCTCCTGGATTATGCCGCCGGGACAGGTGTAGTGTCCAGGGTATGTATCAGTCACATCCATACATCAGTAATTCCACAATTGTTACAGCAGCTCGTAAGGGGCCCAACAACTATTGCCAAGATGTTGACTCTCCCTACAGGCCCTCGGTCCGTATGTCACCCATACCCTCGGCGTCGACATCTCGCCCGGCATGGTCAACAAATTCAACGAGCATGCCCGAAAAGCCGGCCTTGACCCCTCCCGCATCCACGCCATCGAAGGAGACTTGTGCAGCGACCCGCCAACCGTCTCCTTTACCGAGATGCCCAGCACCAACTTCGACATCGCGGTTGTCTGTGCGGGCTTCCACCACTTCAACGACACCGAGTTAGCCACCAAGCGGCTCGCCGAGCGCCTGAAGCCAGGCGGTGTCCTCTTGATCATGGACTTCCTTACTCCTAGCGGAGAAGATGGGAAGGTCCCGGACGAAGTCAAGCACATGGTCAAGGTGTTTGGTTTTGATGAGCCGACTATGAGGCGGCTGTTCGAGGGCGCCGGCTTGGTTGACTTTGATCTTTGGATCATGCCGGAGAAGGTTGTGCTCGAAAGAGAGAAGGATGGGGAGATGATGAGGCGTGAGATAACTGTGTTCTTTGCCAAGGGGAGGAAGCCGGCCGCGTAGTCTTATGTAGTCCACCGCATCTGCAGTTTGTCTCTGGCGGGTTTCAACAAGATCATTGAAATCGTAACCGTGATTCATCTCCGTATCACGGCGTTTCCACCCTTTCATCACTATAATTCCTCATTGCTATGGTGTCCATTTTCAAGTGAAAGGCCACCGAGTTCGACGACATCTCTTATCTGCGGTCTGTTGCTATAGTTCCATACCAACGGTATCCCGGCGTCAGTGATCGATTCAAGATAGACTCAAGGTTGCTACCATCTCACACTCGATACAAACAATCTTAGGCCATTGCAGGTAAGACTACCAGGTCGACGCAACGTAGTAACAGTGAGCATGAGCAGTTGAAAGTCAATAGGTAAGAGTCATCGAATTCAAGATGCAATCCTTCCTCCTGTATCGCTCTGTATGCTGGTGCGGACGGAAACACAGCTCTTTTTGAGTTTTGAATCACGGGATAACAAGAGCAGCGGCGGCGATAGTGTCTTAGCTCTTGACGAATACTTTAAAGACGGTTAAGATTCAAAGCGACTTAAGCTGCGTGAAGGCGGCGCCAGAAGCACAGCTCAAATCTTCCCTTGAGGCCTCAGCATCCGGGTATCAATCGCGCCAAAATTCCACCAAATCCGCCTTTTAACCTTCAAACGCAATAACAGCCACACCCAAGCCTACAGCTCTCGTTATCAACATCCTCACAGCACTCGAAGTGCGCAATATGCTGACAGAGCTCGCACACCAGATGTAACCCCGTGACCCTGGTCCAACAAACCCGACACTCTTTGCCCGCCCTCCCGGCTCCATCTCGTCCATCCCCCACCACCAAACCCTCATACCCCACCATCAAACTCTCCCCCTTTCCTCCTACCGCCTCCTCCATCCCCCCATCCCTCTCCACCCGTCCCCAATAACTCGGCAACCCATCAAACTTCCTCACCTCTGCGCTCTGGATCGGCAGACCCCAGACGCCGAGCAAATTCGCATACGCCTGTCTATACCCCCTATACCTGGCCGCAAGCCCCAGATCCAGCAACGGCGCACTAACACACCCCTCATCATCGAAGCGATCCTGGTTCCGCAGCGTGATTTTTATGGACACGCCTAGTCCGTCGAGCGTGTTGGTGCTGTTTGACAGCGACGACGACGCAAGGAGCGGCGTATCGCCCTCGTCGTCGGAGAGCTGCTCGTGGATGCCGTCGTCCGAGTCGGGGGTTGAGGGGTTAGTGTCGTACGCCATGTCGGCCATGGAAGGGAAGATGGCGGTGCCGCGCCTGGAGGTCGCGCGGCTGGTGGAGCGGCGATGACCACTGCCGGATGGGACATGCACGGCGTCGTTGGTGCTCGCGTAGACTGTATTCGTGCCCCACGTGATGCCGCTCGTGGGCGCGGAGGTCGAGACGTCGCCGTCGGTCGTGCGCTTGGTGTGGGTTGGCGGAGAAGAAGAGGCCGTGATGGAGAAGGGGCGGGAGAGGGAGGCGAATGCGTTGGCGAGGTTGGATTGGGATCGTCGGACGTGGTGGTGCTCGGGGGAGGAGGAGAAGCTCACGGACCCGCCGCCCCGGTAGGTGCTGGAGCGTGAGAGTACGGGCGGCGTGATGCCGTCGGAGTGGGGGGTTGCGGGGTCGCTGGGGCCGGTGTCGCTGCCCCAAGGTCCGTTGGATGAGCCGGCCGAGCCGTAGATATCGAGTCTTTTCTCGAGCTTCTCAGATGGTGCTCCTACATTGGTGGATGAGCCGGATGTCGTTGGTGTCGACCTTAATGGGACTGAGAGTTTAGGCTGGAAGAGGCTCCAAGCAATCTCCTGAGATGGGAAGTAGTCTAGGGAAAAAGCTGGCGCTTGCATTGACATGGGCAAGTGCGGCTGTTGAAGGCGAACCATTGCGTTCGAGACGGCCTCTTTGGCCGCAGGTTCGGCGAATATGCAAGCCAGCATACCGAGCATTTGGACATCACCTAGCTTTTCGAAATGCTCGAACAGCTTGGGGATGAACCAAGACTGAGCGAAGGGATGGTGGCCCCATTTGACGCGGCCTTTGAGCTTGGGATTAGCCACAGCTTCTGCTTCATCGAAAGCAAGGTCGAGGCCGCTGTCTTTCCTCTTGATGCGTACCAGGGCTCGCTTTGCCAGCACGAGAATTTGCTCTCTGCGATGCTGCTGTGGCATAATCTCCAGTGGAACCTCGTTGGACAAGATAAGCTTGCAGAACTCCCAGATGTCCGCCAACTCGTGGCAGCCGTATCCCCTTGCCACGCCTGCATTGTGCTCGCAAAGTAATGGACCATCTCCATAGATCTCGTACTCTTCTGCTAGCGCTCGCTTGGATGGCAGGATATCGGTCATGTCATGGATTGAGATGTACGATTTCGGCTTTACTGGGTTGATCTTGCTTCCCAGACCACTGCCAAGGCCCGTGCTCGAGTTCTGTGAGGTGCCGCGGAACCTCACCATATCGCCACGCCAGGCAGCCGGAGGCTGAAATCGTCCTGGAATGTTGATGATGTCCTCTGAACTGGAGGTGGAACTGGACGATGAGGAGTCCAAATCGCTGGCATTCTCCTTTCCGTTGATTAACGACATGGGTTCTCCACCCAGGGAGCTGCCGTTCAAGCGGCCAAAGCCTTCAAAGAGGCGCTGGCTCCTCGATATCCGGTCACTCCCTCTCAGACTGACGAGGGAGAATAGAGGTTTCGGCTCCGGTTTCGGAGGGAAGAAGCAGACCAAGCGCCCATTGTCCGCCCACACAGCTCCGCACGCCTTAGGCAAGGGAACATTTGCGTTAGCATTGATAGTGCCAATGACATCTGTGCCGCTCATCTCCAGATCCTGCGACCGTACGGTGGCAAAATCGGCGCCCACACCATCTTCTTCATCGCTGGAGCTAGCAATGTCGGCCAGGTCAATCTCATCACCAAGCCAACTGATGCTTTCTTCGAGACCGCGTTCGCCGAGCATGTACCCAATGATGGCGTCTAGAGAACCTCGTTTTCGCGTCATATGGTAGTCTGCTATGGATTGGACTTCCATGTGCATCTTGGCCAAGGTGTCATCGGAGATGACGGAAGACGTCTTTTCGATTGTATACCTGGGAGTTGCATCTCTGGGATAAACTTTGGGGAACTTGAGGTTGATGCGGAGAAATGCTGGCTTGCTGTCAGCACCCCACGGTCCGCTGAGAGCAACTGTTGCGGTCCGGCCAGGCACATCAATCTTCTCGAAGGTCACTTTCTTGTACTTGATGCCAGCTCCCGTGATCTCATCGCCTAGGCTTTCTGGCGTTTCGTATGTCCAGCCTTGCTCCGCAGGTATTAACGACGGCCTCGAGCCAGGCCTACGAGCAGTTCCAGTACCGCGCTCGATCTTAACGCCTTCCATCCAAGTGATGGGATTCATGGCCCTCTTGCTGGCAACTCGAACCTGCATGCCCGTTGACCTCGCTTTGAAGCTGTCTGCCTTTTGATAACCGTAAGGCGCCGGAATAGGGGCTTTGGTCATTCCTGCAGCCTGGAACAACCCAGTCAACTGTTCTCTCGGTTGCTCATCGAGAACTGCTGAATCCTTCGAGACGCGTCGCAGTGGATAATCGTGGTGGAATGACTTGTAGACCGCACCGATTCGTGTGAGATTCAGCTTCCGGCGAACTTCCTGGCCCTTCTCGTAACCGACAGTCTTGAGAACGTCCGCATCGATCTTGTGAAGCCGAAGCTCCCTATCTTTTCCCCACGACACGAGCTGGAAATCCCGATTGTCGACTCCGCCTTCGAGGCCGCCGCGAGTTCTCCACAAGAACTCTTTGACATTATCCTTGTGTCCTCCAAAGGAATACACAGGCTCAACCTTCTTGACCTGCTTCGACCCTTCTTTGAGTCGCCGATCGTACATATGCAGATCCGTATTCTCGCGCTGCGGCATAGCTAGAGCACCCCATCCGAATGGCGTGTGCCTCGCCCGCCATACCGGAAACGGGGTCTCAATCACGCGCTCCGGCAAATTATCCTCCCTGGAGTAATCCCAGAACTTGATAGTCTTGTCGAGACCACACGTGAGAACTCCAGTCGCTCTTGTCCTGTTCCAGTCCACTCCGTAGATCTTGGTCGCATGTGCTTCGATAGTCTTCAGTGGATACGCGCCTTTCCTCTCGTCCCAGATCTGGAGGAACTTGTCGTGCGAGGATGCTACAATGTGCTCGTCTTGCCTATTCCACTTCACTTGGGTTGCTCCGGCGTTCCAGTCCGCAAATGTCATCACTGGCCTGATCGGTACCCGGAGGTCCCAGCAATGAACGAAGCTGTCGACGGCGCACGTTGCAAGTAGATCCGGATGGTGGGCGGAGAAGTTGATGTCAGTAATTGCTCGATCGTGTGCGTGGAGGATGAATTCTATCGGCGCCCGCGGGGTGGACAGCTCTAGATTCCATACCAAAGCCTTCTGGTTTGAGGTGCTGATGATCCAGTAGTCCCGTACCGCAAATGGCGACCATTGTACATCGGCAACCTCCCAAGGAGATCTGTGTGGAAGGTGTCGAGGCGGCGAGTACGGCGAGTCGAGATCTATGATATGCAATCCTTCGCGGCTACAGTATGTTGGTATATCGCCGATATAGTCCTTGTATGGGGTACTTACGATGCGAGCACGACATCTCGGCCACTAGGGGATATTGATGCCGAGCCAATTGCTTCGTTTACACGGATAGACACATCATTGTCGAAGGTGGGACTCTCGTACGCAGAGCGCACAGAGTCCACGACTGAATTCCTCTTCTCTAGCTCTACCATCCTTCAGTGTTCTTTGCCTTCGTGCTCCCCACCCCATCCGGCCGTCTCTATTCCCTTAGCCAGTACTCATACAACACAGGACCAGAACCGGTCTCCACGGTCATGGCGTCGATTGTGCTGCCGGCTGGACCGGAACCCGGCTGTGCGGGTAAGCCCTAGCGGCACGGGGCGTATGAAGCACCTAATTCCTCTGCCGGGAAGGTTCTCGTGCTCAGCGTCAACATCGCCAGATTGTGAAATCGTGAGCGATGGACTTGCGGTTGGAGCTAAGATTAGATCCACACGTGACCTGGCCCGTATCTCCGCAGTGTCACCGATGGCGGGCACCTTGGTTGGCGTGGGGCAGTGACGATACAAGCAATATGTCAATATCAATCTATCCTGACTAAGACCCTCCGAACCACTTGCACTCTGGCCCAACCTCCCACAGCCGTAAGTTACCCCAGCTCTCTTGTTTTCATCCTACACCTTCAGCTCCTCGCTTGACCAGCTGTAAGTCCTCGCTAACAACTTCTCTTACATCCAGCCTTGCCGAGAGAAAGACCTCGAATCCCACGTCCAAGAATCGCAACCAGGCAGGTAGCAGCTGCTCTTTCGGCCCCCCAGCCAAATACCGTCCCAAGTCGTTGCGATGGCCGCCCTCCCCAAGCGAATCGTCAAGGAGACAGAGCGCCTAATGGCGGAGCCGTAAGAATGCTCCGAACCGTACGGACAACAACTGGGCCGGACAGTTGACAAGCGATTGCAGCGTCCCAGGTATCAGCGCTATTCCACACGAAGATAACCTTCGATACTTCGATGTCCAGATACATGGCCCGTCGTCGTCTCCCTACGAAGGTGAGTGGGTTTGAAGATCCACACTCGCTGCACGCACTAAGCCGAACCATGGGTTGGGGCGAAAGCATGATCTGAGTGTTGCGCTGCACCTGTGCACCAGGTTGTGGTGCTCTGCAAAGGCAGAGCAGTCTGGCGACACCGGATACGGCGCTCTGAACTCAGCTCGGCGGTCTAGCTTTGGCGAAACCGTAAGATGCTAACAGGCCATTTTAACACAGGCGGCGTCTTCAAGCTCGAGCTCTTCCTTCCAGATGACTACCCAATGACACCCCCCAAAATCCGCTTCCTGACCAAAATCTACCATCCCAACATCGACAGGCTCGGTCGCATCTGCCTGGACGTCCTAAAGAGTAAGCAAGGCGCCTACCGTGCTAGCACCATCAACCTTTGAATTGACAATGTGTAGGCAACTGGTCCCCCGCCCTCCAAATCCGCACCATCCTCCTCTCCATCCAGGCACTCCTCGGCGCGCCGAACCCAGACGACCCGCTCGCCAATGATGTAGCGCAGCGGTGGAAGGAGGACCAGAACGCTGCCATCGCAACAGCGAGGGAGTGGACGCGGACGTATGCGAAGGCGTAGGGTTGCTGACCCATGCGCCGAAGCTGCGCACGGCTCAGCATCGTGCAAAGCTACCCTTGGCGGGGTGGCGAGTATCGAGTGATTGTGATGGCTACAACGCTGCTCATGGATACCTTAGGACCGGTTTTGGTAGAGATGCATATCAGCGGGGAAGGGGTGAAAATGGCGTTTTTGGGGTCTTGGGGGTGCCTGTAGGGTTGTTGCTCATACTACAGATAGAATCGAGGGCTGTTTATGGACTACAAGGAGTTTGAAGATAGGTTTTGCAGGTCTTCTCGGATAATGAGTGCTGTATCAAAAACTTACCGTGCCTACGCGTCTCGCTCGGAGGATTTTGCCCAAGATGATGGCAAACCGACTGATCGAACAACTTTAACGTTTCTTGTACGAGCCCAGTCTCTACACCTAGAAGGGAGTGGATTTCGGATCTCAAAGATATACAAGAGTGAGAAACTTCGACGTCTATGCAGTAAGTCAGTTCACACATTGCTTGCTTTAGCCAGGAAACGCTGCAGCGCGAACAAAGCACGATGTTCATGAAGAAGTTTTGATGATATAAGTGAGCCTCGGTGATTGCCATCATCAAGTTCACAGAGCACTTCGTTGCATCTATGTGTAGAGCTCCCTCTTGCGCTGGACGTCGAAATGCAACTACGGTTTGCTTATGCTAAGTGTTACTAGCCACGCCGTGAACACATATCCACCCCTGCGGTCCTACATTGTCCGCATCGTTCTACGGACAGCTCTGCTTTTCCAAGTGCGGCAACATTAGTGGTTGCGTATAACGTCGCTCCAGTCTTCCTGTTCCGGTCCCGGCCCCGGTCCCGGCCCCGGTCCCGGTTCCTGTCCTTATCTTGGTTCCTGTCCTGCTGTTCAGCTGGCCTGCTCTCCCACTACCCTGTTCTACTATCCTTTCTATGCCTATCCTACTATCTCTCTGTCCTGCTGTCTTCCCGTTTTGATGTAAGCCTCGGTGCAGTTTGCGGCGTTCTACAGCGGGACCTCTACTGCTCTTTTTAGCAAATGCACCTTTCACAAGCCGACTCTATTTTCGTATAGCTTGCGGGCTACCAGTGCAGACGACCTGTCTCCGGCCGCAAGTGCCGAAAGAGTCGAAACAAGGTATGGGGTTGTACAGTGCTTTCGGTCCTCATATGTCTCCCCAGTGTTATTACCTGTTTCGATTGCTGTCCTCTAGGGCGGGAGGAACAGAGAATGGGGTTCGAACGATTGAGCTGCAGGGAAGGGAATGTGTGCAGCGAACAAGCGCTCGAAATAGAGAAGAATAGAGGTACTAATAGCGCCTCGAATTGTTCCCACCATTTTACATCTTACTGATCCAGTAGCTTGTCCGAGAGAAAGGGCTTGGGAGACTGGTTCTTAAGAAGACATGCTGACATATGATCAGTTACCTTCCAGCGTGGGCGCAAATATCCGAGGAGTAATGATGATCATCTCATGGAAGCTTCGCACAGGATAGTCATGCTCGCTTCGCAGAGAGCTGTGCAAGCAGTGTTCATTGCAGGGGAACTAGCTCGAACCAGGCCATTATCATCGTAGATACGTTTGGGAGACCGCGTGAGTCACTGGCAAGGCCGGCATATAGTTGTGCGAGCTGCTGTGGTCCCTGATTTTCATGTATGAGGTACATGCATTCTTTTGCTAGATCCAGTGAGTATTGGGCGGAGGTTAACAGCTTTTCCTGGGATAGTAGAAACGTAGAAGCATGAGTGATATGAGCTCTCTTATCTCGACATTGGGTTGATGAAAATGCTATGCACAGTAGTACAAGTCCCGGAAAGGAACTGCGTTGAGTGGGCGGTGATGGAGCATCTATAGAACCGATAGGTCGCCAAATTTCTCCTGTTGCGGCTGTTAGCATCCGGCGACTCGACGCTTCGGACAGATGAGATGTTACCTTGTAGCCAGGTACCATCCAGCGACCCCTCGATACCAGCTGTGAAGTGCGCTCATCGATGTCTGGCCGGGCGGCAGCAACCTCGTCCTAGTAGCAAAAGCAACCCGTCAGCATCTCGCAACTCTCAGGATCCCTAGCCAGCAAAAGCAGCCGAGCACAAGTATACGCACCACAGTAAGTTCCTCAAACGGCCTCGCCTCCTCAATGTTCCTAAGCGTCTTCTCCAAATCCTTCAACTCGCTATCCACCACCCCCTTCGTGTCCTCCGCGCTCTTCACAGCCTGCGCCTCAAACGCCTCAATCGCCTTGATCTGGCGCCCAACATCATACGTCGCGGGCTTGAAGCCCTGGAACTGTTTTTCGATCTCGTCGATCACGGCCGTGTTTTTTAGTAGGGAGCGGTAGTGCCCGAAATCGACGGTTTGGGGCTGCTCGGACAGCACCGAGACTTTGCGGCGCGCGTCGTCGTTGCGCTTCTTGAAGGCTTGGAGGGCGGTCGCTGTGCTGCCTTTGAGGCCGAGCTGCGTGCTGAGCTTCGTCCAGTCGAGCTTGAGGGCTGCGCTGCGCTGTTGGGTGGGGTTGTGTTAGCACCAATTGGTATCTGGGTGATGTGAGAGTTCGAGGCGAGGGGCATTGGACGTACTCCGACCGACATGGTGATGGTTGGGGGGTGTGCTGAGTGGAGAGGGTTGTTTGCGGGTTGGATGAGGTCGGCGGTCCTCGCTCACAAGAGTGAGGATGAGGGTCACGTGACCGGCGATCTTGGGCAGCGTCAGATTTGGCAAAACGCGAAGCTATCGTTGTCGCTGTCAGAGGAAAGCGCTAACGTTGGCTAGAGCATAATTCACTGCATGGCTACTGCCTCTGCCGCTTGAGAAAATTGTTCATGTTAGTGTCTTGTGGAGGAAAGGATAGGCTATCACGTTGGAAGCATGTCTGAGCACTATGATTGGCAAGGTAGCTTCGAGCGACATGCTAGCGATATCATGCTTTTGAGGTTCCCAGCTCCGCTCAAGCACACAGCTCTATCCGGCATTGAGATACACAGAAACCATTTTCAGCCCGCTATGCACCTCCCGCTACCAGATCCGAGCCAGAGCACCGTACGTATCTGCAAAAGCCCGCCCTATATGCTAAGAGCCATGATGGAGTTGACAATGTCATTGTCGTTCTCCTTGAGCGCCTTGACAGCCTTCTTCCTCGACACGCTCGCCTGCTGCATGACCAGTTCAATGTCCTTAGCCTCAAGACCGGAGTCGTCGACCTCCTCTCCGTCGTCCTCGTCCTCGTCCTTCTTGTCGCTGGTGTCGACGGCCTTGCCCTTGTCGCCGTGGTCGTGGCCGGCGTGGTCGCCGCCTGCGGCCTCGCTTTGGGCGAGCTGCTGGGCGGCGGATGCTTGGGCTTGGGAGTTCAGGTCCTCGATCTTGGCTTCGCCGAAGATGCTGGGGTGGTGTTAGTAGTTGTTAAGGAGCTTCACCGAGCTGCAGGTGCAAGACTTACATCCAGGTGTTGCTTGAGGGGGACTTGTAGACATCCGGCTGGTTGATGACGAAGAGGATCTGTGATGAACCTGTCAGCAATTGTTCGGCCGCATACAGTGCCTGTGGTGATGCTTTCTAATGCTCAAAGCACCCAACAATTGGATGCGCAAAGAGCTGGCGCCCAATTCACTGATTCCGGGACAACGCTCAACTCACATTCTTCGGCCGCCTAAGCGTGACCCTCGTGATGCCCTCAACATGCTTCAGCCCAAGCTTAGCAATGGCTTTCCTGGCCTTTTTCTCGTTGCGCGAATGCACCGCGACCGATGCACCGGCCGGGATGGATGCATCGCCGCCCGCAGCCTCGACTTCGGAGTCAGAGCTCGAGCTTGCGTCCTCGACCTCGGCGCCCTTCTTCTCTGGCTCGTCCGGGAGCTCTTCAATGCGTGGGTTCGACATGTTGTGCGGTGTGTGTGATTTCGGAGAGGCTGTGGTTGTTCAAGCGTGTCGGGTCGGTTGTGCTTGGGCGAAATTAGGCGAGGCGGACGCCATCATTGGACGCACATTCACGTGAGGAGCCAAGCGTGAAGCGCAATGTTCAATGCATCTTCGAGAAGGTCACAGTTGGTGGATTAAAGTGCTAGCATTGCGTAAAGTTGGATGTTCAATCCCGTTTTACAATTCATGGGAGAAACCCAAAGCGACCGAATGTGCGAGACACATATCTGAGCTGATAGGACTCCAAGCTGTATTCGTGCCTTATCAATTCCTGCCATACCTCCTGCAAGCTAGTGTGTGGTGAGATAATACACGAATCGCAGCAGACAGAATACACAGCGATGTATAGGAGCAGTACACGCGCTTCAGATGGAGATGCCTTGCATTGTTGACTACCCATCTTGGATGCTGACTGTAAAAGGACGCTGTGTGAAGGAAGCTCAAGACTCTCCCCTGAAGCGAGAGGTCCTTTGCAATACTGTGCCGTAAACACCAAATCTGCCCCCTCAACCATTCAAGAACCCCTCATGCCTTTGCCGAAGCACGAACCTTTGCAAGCGACTTCTGGACCTCGAAGCGGGCCTGGATAAACAATCGTTAGCACATGCCTGCGTTAATTAGTAGAAAAGAGTGTAGTGTTCGCCTCAAACGGAACCGAATGCGCAGGTCGGTGACGCATCCTGGGACTTGTCGCAGCAGTGGGCAACGTGTTGAGTACTGACCTGCTTCCTCAGCCTCATCACCTTGAACTTCTCGAAATCGTTCAACTGCCGGCGCTTCGCCATGCGGTCCCGGTTCTTGGCCCATGCACTGTTCTCCCACTTGCCCTCGACCTCCGCCTTTTCCCATGCAGCCTTGACGGCGCCCGAGCCTGCACCGCGGGGAAGCTTCGCAATGACAATCGGTGCGAGGGATACGTGTGAGAGGGCGGCGGAGTGACGCGGAACGGCTTTGGAAGGGGTGTCCGACGGGCCATCAACAAGAACCTTGAAACGCTGTGAGCGCAATGCTTCTTTACCCTCCTACGCCCTGGTTCGGCGGCCAAGTGAAGGACTACGCAGAACTCACGCGCTTGTGGTCTATTATCTCGACGATGACAGCGAGACGTCCCTTGTATGGGCCGGTGCTGAAGAGAACAACGCGACCCGTCTCGACCAAGCGCCATTGTGAAGTCTGGTAAACTGTGAGCGTGGGTTCGTTTGCGTGTTCGGAGGGTTGGATTTACTGAGATGTCGGCGTCGCCCATCGTGTCCGTGGCCTAATGCTGGATTGTTAGCAGAGTGACCTTCGATGGCCTATTTCGAGCGCCCGATTCCCACAAGATGGAGCAATCCGCCGCGAAGCTGCCTGCAGTAATGGCAATAGAAGCGATCAGTTACTCACTTCTGTGATTCGGGCTTGGATGAAGAGTTGTTGTTGCGGGATGTTCGAGGTGCCGGCGTTAGCAGATGGGCGTGCGGTTGGAATTCTGATGTCGTGGGTGTCTCGCTTAGATGCCAAGCCCGACGATTTTCTCCCTCGCCAGCTCGCAACTTCATCTCTTCCTTCGAACAACACCAAGTCTGCAGCGTGATTGCTGTGGAGCACCGCACACTGGTAAGTCTCCTACATCACTGCCAGATATTTCCGCTCTTCGTGATGAGATAATTTGCGACTGACTCCAGTGACCGGAGGCTCCCGCCAGAGCCTCTCAACGGCGCTGGAGCCATGATATTCAATCTTACATATTCTGACTTCTTGCCAACGTCTACCTGTTCCTTCTGAACCGCCTAGCTCTTGGAAGCGGTCGCTGACTTCTGTACACAGTTCACACATACTCATAGGGCCGAGTATCCAGATTAAAGTTGAAAAGATACCGGCTACGGTAGTCGCAGCCTGTAGGTTGAAACTCTTTAGTGTAAGTGGTGTTTTCGCCTTACTCTGCTTCGTTACCTCGTTCGCACGATATCCAATGATTAAAAAACATACGCACTAGATAGTAACTGACCCTCCAGGGTATGATTATTCTCTTACACCAAGATCACTGAGGATGTTCCACTCAGCCTTAGCAACACTTTGTATATCACTTGAATATACGTACTGACTGCTTCTCAAGGGAACACGAGTATCCTCGCCTCTCGTTGTCAGGTTGTGCGCACATCGTGGCCAGTTTCAATAGCTATAGAGTCAACCGCCATCTTAGGTAGATCAATGCATTTGTTTGGTTGTTACGGTACCAACCATCATCCAGACTTCATTTCTGTATCACTCTCGTTTTTCCTGCCTGCGACACACAACACTAAGACAACAGCCCCACGACAACAGCCTGCACCATGGAACTCACTCCGATCAAAATCCGCGGCAAGCGGTCCAATACCCCGGGATCCAAGAGAGGCCGAGGCCGTCCGCTCAAGTCCGCTTCCACATCGGCAGCTTCTTCAGCGGTCTCATCTCGCGCGAGTACCCCGGTTTCAACAATATCCAAGGCTTCTGTCAGGTCGGCTAGACCATCCACCGCAAAGCGGCGGAAAACAGCGAAGTCTCTGTCGCGTCTCGAAGAGTTACCCCTTGAACTACTACAGATGATCTTTCTGGAGAGCATGAACATCGCTCTGCCTCGCAGCTCCCCTCATCTAGCCGCTATGCTTTCTGATGAGCACACACGCCTGGAATTCAGCCTTCGGGCATTTTATTGCAACGGCTTACTTCTGAATGATACCTCCGCGGACATGCCAAGGCTGCATTCTGAGCTCCTAGCCTGCCGCTTTTTCACCTGGTCCTATTTCCAGGTGATTCTACGCAGAGTTCACGAGCGATACGTCAAGGAGCACAAACTGCTGGACGATGAACATCTCTCAGCCTGTTCAAATATCTTTTGCCCGCACTCCTTTTTCCCAGTCGCCGCAGATGACTGGAAAGCTGATCTCTGGAAGGTTGAACATACTCCATACCTTCAGATGGGTGCATTTCAGATACCCGAGAAAGTTCTCCATGGACCCTGGACGTCTGACAAGGTCGAATTCCTCTCCTTGCTCGTCAAACTGGACGGCCGCGTTGATTGGGAGTACACATCCATGGGCGAAGTGGCTACCCAGGGTCTCTATGACGCCATACAACAGGGCTCAACAGAAGCGGTCGCGGAGTTGTTCCACGAAAACATTAGAGTCATACCCAAAACGGAGATGGTACGGGTAGCAGTGATGGACTGTGGCTTCGACGTGGAAATGGTTTACTTGTTGCTTTGCCATGCAGACTGTGACGATGGGGACGTCGATTACTACGACAGCAAGCTGTGGGCTTGGATAGAGCATGCTAATAGCAGTGGAGATCCCAAGGGCGCATTGCTGAGGGAGATGTTGCTCCAGGCTGACAAGAGAGACCTGCGGTATGCGGTACGTTCACAATACAAGCTGTTGGACTTGTAGAGTCATCAGTCATACAGAGATAAGCCAGAATATGGATCTGTGATGTCTTACCTATGGCGCCATCGCTGACAATTACGTTTCATTAGACCATGCTCAGGAGGGAACGCACCGGACTGCCGCCAAACCTACACAGGATCGTGTAGAAGGGGCTCAGAATATCTGCAAACGGTCATTTTGCTTTTTGCTCTGCATATTAACTTCCTGGGCACAACGCTAGGTGAGGAACAGCGTACTGGAAAGATCACTAGCTGGTTCCGCTTTTTAGAACTACCTCGGCTTCTCTCGTATGAAAAATGACGGAGGTATGCTACATGATCGGCCTCGATTTATCTGGTGTCTAGTTGTACAACGCTGTATACTACAAGAAAGTGGCCGTGCTGTGCCATAGACAAAGCCTGCGCAGCTTGCGAGTAACGCCGGCGCTATGCACAAGAACGGTCCAACCCCGCTCCGTCTATGAAATGGCGATGAGATGAGATCAACAGAACAAACATACAATGAGACAACTACCACCAGCTTACATCGGCTTGGGCGTACCCACATGGGCAGGCCACTCACTATCGCCCATACCGCGATTCTGCGGCTCCTGCCCTCCCGTCACTGTCCCCAAGCCCACCGCCGCACCAGCCGACGCCCCAAGGCCAGTCGCGGTGCTTATCCCGCCAGTCTCCGGGTCCCCGACACCTGGGGTCCTCCTCTTCCTTAGCGGCGTAGCCTGCAACTCCTTCGCCTTCCTCCACCTCTCAACCCTCTTCTCCGGCCCCCTCAACCCCGCCACACTCGCGCCCACACTCGCGCCCGGAAACGGTCCCACGCCCGCCGGCGGCGGTCCCAGCGCCCCCGGCCCTCCACTCCCAATACTACCATTCAACCCCATACTCCCAACATCCCGCCAACTGCCCCTCCCCCGTGCCCTGGGCCCTGGGCTCCCATGCTGATACCCCTCGCCCCACATGCTAACGCGCTGGACCTTGCGGAGTCGGTTCAAGCCGACGGAACACACGATGGCGGTGAAGACGGCGCACCAGGCGGATACGCCCCAGAAGCCGAGGTCGGACTCCTCGATGAAGTTTTTCAGGTTCATGCCGTAGAGGGCTGCGACGAAGGTGCCGGCGCCGAGACCGAGGGTGCCGATGCTGAATTTGAGGTCGAGCAGCATTAGGCTGTTGCGGTTTGCGTCAAGGATGGCTTTTACGCTGGGGTGGGTTAGCGGTTGCCGGAGTCGAGACGAGGGGGGGGGTTTGGAAGGGAAGGGGATATCTTACATCTCCTCGGTATTGCGGATGCTGGAGACCAGGTTCTCGGCCGCCTGCACGATTTCATCGGCGACCTTGTGGTACGACTCGAGCAGCAACTCCACCTCCTCGTGCTCCTCCTCCGTCCGCTCTTTCCCCGCCGCCTTCTCCGTCAGATACATGGCCGCGAGGTCATCATCCGCCTCGAGCAGCTCGTCCAGCGCGTCCCGCACGAGTCGCGCTTTCTGCTCAAACGTGCCCAGCTTCTTGCTGTAGATAAGCAGATACCTCAGCTTATCCCTGTCAATGTCCTCCTCCAGCTCCTTCAGGACCCGCACCACAGGTTCCCTGACGCCTTCGAATTCGCTCTCGAGCCCCGTCGTCACGGAGATGAGGACGGCTTCTAACGCGCGGAATTCGTAGGGTAACGAGCCGGCGCTGATGCGGCTTTCCTTTTGCCGTAGCTTACCTTCGAGGTCGTACATGAAGACCGATTGGGTGTAGGAGTCTGTCGAGCCGTAGGCGTCGAAGACCAGGACACGGTTGTATTTTATGAGGACGCGCAGGTGGAGGAGGTTGAGAAGGATGGCGGAGGGGCGTACGAGAATGTGCGGGAGGAGGGAGGAGTCAATCTTGCGGAGGTCGCGGGGGAGGAGGCCATACTGTGCGTAGGGAATGTCAGTATCGGAGAACAAAGGGTGGTGCTGATACCGTGGCATCGCGGCATTTCTATGATTCTCGCATTGCAAAGGATAACCTACCTTGGCGATCAGCTCGCTCTTCTTGAACTCCCCGTTTACAAGCGTCACGTTGCCATTCTCATCGAATTCCGTGCAGCGGAGCTTGAGCTCATTCGCGGGCCGTAGTAGTCTCCCCAAACTGCCATTGTCGTCAAGGAAGCTTGCGAGAGGCGGGAGGTCATCGGGCTGGAGCGAGGCTGCTGGTTTCCGCTTCTTGCTGCCGAATATATTCCAGAAACTTGATGCTCGGGTAGTAGAGAAGGTACGGCGAGGACTGCTCGTCGCTAAGCTGCGATGTGCCGTTGAAGGCAGGATCTTGTAGTTATGTTGCGAGTAAAGGGGTGGAGATGTGGTTTCGCGGGTGGTGCGAAGCGGCTGGTGCCCGTAACAATGTCGTCGCGCAGCGTTTGCATGCGAAGGAGACGGACTCGAGGCTGTGCTAGTCGAGGCAGCGCGTATGCTGCCACCCACTAGATAGCTGGTGCGGCTTTTCGAAGCGCTCCGTGGCAGGCTTTGCGCATCGGTCTGCGCTCGCAGAAATCGTAGTAATGTCGGCGATGGCACTGAGATGGATCCATGAGATATGGGCTTCATATCTCGTCCAGCTGTATATGGGCGTTGCGTATCAAATCCATAGGCTGCTGCAAACCGTTGTCGAGTTCGCGGTCTCCGATCTTGAAATCTTCACAGGGCTGCATCGTCATTAGCCCAGGCCAATCACGTGATTCCGAGCACCCTGGCTGTGGGCTCTTGGATGCGAACCATCACGGTTCAACAGAACTATGCAATCACCAAGACTTTATACTTATCTTACAAGTTCAGCAAGACATTGGCCACCCGAACGGCTTCAATAACACCGCAGGATCATAGCAGTTATCCATTCGCAGCCGGCTTTGATCGAACAATCTCCTCCGCTGGAAAAGAAGCGGATGTTGTTCTGACAGTGTTCCTCTTAGCTCTGGTCTTGCAGAGAAACCATCAAGCGGTTTTGCGGACGTAACAGCAGTAACACCGTGGCCATGCTTCAGAGGAACAGGTGCATCTTCGGGTCCGTCACGTACATACCATCAGGAACCTTCTTCAGCGTACGAAGGAGACCCACTCGACGCTATTTTTCAATTTGGCCCCCGGAGCTTCGAGAATGGCTTGTGACATAAGAGAGTCTAATCCTCCTACCGAAACCAAGGAGATATATGGCTTGACACGAGAACTTGCTTCATTGTCCGGGCAATGCACTCTTCCACACCTCGGGTTTGCCTTCGGTGTAGTTGAGCGAGCGAGAAACCTACTTCAGACGTTGGAGATATATGATGACGTTCGGCGCAGAACCTAGAAGAACGCCATCTAATCTTGGGGATACGAAGGGAACAGTACAAAGCCCGAGAAGCGGATTGATAGCATCAACTTCTCTCTTGCAGTATTGTTTCCATCTAGCAATGCTGAAGCTCGCGGCTACAGGCTACGCAGCAGCGACTTACCTAGACGGCTTCGGTTGTGATGCTGCAAGGCAGGAGATCAGGCCTTTTTGAAACACGAATGTTGTGCATCTTAAAGTGGTGTTCTCAAGATGCGTCCCGCGCTCGTGTCTGCCCGTCTACTCGGACTAGCTCACATGTTAGTGCATGGCCCGGCCCAAGTCATAACCTATTTATACGCAAGCTCACAGGCATCTTCCCTGCTGCAGCGGCTCCCGAGCAGAGGATTCGCCGATCGACATGCCAACACCACGGACTGCGAAGCTTGGCTCTCGGACTTGCTGCGAGCTGACTGCAACACAGGATGCCGAACGGGGAGCAGGATGGGGGTCTTGCAGCCAACAATGCGCCTTCCCCGCCGCCCAAGGCCTGTCTGCACCTGGATCTTCCGTTGGTGGACGCCAGACGGATGGTCCAACAGGGCTGAGGATGAGGCCGCCTTGAGCTAACTTAAACATACATACCTCTGCCTGTTGAGGCTTTGTTGTAATCTACCGTCTTTTCCAATGTCTCGCAATTGTTGGTAACCAAAATAGCTGCCAGCATCGCCGCATATTCCGTCAGGCTTCCGTCAGTCCCGAGTCTCTTCTTATCACTACGCCTGCTTATATCTTGCAACACGCCACGAAGTGCCACGCCGCGACCCGCTTGAGCTGAGCTGATGGCATCCATGCCCCTCGTCTGACAAGACGTCGTGTCCTCCCGGAGCGGGCGCTCCAAACGCAAGCATGGCAACCTCTCCTCACGATGTGTCCTCAAGCATTCAATCTAGAATCGAGCTGCAGAAGTGAGTACCTTTCCTAGCTTCATTGCTTCAGTCCAGATCCCGGAGAGCTCGTATTCGTTCTCATTTCTCTGTCTGTAACTGCGAATGAGATCTGGACGTTCTATGATTTTTGCAGCACCGTCGGTACGGGCAAGGCACTGATTGTTGCAATCAGACCTCGTTCTGTCTCCTGGATAAGCCGCCGCAGTGCATCCTCCTCCAGCCGCAGTGGTATCGACTCTCCAGTAGAATCAAACCATCCAGCCAATATGCCTTCTCAGCCAGAGCCCGGCGGTAAGAAGAGGAGGTGGAGACTGAGTAAACCCCAACAATCAACAAGCAGTCGTACCGGGACAATCTTGCACGCAGTGCCTAAGCCGGCTGGCCAAACATCACAGTTGGCACCTCTGAGTCCGCTTGAGATGGCTATGGCAACCTCACCGAACGAAGAGATACTGAACAGCATTGCACGTTCCTCGCACACAGACGCTATGCAATGTCAGGCGCTTCCGCAATTCTACTCCTTCACCGATGACAGCCAGACGGCATCGATTAAGGTAGACGAAAGGACGACGCAAAGTGAAGAGAAAGCGGCCATCATTGGCTACTGGAAGGGTGGAGAAACACATTGGGAAGGGGGTTCGTTGGCATCACCGGCACCTCACGCCGATGCTGCTCTAGGCCCAGAGACCACCACAGAGTCGGCTGTGAGTGTTGATCAAAATCAAGAGCCTAGAAAGTCTCCACGGCCAAGGATACAGGTGGTTATACCGGATCACTGGCGGCCCAAGTCCTTCCATGGTGTCCCCTTCTTCGCCGCGCTGCCACATCGAAAATTTTCACGGAAGACTCCGTCATGTGGAGTCGTTCCTCCACCTTCGGCAGTGGAAGAAGAAGATCTCGGTCAAGACCCCAAGCTGCCCCCTCAGCCGACCCGTGCCCCAGTACTGCAGCTACCTGAGGAGGTCATTTCGCCGCAGCCACTGTATCGTGCAGAGCATCCATCGAACGCCGCAGTACACCAGCCGGCTCCAAAGCCCACGTCTAGACCTTCCGTATCAAGCTCATCCAGCTCGTCATACGCCGACTACGACGATGGGACGCCTTCCAATTACAGCAGAAGAACATCCGTGACGAGCGTGCAGGACGAGCTACCTATTGCTACGGCTCACCCAAAACCGACGCGCCCTGAATGTGGACAAAGGAAGAACAGCGCATTCTCTATCCTCAACCCAGTCGCTGCCGGGGTGTTTGGAGAGTATAGCCCTGTGTTGTCGCGGACGACGCGGGGAAAGGGGGCATCCACAGTAGGCTCACCACTGGATGACCTGCCAATACCCTCACCGCCGCGTGAGCTTCCCAGCCCTAGTGAACTGGAGGCGGCGTTTGCTCGGGTACAGATATCTTCTACATCCGCAGCATCTTCGGCAAAGTCAATCAAAAGGCGTTCAGCCAGCGCAGGGAGCCGAAGTTTCCAGTCAAGACTGGCAACCCCAAACCATGCCACACCTAGTAAGAATATATCGAAGCGTATGCCAAGCCCGACTCTTAGCGAGACCGAAGCAGAACTTGAGAGGCACCTCGCTACCATCGCGGAAGGCTCAACGCCAATACCTGACGGCACTCATGAGCATACTCACCAGATCGAGTCGGACATGCCACCTCCTATACCCCGAAAGAGCTCTGCAAGACGAGCAAAATCCGATACGTACGTTTCATCTGATCGAGTCCTGCATACTCCGACTACCCCGGTTGCTCGTTCGACGATCGCGAGGGCTCTTTCCCTGAGGCCGAGCGTGAAGGGTAAAGCGCCTTCTGCGGCTCCGAACCCGAGTACTAGTCGAAGCAGCACCTTCCCAATCCAAGGCCAACATCTCAGAGGTCCCACCGCAGCCTCAGACGCCGATGTCTCGCCTGGCGGCGCCGAAACAGTGATCCTAAAGGTTTTTGAGGCCCTTGACGATTTCGACGATCTCTTCGCCACCGCCATTGTGAACAAGGGATTCTACAGCGTGTTCAAGCGCCATGAACTGTCACTGATGCGAAAAGTCCTCCATGCCATGTCACCATCGGCATGGGAGCATCGCGAGACATGTCCACCGTGGACCTTCGAGCCTGGCACAGAGTACGATGGACCAAAACCAGAATACATCCCGGAAACCTACCTAGAGTGCTACGTCCGTGACTCGTGCACAATCAACGCACTCCAATCTCTCATTCACGAGCGCTGCCAGTCACTCTTGCGCCCCAGGACCGCGGCAGCACTAGTAAGCACCGACCCGCAAGAATCTTCGTATGTTAACGACGCACTCTGGCGCATTTGGACCTTCTGCGAGATCTTTGGATGTGGCAAGGGTCGAGAAGATGATATTGTGGGCCAGATGGACTGGCTGAAGGGAGGTGAACTCGTGCATCAACAGAGCTGCCGCGCAACCATCATGAGCAGCGACTCGTTTGGATTGAGCAGCGTCCTGATGTGCGCGCCGGATTACTTCGCCAAAGGCAACGCCGGCGGTTTGACCGCGGAGCAGCTGTACGACATGACCGAGCTGTGGAACTGTCTAGGTGTGTTGATCCAGGGGATCTACGGAAGAGCAGTGGAGGCTCGGCAATATGGCGTCTTCGACCGCACCGACATAGAAGGCGGCGACATCGACGGCGAGGAAGCAATGCTAGGTGCGACCCTCCCTTTCAACCCCCAAGCTTATCCCTACTAACGTTTCCACGCAGAAGAATGGTGCTCCTACCTCCTCACCCACGGCCTCTCCACCATCCTCGATCTCGCTGCCGCCTCGACCCACCCAGACCCCACCGTCTTCACCCTCGCCGCCAGCAAAGGCTACATGACCTGGACACCCCCGCCACCCGGCGCATCCCGCAGCACCTTCCTCAAAGACGCCCTCTCCCGCGTCTACGAGGAGAAGATCGCCGCCGCGTTCGCGCAGAGCAACCGCAGACAGCAGGCGCGCGAGTCGTCACTACGGCGGTCTGCCGAGACCGCCAAGCGAAGAGAACGCGGTGCTTCGAGTGCGGAACGGCCCTTCAGCGAGTGGGACCTTGTGATGAACAGCCTCGACTCCGCTGGACGTGGTCCACCGCTTATGTCGAGGGCATTTGCGCAGCCCACGGCTCCGCCGCCGACGCTGAACCAGTGTGAGAATGTGCATCCTGCACTGCGGCCTGCACAACATCCACCGACACAACATCCCCCAGTACAGCACTATCCAGCCCCTGCCCCAGCCCCTGCCCCAGCCCCACGTCCCCTCTCAACCTACACTCTCTCCAATCCGCACGTGCGCGAGGAGCCCGTCTCGCAGCAGCACCCACGGCAGTCGCAGCTCTACAGCGACGACCCGGCGGTGGACAGCGCGGACCGGGCCATCTTCCGGATCGTCGAGATGGGGTTTACGGCGGAGGAGGCGCGGAGGGCGCTGCGGGTCACGGATCTGGGGGATGGGCTGCGGGTTGATCGGGCGGTGGAGTTGTTGTTGAGAGCATAGCGCTGGAGGATTGGGTGGGGGTGTTCTTGAGTTGTTCGTGAAGGGGTAGGGATGCGCATGGGATGGATGTGGTTGGCGAAGTTGAACATTGCTGGGTTCGTTTGCTGTTGGTGTTGGGCTAGGGTTCGATATGATACCCAAAGTTGACAGTTCTTGATCCATATGGTGTACTGGTTGTCTCCCTAGTGTATGGAGTCCATTGGCAGCAGAGACAGAACCGCTTTTGCTCCTATCTGAACATGAAATTATCCCGTCCGAGATACCGGCCAGACCAATCTCTAACAAGCGGAAGGCTACAGATGAACCCCCTTCAACTATCGAGAAGCATCAAAAATATAGATTCTATTGCTTTTTCTAACTTATATCGCCCATCTGGCCTAGGTGGAAGCGTGTTTCACCGGATTCACCTTAAAGTGAAGACCAATCGCCAGTTCGAATCCACCTGTCGTCCTCTTACAAGAGGCAATCCAAAAAACCCACCTTGTCTTGCGTCAATGACGCAGAAGCCTCCGTAGGCGCCCGCAGACATTGAGGGTTTCTTAGAAATAAGTTTTTTGCCGTTTTATTGTATCTGCACATGAGAAAGACAAATGCTTTTCGATCCGTAGGAGATCTTAACAATAGCCATCTGTACCTTGGCCTTTTCAAGGCTCTAAGGCCTGTCCAGGCTGCCTCTACTCCACCCCATCCTAAGACCTCATACGAAGCCTCTATGTCTACACGTTCCTCGTGCAGCTGGTGGATAGCATGTCCTGGGTCAGTCATTGGCCAACAAGCAATAGACGCGTCTGCTGAACCAACCAGCTCTTGTACTATAACAAGAGATTCCCTGTAGAAGGCGTGCGTTAAGCACCGGCTGCACGAGGATACTGTGTTGAAGTCTACTTGCTCTTGCAAGAATCCCAGCCCCGGCCCTCAGCCGGCCTCCCAAGATAGTGAACTAGCCTCGCGACCGCGTGGCTCTGCACGCACCAACATGGACCAGCTCGTGCAGTCTAAGCTTGAATGACTCTGCCCGTCGGCGGTATGACCGCAGAAGCTTACTCTCGCGGTTAGGTCCGGCTCTTCTGCCCCAGCAGCGGTGGGAGTCACCAGAATACCATCCACGCGAATCAGTTGCTCTGCTTTCTTCATGAATCCCAACTCTTCCGAACCGTGTCTAAATCCTCACCGTGCAAATGTCATCCTTGCCTTGACGCAGACCTTCCCCTCCAAATTCTCCAGCGTGGTCACGACCTCGACGTCTCCCGCCCCTCCCTTCCCAGCTCCACCCAGATCAGCCAGCTGCACCTGCTTCGTGAGATCCTTGCTCGGCGGCAACGTCACATCCACCGGCGGCTTCGGCGTCTCCGCAGGAACCGGCGCGGCCGCAGCCTCAGCCGCAGCCCTGGGGGTCTCAACCCTCGACCTCAAGACATAAAACCCATTCGACGTCGTCGGCTTCCGGTATGTCAGACTCAGCTCCTTCGGCTCCTCACAAGACGGCTCCTTTGCCGCCGCCGCTAGCACCGCTGCCGCAGCATCAGCATCAGCATCAGCACCAGCATCCGCGGAATCGGCCCCCTCAACAACCCTGCTCAGCCCCCAACACCAGCCCCCCGCCTCGCCAACAACAGTGGCGATGAGCCCGCCGTGCACGACGCCCGGCCACCCGCTCAGCGCGCCACCGAGCCAGACGGCCTGCACGAGCTCGCGCGTGGTGGGGTTGTAGAAGGTGCGTTGGACGGTGCGGGGGCCGGCGTGGCCGAGGGCGCGGGAGCCGGGGAGGGTGGAGTGCGTGTAGGGGGATGGGGATGGAGACTGGGAGGCCGAAGGAGAGGTGGAGGCTGTGTGGGCGGGAGGAGGATCACTGGGCGCGGACAGCGGGCTGTGGAGTGGGGTGTCTGAGTCTAGTCTTTCTGGGTTGCTTAAGGAGGATGGGGAGGGAGGAGAGGGGGACAGGGGCTTGGAGGTTGGGGAGCGCGACGCGGGAGGGTCGAGTTCGATCCAGGGGTTCGGCGCCGCTGCTGCTTCTACGGCTTCTGCGACTTGCGGCTCAGGGGTCGGGAGCTTGTCGAGCTTGACGTCCTGATGCAGAGGCCCTGCTCCCTTCTTCCTTGCCCGTCTCTCTTCCGCCCTCTTCGCCCGCCTCTGCTGCGCCTCCTGCGCCTGCTCCCGCGCAGGCCATCCGAAGAACGCGCTGTCCGCCTGGGGGTTGGAGAGGTGGCGTTCACGGTGCAAGTCTCGCAACCTCTCGGCCCTGTACTGGAACCCCGCTCCTTCCATACGCTTTGGCGATCTCCTCAACTCTTTGACAATCTCCAACTCATCGACTTCGTCCTCGAGCTCTGCAAGCACTTTTGCATCCTTCTCGCTCCCGGGCTCCGGAAGCGGCGCCGGCGCAACGGTATGGCTAAAGATGACACCGAAGAGCGCGCCTATGCTTAGCGCGGTGGCCACGAAGGTCCACCTCTGAAGGGTGTCGAGAGACGGGTGACTGGACGGCGGCCGTCGAGCGGTACGAGCTGTAGGAGGCGCAATGGGGCGCGAATGGGTTGTGGTGGAGGACAATCGCTTGGTGGTGCTGTTGCGCTGGAAGAGGGTGGGTTGTTGCCATGACCGCGCGGGACGAAAAGTCGTTCTCGGAAGCAATGCGATAAGCGTCACCTTGCTGCGCGCTCGAGCAAGTGAGCGGAAGGGTAGCATTGTTGTTGTAGTATGGATCAGAAGTGAGCTTGGAGGTTCAATTGAAGACGCTGCTCATTGGTGGTCGAACGCGGGTAAGGCGTAAAGCTTGGCTTTGCGGAACTCCACGTTGCGAAAGGATTAAGAATAGCCAAGCCCTCTTGGCAGCGAATTCAAAAAAATCCTCTTTCACAGATATCCACCTGTAGCGCAATCAATTTATATGTAGCTTCTATAGAGAGGCTTATTTTGTTCCTAAAAGCATATGCTATAACTAGAGATAGTAAAATTAAGACTACTCTTAATATCTATAGCATAGTTTCTAAAAAGACGATTTATTCTTATAAGCTTGGTTTTTCTAGAATCTCTTGGCCAGAAAAACTCCGCATACTAATCTTAAGTAATAGAAAGAGTAAATATAAGATCTCTTTATAATTATAAAGACTAGCCTTAAGATTATGTATCTATAGTTATAGCGCACGCTTCTACGACTAGAATAAGCCTCTATTCATAAAACCTACATGTAAGATAGTTATGCTATAACTAGGTATCTTCGAACGAGATTTTCTGAATTTCGCTGCCAAGAGGGCTTGGCAATTCTCAACCCTTCTGCAATGCGGAGTATGCTTGGCTGACGACTCTGGCTATTTTGCTGCTGCCGACCAAATAATTGCGGCACGATATCATTTGTACCTGTAAAGGCGACTCGGCGATCCTTGAGAACTGAGAAAAAAGCACCCTGTAGAGACCTGTTTCGACCATGAGTTCAGAAAGTACGCCGGAGTCAATCGCTGCTCTTGCCGCCGACTGGTGCGGCCGTGGCTCGCACGTTGAGTTTGAGACTAATGAGACCGTCCCCTTGCGGGAAGAAAGATTCCTGGGGTATGGCGTTAACGGAGGTGTATGGGAAACGGCCTGCCAAGGTATAAAGCTTGCGTGGAAGAGAAGATATTGTCGGGGGTTGATTGGCCCTCAAGAACGGAAAGAAATCGAGGTGTTGAAGAAATTGAGCCACCATCACATCATCCAGCTAGTTGGTACCTACTCGCACCGCCAATTCCTCGGCTTGTTGCTCTGGCCTGTGGCTGTGTGTGATCTTGGGGTTTTCTTTGAAGACTTCGAGTTGTTCACATTCAAGTACCTTGAGGGATCAGAGTCCGAAAAGCTTGGATCCCACTTTCAAGGCATGCTTGACCGCTTCGATCAGCTAAGCATCGGTACTACACGTTATGGCAATAGAAGCATCAGTCTACTTCTGCAATGCTTCGGCTGTCTGGCTCAAGCTGTAGCTTACCTCCACAATGAACGCATTCGGCACAAGGATCTCAAGCCATCAAACATCCTCCTCTACCACGATGGCTTACGCTTAACGGACTTTGGGACCTCGACCGACTTCTCAGCGCTAACAGTCAGTGTCACTGACAATGGGGAGCGCGGAACCCCTAAATACTTTGCGCCAGAAGTCGCAGCTTTTCAGCCTAACGGTCGGGCAGCCGATATTTTCTCCCTTGGGTGCATTTTCTTAGAAATGATTGTGTTAGCGAGAACCAGGAAATCATTAGATACTTTAAAAGCGCTTCGTCCGGAAGCCGACCACTCTTTTCAAGCTAACATCCATCTGAGGGACAAATGGTGCGGTTTGATCGCTGGCGTCGAACCACTCGCTGTGCACTTACTTGCGGAAATCAAGCTGATGCTTGCGATCGAACCCGAGAAGAGACCGGCCGCAGAACAGCTAGTCGAGCATTTAACCGTTATCACTTGCTTTAAACCGAGCCGGCGACCGAGTACTCGCGGCACCGCCGTGCTTTTTGGTCCCTGCTGCACTAAAGCCATCACCACGCTCAGCTCCGCGGCAGTAGCCGTCGATGGCCTCAAGAAGGAATTGGAAAGCGTCACCAAGGCGCTGGAGCTCGCCCGGCGGGATGCAAAGCTCGCTAGAGACGATGCCAACGCTCTGAGAACGCAAAACGCTGAGCTTGTAAATAAACTTGCACAGACACGCACCTACGCAGACAATCTAGGATCCGCATTTACTGAGGGATAGGGAGGCAAGCCTGCAATGAAAATGGAGTACCGCGGTCGAAGGAACGCAATTTCGGGTCCGCCCTCCGAAGAGACACTGGCAGAGCGTGCGGAGGCGAAAAGAGAGGCTGAAATGGACGCATAGGGCCGTTGGAGGGAAGTACCTACCTTACGAGCAGACACCTCCTGGGCGCTGCCTGCAGTCAGTAGCGAATCTTCTGCGCAGCTACCCTTCAAGTCTCAGAATTTTCTTGCCAGCCCAACCCCACAACAGCCATTTTGGTTAACCGCGCAAGAGCTTCAAAACCGAGCGCATGAGCGCACGGAAGAGGGCATAAGGGCACTAAAGTCCCAAAGTAGGCGCTCGATGTCACTGCCGCCACCCGGACCTCAAAATCCTCTCATCAGAAATCCTAGACTTTCGAAGTGGATGGCTGAGATACGAATTGCACATCCCTCCGTACCCTAGACAGTCTGGAGACCTCTTCTGGTTTTAGGCTACCATATATCTCAGTTGTCTCCGAGATTGGCTTCGATCATATTACCTAGAGCAATTGGACGCTTTCCGGAAGAGAAATCCGGCTGCTGATACCGTGGCAAGCAGACCAGAATGCCAAGCAAAAAGATTGCCCTCGGTGCAAGCAGAAGGAGGATGGAATCTGCGCGACTTTGTAAAGCACCTGAAAGCCTCTTTGGAGGTGAAACAGATTGGTGTGGCAATGCTGGTGTTCAGCAAGGCGTTGACGTTTGATGATGCATTCGATATGCAAGGGAGGCCTCCGGCTTTGCATGTGGCGTCAGGTTCTGGTAGTTGATTAAACACGCTGGGCAAGAAGAGCTTTAGCGCTCCTAGGCGACGCCCTCGTAGAGGCTGTGAGAAGAGCTTAGAGCAGAACCATTATAATTATCGCCGACTAGTCTATCGTACAACCACCGAGCTCATGCACGAACGCTGAACGAAAACGCAACAAGAACCATAATGCAGGAACAGGAAAGGGGTATCGAGGATGCAGTCCGTCTCCCAACATCGTAATCAAGCGCTAGCATGGGGGTATCGAGCCATCGCCGTAACGAAGAGCCGCGGGTGTTCCGAGAGAAGTCGAGAGTGTTGCGGAAGAATGTGCTGGTCGGCGACCGTCGAAGACCTCGGACAACAGGAGCCGTCCAGATGCTTGGGGAGGCCGTGCAGCTTCGGTCGTCGTAGAATCTACCATCTTTTCAGCCACCACGAGGTCTCGCTTTCAACCACTTCTCCTCCCCTCGCTAGACTCTACTCGTCGTCCCTCTCCTCCGCCCCGCCCGGCCGCATGTGAGGCAAGAGATGATGATGTTGAAGACGGAGACGATGCCGTTGATGATGGCGTGGAAGATGGAGCCGATGGCGTTGACGACGGCCATGAGGCAGGCGCCTATCGACTGGAAGACGGACTTGATCTGCGGGGATTGTTAGTGGTGAAGAGACAGAATGTGCGGCTGGATGTTAGGAGGGGTAGTCGGGTGTGGACACGAGGAAAGGGGGCTGGGCTGGACGTACGCAGGATACTACGGCACCCATTTTGACGGGATGTTCTCGTTGTTGTCTCTTTGCTTGATCGTGGACTCTTGAGTTGATGTATGCGCGGTGGGATGTTGCTGTGCAATGAGAATCTTCGAGGTCTTTGTGTTTATTGGTGTGATGTGGAAGAAGAAGAAGAGAGGCGCAGAACAGCGAGGAATGCCACTTTTGTTTGCCCTGCCCCCAAAAAAAAACCAAGGCAGGCGCGCGCGACACCGTGCGTCGTATCGCCCGTCCAAGCTCCTCCCTTCACTCGTCCGTGCAACGAAACGCTCCTTCACCCATGCCGTCATGTCCGCTGCCAACGTCGCGCCTGCCACTCCATCTTTCCTCATCCGACATGGCCTACTCAATCTCACTCCCTTCCATCTCTCAAGCTACGCAGAAAGTGGCATATCAGCACGCCCATCACCTCTCTAATCACTACAGAGGCAGCCTCGACAAGCATGGTGCCAGCCCTCTCAAACCTGCTTTCCCTGTCATCGTTCCTGTCCGCATCCCTGCCCGCATCCCTGCCCACTTCTCGGAATCGTAGTGATCGGCGCTGCATGGCCGAAAGCGGACGAAGCGAGCGGCCAATTTCCCCATCCGAGTTGGTGGCGCCATTTTCCCATGAAGCTTGTTTCCGTGTCATGCGATCAAGGTGGCTGGGGGGTGGCGCATGCAAACGTCAAGTGGGAATTTTCGCTGCGCCACGTCCTCCTCGCTTCTGCCAGCGATCGGGGCCGTCATTCTCGATCGTGGCGACAGATGTGCTTGCGGTAGGGCATCAAGTAACCTTCATCCAGGTGGAGTAACGTCACGGGGTAGATCGGGGGCATGATCTGCGTTGCTGGAGCCCCGAAGCTTGAGACACCGTGCCAAGCATCACCGGAATACTGAAGATCCATGGGCACTGAGGACCATTGACCCGTTGCTCTGCTAAGAAAGACGAACACCTGTCAGACAATGGCCCGGTCACACGTTATGTAGGTCTGTAATAGCTTTCGAGTTGATATCAGCTTCGTTGAATCAGCAAAGCATTATCAGTAGGAGCCACGGCTACTCTATCGCAATCCTCATGCCTGCTATCCGCAGCATCTCGAAGCAGAAACGCCAGTCGTGACCTCCCCCTCCCCCTCGCCCTTGTGAGTCTATACCGCCCCCCAATGCAAACCCTCTCAAACCGGGACGCCAGTTTCACGATGCAAATCACCCATAGGTGCCTCCCTCAGATCCACCCATGCTACATCCCCATCCTCCACGTGCCCAGTCGTCATGATTCGTTGATTCCATTCATCCGTTTTGCATTACCACCCCCCCTTTTGCCCTCCTTCCCATCACATCGATCTTCTCTCAGCTCGAAGCCTTCTCCACCGGCCGCACACCCCCAACCTCCACCTCACTGTGCAGCGTCCTGAGCACCGGTCTGTTGCCCGCGGCGCTGGGCGACCTCTGTACCGCATCACTCGGCGCCCTCGATCTTGGTCTGCTGGCATTGTTCTGCGGACTCGGTAGGCGCGCCACGTCCTCCCTACCCTCCGCAGCCACGCCCTCAAAGTCGCGCGTGCTCCAGCTCGCGCGGTGCACGCGCGCCCCGTACGGGATGTTCGAGTGGCTGCGCTGGCTCCTGACGCTGCCGGCGCGGCTGCGCGTCCTGTGCGGCACGCCCACGGGCGGCGGCGACGCTGATGGCGACGAAGGTCCTGCCTCCGCTTCGTTGGCGTCGTTGGTGTTGTTGCCCGTCTCGGCCGATGAGGCCATCGCAGCGGGATCCCCATTAATCTCCCCCACAAACTCCCTATCCTCGTCCTCGATCTTCGCGACCCGTCTTATGCTCGTGACATTGAACCCGACCTTCGCCTCCTCCTCGACCACCACCGGCGGAGGTGGTGGCGGCAGGTCCGTCGCCGCGCCTTCAATATGCCTGAAATACCGTTCTCTCATCCCCTGCCAGCGTCTTGGCCGGAAGTCCTCGCGGTTGCGTGTTAGCGACATGTAGCTCGATATCGCCCCCGCCACGATCGCGATGAGTAGCACGACAGTCAGGACGCCCTGGATAACGATGATTACGACACCAATAACCGTGGTCGGGATGCGGGCGAGGCTAAATCTGATATCAAACGCCGCGGATAGCGCAACCGTGGCGACCTTGCTGAAACCTAGGAGATAAACCACAAGCGCGTTAAGACGCTGCCCTTCGAAGGGACGCATAACGATGATAGCGACGAAAGTGATGAATTCGACGACCAGCAGGCCGAAGACTTGCGTCATTGGATGGCCGGATGCGCCGCCATAGAAGCACGCGCGGATGAACTCGTAAAGCAGCCAGACGACGAAGAACCACCAGCGCGTGCGCCGGAAGCGGGAGGCGAGCCAGCCAAACTTCTCGGTGTAGTCTTCGTCGTCGTGGACAGACTTTGCAGTAGCTGCTTCAGCCTGAGAGACGCGCCAGAACGGCATCGATCCGGTGTAGACCTTCTCGCCATCATCCTGATGCTCGCTAGCCCTGCTAAAAGAGTACCATGGAACAAAGCCTAATGCCTTCCGCCGTTCTAGGTTGACCCGGTCCGGTTGCGAGACGTAGTTTCCGACGCGGATGCGGTAGTAGCAGGCGTAGGCCGCGATGCCGAACATGCCGATCAGGAAGATGACAAAGACGATGGCTGCGACTGCGATCACGCCGGCTGCGCCGTCGTAGGTGAATTGGAATAAGCAGAGGAAGATGATCATGAAGAAGGCGATAAATAGTGTTCGAAGCACTGCCATCGCGGTGTAGCCGAGCCAGTGGGATCGGAATAGGGGCAGCCGGGAGTTCTTGACGAGCTTGACGCGGATGAGGCCTTCCACGATCCATTTAAAGGCGGCGACCGAAGCAGCGATCAGACCAACCAGGATGAGCAGCCAGATGAGGCCAGTGAGGAAGGCATTGGACGCGGGAATCTTCTGCTGCCCAAGGGTCCCGGCAAACCCAGAGTAATTTCCCGGAAGAGGCAGTCCTGGCGGGACCGGATTACCATACCACTTAAAGCCCTCAGTGGAATTCGCGAGAGCTCTCTTCGCAAGCCTGCTCTCGGCGTCGCCAGCAAGTACACTCCGGCTCATCAAACTCGAGAGCTCAGACCGCTTGTAGATCTTCGAGATGTCGTAACCACCGCCAAGATCTTCGTTCAGCGCGCCGGAGCTGGCAGCGCCGACCGCGGTAGTGTTGCCCTTGTTAGAACCGATAAAGTTGTTGATGGAGTTCTGCATGCTTCTGGTATAGATCATGCCGCCGGCCCAGGCGTAGTTGCTCCAGAAGGCGACCAACACACTCGGCCAGTTCATAGATAGCGCGCCGGTAAAGAAGATGTGTTGGAAGACTGCGAAGACGACGAGAACGGACAGGGAGTGCGCGTAGTGCTTCCGCATGGTTGGTACGCTTTGCCCGTAGATGGCCATAGCAAATGACGCGAGCATGGCTACAAAGGTGAAGATGCCCAGCACTGATCCGACGGCTTTCGGGTGAGAGAAGGTGTTGCCATTAGTGACTACGGCGGAGTAGCAGCCGATCTGGGTCTGAGTCGTGTTCGAGAAGATCCTCAGGATGGCCTGGCCCTCGAAGTCTGGTATTGACAGGGCAATAGCTAAGGGTGTTAGCCCGGTCATCAGGCCCTTGCTGCGCGAACTTACGAGGGATTCCAGCAACATCATTAGAGTTGATAGGGATGATGCCATTGGCTTCTATCGGAACGCCTGCATTCATGGGACACATGCTGAGCCAGGGGGTCAGCTTTGTTCACAGCAAGGTATCAGGGCGGATTCATACCTGTAGATGTTGGCGTTACAGGGGTTGAAGGTCAGGTCGAAGTGGCTCTCTCCGTACGCAAACACGCCGATATACACTGCCCCCAGTTAATAAGTACCCTACACCCTAGCTTCAAGCTCCATACTCATCAGCGACTCATTCCTCAACCCTGTGTTCCCAGCCAAGTGAAACGTAACCGTCATGTTATCCTTGTAGTAAGCGGCATCAAACCGGGTGACGTTGACCGTGCTGCTGCCCATGCAATCTCCAAAATCGGCAGTATACAGCGACGGTCTTCTGTTGTCCTGCAGCCATAACTTATTTCCATTGGCGTCTACGGTCGTGATCCATTGTATGTCGCTTGCGTCCTGGGCGAGTGAGACATGTAGGAGCGAGAGGACGGCGAGAATGAGGAGCAGTGTCGCTCGCGATGCGCGGAGTGTTGTTGCCATTATCGTGTCAATTTCTGTCTGAGCCTTGCAGGGGAGCTCCTGTACGGCCTAGGCACTCGTATGTTGCGTATCTGGCTCCGTCGAGCGCTGAGGTATTCGTGCTCACAGCGAGCGGGCGCGCCCAAATGGTAAAGATGGTCCAATCGCAATCGCGCCGAAGCGTATGTCTTCGATCTCCCGTCGATGAAGCTTACGGAGCGTGTTGCGTGTACAGTATTACAAACTGGCAGCCAATCTCTGGTCGACGCGGTTCGATGACGCTGTATCTCACGTCTCTTCAGCGGCCGTGTTCGGCGGTCTGGCAGCGCTTGTACCTCCTCACTCACAGGCGCGCTTCAGCTGTATTGAGGGCGATCCGATCATGGCTCTAGTTGGGCGATGGGTCACAGCAATTGTCGAGGAAGCAGGACGAGTGAGTGACTATGCAGCGGGCGCTGGTGGTGATATCGGAGGTGGGCGGAAAAGGTGCTGTCCAACAAAGTTCAATTCCCTGTTTGGCGCTCGCTAGGGCCGGCGGTACTTTGGTCGTGCAGAGGCCCAAGAATTGGCGGCGCTGCAGCTGCAAGCACCAACTGGCGCCGAGATGCAAGGTCCCAAGCACTGGCTTCTCGTTTACGGCTTCTAGAAGCTCTACATCAATGGCGGAATGCCCGCAGGCTGACAGTCCTCTCAACTGTCTATTTTGGCAAGCTGTTTGCAAGCTGCCTGCAAGCTGCCCCAGCGACAACCGCCCGGAATGCACTTCTCAAGGATGCCGTCTCCCAGCGCGCGATGATCGCAGCCAAGCTTCGCCCATCTCCCGCCATGCCGCCATGCCGCCATGCCGCCGTTCGTCTTCCCGTGCATCCCAAGATGTTCACCAATCGTCATCCGGCATAAGCTCCGTTTTCCTCGGTGCTTGGCCCTGACCGCACAAAACACAGAACGTACAGTATGCAGCCGGGAAACTCACGATAGCTCTGAACTTCCCCGCATTACACGGCCATATTGTCGGCCAATTGACTCAGAACTCAGAAGCTTGAGAGGAAGGTGCGGGCTCTGCAAGGGAGCTTGCGGCCCAGCGGCCAAGAGGCTGGGACGCGTGCTGTCGTATGCAGGTCCTCAGTTAGCATTACTGTACAATAACGTCCAAGAAGGTGGATTCGGTCATTTGACGCTTTGAGGTCAAGTCCTGGTTGTGCGCGGTGCATGGCCCTGGCCGCAACGAAAGACAAGATGCTGGTTTTGCATACGGCTGTTCTCACCCAAGAGATTCTGTTTGCCTACGAAGGATGGGGTATTTACCGAGGAAGCGGTCGCTTGATGGCGCGCGACCACAAGGCTTCTTAACACAGTATTGAGGCGTTTGCAGATGTGGGCTGGCACATTAGATATATCTTCAGTGAATAGAAGGTGCAGATTTGAATCACGCAAACTGGTTGTTGATGTTTCTTAATAGCATTAGAGGGTGGTCAAGCGGCTGCCGCTTCCTCAGTTGATACCCCCTCCTTCGTATACTACTAGGGAGCTAGTTTGTATTAAGCGAGCCGTCCCCTACAAATGCCATGAGTTCGCAACAAGATATATCACCACACCGTTACTCCCAAGTCGTCTTAGGACTTGATTGACTTTATTCGGGTTGGAGGTTTATTTTTCCAGAAGATCCGGTTTGAGGCCTGCTTATCGATACTATTACTATTTTGGCGCAAGAAAAACACATTTGCAAAAGGTACAACTGCATCGAAGCATGATGAGGGACTCTTGATGCGATCGAGAGGAGATCCACCTGTAATAGTACTTAGCAGGGGTTTATATTCATGTCGATTCAATGCGGAATCTCGGCCGAGTACAATCCACGAGTTCATTCTGAGAACCCGACAAATGAATCATTATCTAAATTCTGGGTAGAAATCTTGTATATCTTAGAACGTGTATTTGCATCTATATTGGCCATTCGATTCGGCCCTACAGCTCCCTCTCTCTACCCGTCTGTCAGACTCTCACCAGATGTACACTCACTTTCAGAGCCTGCAGGTTTGGGCGTTCTTATACTCTTCACTGAACGGATAGTCTATGTAGCCAACGCGAGACTCTGGCACATAGAAAGTAGAGCGGTCGTATTTAGTCAGAGGGATGTGCTGTTGGATACGAAATGGCAGGTCCGGGTTGGCGAGGAATGACCGACCAAAGGCAACGGCGACTATACGCTATATTAGCGACACTAAGCATAGTGAAGAGGGCCAGATGATTACCGTTCTTGTCTGCGTATCGGTCTGTGGTCTCCGCCGCAGTTCCAGGGGTAAACCCTCCTGCGACGATAACCGTTCCTGAAGTTCCAAAGATGTCCACCAGAAAGTCTATTTGCTCCGCGCGGCACTCGATGGTGTTGGAGCCGGATATGCGTGATTCCACGACGTGTAGGTATGCGATGTTCAGTGCACTAAGCTGTTGTGCGTGGTAGCTGAATTGAGGTCGTGGGTCATCCATTCCCATGCCTTGGAAGGGGCTCCAGGGACTGACACGGTAACCTGTTCGTCCCGGTCCCACGGCGGCCGAGACAGCTTTGGCAACCTCAAGGCCAAATCGGGAACGTTTCTCAACACTTCCTCCCCATCCGTCGGTACGGTTGTTTGACTTGTCTTGCAGGAATTGGTCACACAAGTATCCGTTCGCACCATGGATTTCAACGCCATCGAAGCCTGCCCGGATGGCGTTCTTTGCAGCTTGTGCATAATCTTGAATGAACCCTTGGATCTCAGATTCTGTCAGAGGTTCCGGTGTGGCTGCATCCCCGGACATGGGTATACTACCACTGGAGATCAGCTTGTGGCCGCCCGCTTTGAGGATGTCTGGGTTCGCTGCGCGGCCGAGTGCCCACAGCTGACAGAAAATGAAGCACCCATTGGCATGTACCGAGTCTGTGATGCTTTTCCATGCGTCTATTTGGGCGTTGTTGTAGATACCTGGCACATTCTTGAAGCCTCCAGCACGAGGTGAGATAAATGTTCCTTCAGTAATCAGAATCGTTCCCGGGGTTGAAGCGCGCTGGGTGTAGTAGTCCCGGACAAAGTTCAGCGGAACATGGCTTTCATCGGCGCGGTAGCGAGTCAAAGGCGCCAATACAACTCGGTGTTTGACCTCAATATCGCCAATGCGGAGCGGAGAGAATAGTTTCGTCATGTTGGGTTGTCAGAGAGATTATTACAGTCAACTCTCCACTTTGTCTTTGCTGTGAAGCATTAATGAGAGGGAGAAGTAGGTTTAGTAAGCTGGGGTAGTAAACCCTCTGGATTTCATTTAAATGAGATTGTAGGGGGGAAAAGTTGATTGTTAACAAGGTTGACAGTTGACAGTGATCGTGATCCGAAGAACCGCCGCGTCCATGCCACGCGAGTGACTGAAATCGCTGGACTCGTAAACTACCGGACTTACAACTCACTCCTAAATCACTGGAATTTGTTAGATTCATTATATGTCTAAAGATTTTTACTCTAGCCACCTTACCTTTAGGTATAGCTTATAAATGTTTATATAGTAGCATACTATAAAGGATTACGCCTGTTTATAACCTCCTTAAGCTGACTGAAGACCTATCTATTTTTCGGAGTCCGGCAGTTCCTATCACCCAGGTGCTTGCCAACCTGGTGTGGTCTGCAGATCCGCAGTTGGCGTTAATCTACTGTAGAAAACTTTTATAGATGTAGGGTTAGTCGTTTGGCGCCTTGGGAACAAGCTGTGGATGGTGGTTCTTATATACAGGTTTGCTGGACCAGTAGAAGTTCTCCACGGCTATAGCTGCCTCACACCTACCAAGAGAATGCCTTGTATTTGTATGATGCGGAGAGATACAAGTTCAGCAGGAGAAGAAGCCGTTCATGGAATGTCAAGATACTCTGTGGGAACTCACGGTATCCTGATCCATGTTCATATCTCGTAAAGAACGGAAACTGCAACTGGTCCAAGTGACTGCACTGGACAGCCTCGCCCACATCTTCCGTAGCCCCGACAACTTCCGGCCCTCCTCACTGTCATAGCCATATCTCACGACAACATCTTGTACGAGACCGGGTGTCTGCGTATATCGCCCACAAAATGCCTTCCCTTCCTTTCCCCAGCACACCGAACTGTGACACATGTGCTCAATGCTTCTTCCCACCTTTCTCTGTACTCCTCCCAGCGCTCGCCCCACCACCCTGGCCCGCGGAGACACCCAACTCCTCCCTACTGCTCTGCCCACCCTCCTGACGCTGCTGCCGTTGCCGATCACGCTTCTCTCCCTTCCCTTTGTCAGGCAGAGAAGAAGATGGGTCCAGCGAGTCCTGCCTCCTACTCCCTCCTTCCTCCTGAGGCTTCTTCTCCGAGTGACGTCGTCTAGATTCCGCCCTCACCTTCGGATCCACCTTCATTGTATCCTCCCTCCCCTTGCCAGCTGGACCATTCTCAAATGGATCATTCCTGGGAGCCTCCTCCTTCTTCTCTACGGGCGTCACCTTCTTCTTCGGCATCGCCACATCAACCCTGTGGCCCATGCCCCTCCCCGCCTGCTTAAGCATGGGCTGCACGGCCGGCGCCCAGCTCTCCTCCACCTTCTCCAGATCCCTAACCGCACGCTTCGGATCCCTCACCACCACATTGGCAACAAAATTCTTCTTGGGGTCTGCATTGGCCGTCACCTGCGCCCAGGTCATCTTGATGGTTGTCGTGTCCTTGCTTTCGGCGTCGGTGATGGGTGCGAGCGGCGCGGGGCAGGGCGGGAGCTTGAGCAGCATGAGCTCCTCGCGGGAGTCGGCGACGGTGCGCTCCAGATTGCGGAAGTGGGAGGAGTCGGGGAGTTCGCGCGAGGAGTTGCTGGAGGATGTCGAAGGTTTCGGCGAGGGTGCGATTTGTGGAGGGGTCTGAGGTCGTGCCTGGTTGCTGAGGTCAGTGCAGTCCGGGATGCGCAGAAATGTGGTGATCTGGATGCAGACTGTCAACTCACCTCTGCGGCTCGTTCTTGGCTAGCATCGGTCGCCTCGTCCGCGTTGGGAGTGCTCGGGCTGCGAACAACATTGTCGCGCTTCTCCTCTCCAGAGACAGGCCCGACAAGCGAGTCCTCGTCCAGCTCGACAGCTCGCCGCTTCCCCTTGTCAAGGTCAACAGGAATTCCAGCACTCTTCTTTAACAGCCAAGTAAAATGGGCCAGTCGAATTGTCTCATCCCTCTTGCGCAGCTCTTCCAAGTCTACGCATGTCTCCTTCTGCTTAAAATCACGGTGCAAGATTTCTTTAGTCTTGGCGCATCGCTCCGGAGACATTGTTTCTACGCAATGCTGGTAGTAGTTCACCAACGCATCCACAGCCTCATTCTGCGGAAGGGATGCAATGGGGTGTACACCAATGCTATTGACTGCGTTATCGACCTCACCAAGTTGTTCATGGAATGCAGTCTCCGCATCAATTTTCAGACGAGGGCTCTGAATCGGCGCGAGTTCGGCTTTGCGGGTTTTGGGCGTTGAAGGTGGTGCTTGCTTCGCAGGCGGGTAGTTCTCCAGCGTTGAGTCCTTCCGCTCGATATTGTTCTGCTCTACTGACGTTGCGGTCTTCCTCTTTTTCTTCCTTGGCTTATTCTTCTTTGGCTTCGCGGGAGCCTCCCCAGTAGCAAGAGCAGCAGCATCGGTGGGCTGAGGTCCCGCTTGTGATGCCATAGGAAACGCAAGTCTCGCAACGCTGATCAAGGGAGCAAAGAGTGACAAGCTCTCAGGAGCGATGGCACCCACCATCCTGTACTGGCCTCGCACTGGTGCAGGCGGCTGACTGCTGGAGATGCCGAGACCAACAGGCTGTTCTTTGACCCCAGAACCGCCCTGTTCCGTGATAGCCACAGAGGCCTTCTTCTTCTTCGAATGTTTCTTGGGCTTGCGCGTGGGAGTAGACGCCGCGGTTTCTGGAGGCGTGTCCGTGACCGCGGATGGAACTGGCACATTTCGGGCTGGAATAGGAGAAGCGGGTTCATCTGCACTGGGAATCCGCGCGCTATCGGTCACAGCAGCTGGCCGCGGGATGGAAGTGTTCTCTGTAACCGACGCTTTGTCTGCAGCTGTCACTGTGTCCGGACTGGCTTCCCCACCGTCATGGCTTAGGTCGATAATGTTGCTGGACAATTCCGGCACAGTATGGTCCGTATGGATTTTCAATGTTGAGGCAGCTCCCGTGTGATCAGGTGTGAAAGCCTGACCATCGTCCGCATCAGCATTACGTGCAGGGCTCTCCTCAGCCGGCGTGAAGTACTCGCTGGTATCAGCCAGTTCCTCTGGAGACCCTGCATCGTTGTTCTCGTGTGCTGGGACGACTTGTTCTCCATGGCCTTGCTTATAATTCAGGGCCCCTTTTTCTGCAGGAGAAGCAAGGCTCTCCGTGGTACGATCCGACTCGTTCTTGATCAAATCGGTAGCCTTCTCTTTGCCCTTGGTCTTGTTCTGAGCTTTCTTTAACTTCGGTTGCTGCTTGCTTGTAGTACGAGACTTTTTCGCAAAAGGGTGGATTGATCCAGTCCCTTTAGGCGTTGCACGACCCGGGTCTGCGGACTTCGCAGGTGACGGAGCAGGTGACTCTTCAGCAATCGACACTTTGCGGTCTTCATGCGCAGCGGAGCGGACAGATGCGTTCTCTTCCGCTTCGGTTTCCAGGATGTTGGCAACCTGATCCGCAATGGCAGAAGCTGTCAAGAGTTCAACCGAGGCTGCTACCAATGCGTCCTCAATAAAGCCTTGCAATGCACCGGCTGCGGTTTTGCTAGACTCGGCCACGGTCACAGCCCCTTCGGCGCTCAACTCGACATCTCCATTTTGCTGAGCGATTTGGGTGGTTTCTCCAGCGGCGTCCAACGACGGCAGAGCGCGGTCAGGCACAGCCTTGGGTTGAATTGGATTGGAAGTTCTGGAGGGTTTGTCTTCAACAATGGTCGCGGATGAGTCAGTTTCACTCGTAAGATTGCGATCTTGTTGCTCTTCGGTGACTGCTTGCACGGGCAGCACCGACGGAAGCTCCGGAGTGCGCGGGTTCTCTGGCACGAGAGCGGAAGTGTCGTCCTCAGCTGTCTTCTCAGCGCTCACTGTGGACTCTTTACGGGTTTGCTGTTTCTTATGAGAACGGCTGGGAGTGGTGCGAGCTGACTTTGGGATCTTGGCAGGCTTGCCCTGCCTAAGCCGGGCTTCTGGGCTTCCAGTGGAAATCGCTGGACTCTTGTGATTTTGCAAGTCGCTTCTCGCATCCTGAGGCGAGAACCTCGCATTAGACGGCAGGATGTATTCCATTGACAGGCGCCTGTCCTCAGTCATCGTGGCGGTACGCTCACGAGACATGAAGGCAGGCCTGTCTGCATTCGAACCCGATGACATTCGTTGGCCAAAGCGAGGTCTAGTTATGGTGTTAGCGTCACCGCTCCAGAGCATTTTCTCTTTCCTTAACGTTAACGTCTCCGCACAGGGTAATTTCTATACATCAAGGTGCTGTCCTGGGGAAAACATCAGTAGTAAAAAAAGATTTGAAGCACTCACAGGTGAAGCTCGGACCTAGAAAGGAAGCTTATGCGGCGAGCGTCCTGGCGGGACCGATCCAAGGTAGAGTATTCCACACCCGAGTAGACACGTGGTCGACCGTCCTCCTCGTAATACTTCTGCGCGACTCGCACTATCAGGGGTGCACCACGCACTTTGTAGCCGTGAAGCGCAAGTCCTTTGCGAGCGTCGCCACTGCTATGCATGCTAGACCGAGCATCAGCTTTGAAGCGAAACATTTTGCGAGTCACGACTTACTGTGCGAAGGCATAGAGCTTCTCATTACGGTCACGATTGAAGGAGATAGTGCTCACAACAACCTGTGCGACCTGCTCAAAAGCTTCTGCAAGCTCTCGCTCGGTCACGCCGTCCCGAACGTTGTGGATCCAAAGCTCGACAGCATCTTCGCGGTTGGCGCCAATGAAGTCTGTGCCGCATAGATCTTGAGCGTCAAAGTTGATGCGATTGCCACCGTCACGGCCAGCTGCACCGTTCAGTTGCGGGGGCGCTTCATCCAAGGTCGGGAATGGCTCGGTTGCTTGAGAAAGGAGACGGCTACCAAGCTGATATGAGGAGTCGCGTCGACCACGTCCAGACTGGTTCTCCAGCTCCCGCGTGTAAGTAGTGCTCTGGGATCCCGATCTATCTTTGACGAAAGACCCCCGGCGGACTCCCGCGTTCACCGAGACACGCCTGGAAGTTGCTGACTTTGCGGAGAAACTGTTACGATGCGGACCTTTGCTGAAGATCTCCTCATAAGCGCACCCTCCATTACCCTTGTACACGTAAGTGATTTCGCGCTCCTGATGAAAGGTCGGTCCTCGGGGATCGAACGTGCCATTGTACTCATGCGGATGCACGTTCCGTACGTTGGTGATATTCCTCAGATTGGAGGATGGAAAGCGGTGTGGAGGAGGCTGTGTGCCTTGTGGCATCGGCCTAGCCAGTTCCATTGGCGGAGCAAAATGTATTGGAACTGTTGGCGGCTGAGACGAAGGGTTGAACTGCATCTGCTGCATGACTGGTGTCTCACGTGATGCCATGCGAGGCATGGGAGCGACGAAGTGCGGTGATTGCATGCCAGGAGGAGCTTGTAGGTAGGTGTACTGAAACTGACGGCCGTGTGGGGGACGGATGTTCTGGACGTTTTCAAGGCCACTAAAGGCTCGAGATGGTCCAGAGATAACCAGGGAGCTGGGGTGTAGGGAAGGAGAACCGTGGGCCGTGCGAGGTTCTACCTGGGATGACATTGCGGGCGCACCCATCGGCGTGTCAGGGACACTGTAGACTCCGCTGGGTCCACGTCTAGCTTGCCCTTGACGGTCTTCACCTAAGATGTGTCCATGTGGATGGATCGTGGGGTGGGATATGACGCGTTGTGGCGGTTGGAGGAACGCCTCATCGGACACGACACGACGAGGATGTTTGGAAGACGGCGGTTCCAAAGGATGCACCAAAGATGCAGGAACCGGGAACGGCTGCGGCTTCGACTGGACTGGGATTCCCCCTGCGCATTGTGATTAGCTAAGAAAGTCAGGTCGGCTGGTGACAATAAACTTACCCAGGGCCGATGGTTGTGGAGGCGGGCCCGTTTCCCGCTTCATCCGCTGCTTGCCAACGACCAGTGGCTCATGTGGCGCGTGTCGAGGAGCTAGGCGCGCGTTGTTGGGTTTGAAATGTTCCTGCTGTTCGCGCGCCAACTGCTCCAATGCGAACCGTATCTGCATCAAGCCCCGCTCAAGAAAAGGTGTGCCCAGATGCTCAACGTCTTCCTTGCTGAATATGGAACGGACGTCAGGCGTCCGCCATAACTTTGGCAGGCGCTCGCGGTTGTTCATACACCAATCGACGACAAAGTGTTGGACCCTCGACAGGTTCCATGCTGCGATATGATGGAGAACCTTCCAAAGGAACAGGTGTGAGTGAAGGTGGACGTCGGCGTTGTCGAAGTAGTCGGGCACTGCGTACTCATGATAGATCTCGCGACATTGCTCCGGATATTGCTTCCATAGCTTGTTGGCGAACTGTCGGACGTCGTAGACTTCTGCGCTGCGAGCGATAACGGGTGGGTAGGGTGGTCCTTGGACTTCGCGCGGCGGAGATTTGCCTAGATCTGTCGAAAAGATTGCGAGGCGTCTGCCTTTCGCCTCCATGCTGATAGATCGGGACCAGTAGTGTGAGGTGACCCGCGTGCAGCTAGGCGTCGCGAAGGGCCAAGCTGGTGTTGAAAGTGTTGGGCGTTGGAACGACAAGATAAGGTACTGGGATTGGAGCTTGGATATTGAGCGAAGGTAATGGATGAGAGAGAAAATCACGCTGAAAGCAAATCGAGGAGACGCAATAGCTCAGACGAAGCTCGATTGTCGACTCTAGCAAATGAAGGCGAAGAGGAAAGCGGAGTGTCGAGGTTGTTGTGGGTTGTTTTGGAGCAGTTGCTGGAAGGAGTCGCTTGAGAGGGCACCTGCGCCTTCACTTCACATAAGGAGTGACGCAATTTTTCCATCGAGAGACTGTGAACGGCCGGCCGATTCCTTCGGTGAGAGAACAGGAGTTGGAGCGTCTATTCACAGTGACATTACAGTGGAAGATTGCTTGCTTCACTTCGACAGTCAAACTATCGTACAAACCTCAACGCCGGCCCTGCCTCACACCGCAGCTTTCTGCTCCCAGTCATATGTGTGCTCCAAGCTGGCAAGTTCACTTATGACCTAGCCGTGGGCATGGTTCTATCAATAGCCTGTGAAGACACAGAGCTTTCACTCGCAAGTCATTGCTAGAGATCAATGGCTCAGGCTTCGCGAAGTCCTGCCGTATGTTACATATGCAGATCATTCGATAACAATCGTTTTGGGCACTTCCAGTGAAACCCGAGTAGAACTTACGACAGTCGGGCCGAACGTGCCATGGGTAAGGATCAAACAGAAGCTTCGTCCCATCCAAGGTATAAGCCTCATAACCTCATGGAAGGTAGCAAGCTTTAACTCCTGCTTCCGACGCGGTCCATCTACTTGGGTATCGACTTCAACAAGTTCAATATCTCCGATTCATCCGCGCCCACAACTACACACATGTCAGCTTCGATCTCATGCCCCCCAATCCTGCATTGTAACGCCTACCAGCCTTCCCCTGATTCCAATCCACAACGACCGGCCTCTGAAACGCGCTCGCATTCCCCTGCACCGTCCTCAACGCACTCCCTTCGTCATTCGCACCTTTCACAACCTCCGCTGCCTTCCCCGGCCCCAGGTATTCAAAGATGCTGCGTAGCTGGTCGCTTGTTGGCGGCTCTGTGGTGACCTCGAGCTCAAAATTAGTCCGCTCGGTTTTCGACTGTGTTTCATGGCTGGAAGCCTGGTCTGCGGTCGCATTGGCTGCGGAAGTCGCGTTTGCTTGCTTGAGCAGGGTGAGAACACGGGTGCTGGAGGCCGAGGAGGGTGCGTGGAAGAGGGTTATGGTGTTTTTGACGCCGGACTGCGGAGGATATTAGCTATGCTTAATGCAGTTGTTACTAAGGCCTTTGTAGGAGCATTTCGGTGCATATCTATGGTACAAGAAGCACGCTTACTACAACCTACCTCTCCAAAGAGTTTTTTCCACATCCTGTCGGTTTGTTTTGTAATTTTGTGATGGATTACTGCGCTCACATCAACGAGGAGCAGCTTGTTGGAGGTCGAGCTTGAGCTCCGCTGTCATCCGAGCGGAGACGCTTGGGCAGGGTCCATTTCTTGGCGTACATCGGTTTCCTGCACTCAAGTTACGGGACTATTCAGACATTAACCGTGGGCGATCGAAGCTTCAAAGATTTATTGTTTGTCTGGGCTACCCTGTCTGAGCATGCTTTCAGGCACGTGGAGGATTCTTGAATGAGCTAGTTCGTATGCTCTTGCCATGGAATTCAGTTGATCAAGCGGTGGATTACGATGGCTGAGAGTGTGGTAGAAGCGAGATCATACGGGTGCGTGGGACGTTTCAATGTACATTACAGCGAGTGTGTCAGGGAATGTGTATGGAGCACTGGTTGAAGCAATCCTGAGTTGTGCTAGAAAGTACAAGATTCGCCTTGTGCCAGATTGATCTCTCTCGTGCAAGTCGCCTATCCATCGTGGAAAACGTTCATCCTGCATGCTTGCAACCTATCGTCGACACAAAACGCCGTTCTCGCAGCTGCTCGCCAGCCGCAGGTAGAATCCTCCCATCGGTTCACTCCATCTCCATAGTTCACACCAATCGTCTAAGTAGTCGGGTTGGGGTTCATCTAGTCAATACCATCAGCACTGTTCACCTCTCGCAGCCAAGAGTCTTTAGATCCTCACCTTCCTCTTGCCACCAGTCATGGTAACGTTCACGAAGCGGCGGGTGTATTGTATCCTCTTCTTCGCGCGGCCCTTGGGAACCTTCTTCTTCTCCTGGGGCTCAACCTGTGGAAAAGGCGGATCAGCATCTCATTCGCGTCTCCTGAAAAGCCTTTTACCCGTCAAAGACGGCAACCACGTCCAAGCCCATTCATTGTGTGACTCCGACCGGTTGTCCGTGATTGAGCGGCGGCTGGCGCGGGCGCTGGTGCTTCATACCTTCGGTGTCTGCGACTTGACCTTTCCGGCACGAGCGAGGGACCCGTGGACTTTACCCATGGTTGCGGTTGATGGGGTTTAGGTAAGGTGATGAGCGTTGAGTTGAGGCGAGATGTTCTGCAAACTGGCGAGTAGATATTAGTACTTGTTCATGCAAAGTCTGATGGCGCGAGTGGATCGCAAGAAAATCTTGCCGAGACCTTGAAGAGCGGGCAGTTTCTTGCAGGAATGCACTTACGGCTTGTGTGATGTCGCTGCTGATGGCTTCTGCAAACGCTGAGGACGACGAGGTTGAGTTTTGCGCTTGTGGACGGCGGGTCTCGGCTAAAGATCACGTGGCTTTCTGCAGCACGTGATAGCCTTTTAGTCAGCACGGACTTTATCTCCAAAGTCCGTTCCTCGGAAAAGCTATCTGACGTCACCCGATTCACCCCACCTAAACACTATGCAATCGAGCTGTAGCAACAGCGTGAGATATATGCGTTGCATCTACAACCGCCCAATCCTTCGTGTTCTGACAAGTTCAGTTCCAAGGCCAAGCTACATACCAAAGCGCCCTATCTTCCGAGTAAAGCCCTTCACGAACATGGCCTCTCAGCAACCCTCCGAAGCTTGTATGTCTACTTTACTCTGGGGCCTTCTTAGACGGAAGTGATCATTAACTGATGACCGATTGATCATTAGGCTGCAATGTCCCGCCCATCGTGGCCGAGGACTACGCCTACAAAGGCCAATACATTGTTGTCGACGGGATGAGGACCTGTAAGACACCACCTGCAACCATCACCAACCCCACACTAACCTCCGCTCCCACACAGACACCACCGGCCCCGCCAACGCCAAACGCGCCCTCCTGATCGTCTATGACATCTTCGGCTTCTTCCCTCAGACTCTGCAGGGCGCCGACATCCTCGCCTTCTCCGACTCGGAGCACCCCTACCAAGTCTTCATGCCGGACTTCTTCGAAGGCCAGCCGGCGGACATTTCCTGGTACCCGCCGGACAATGACGACAAGGGCAAGAAGCTCGGCGCCTTCTTCAAGGGCCCCGCCGCACCGCCCAAGACGGTCGAGCGCATCCCCAAGGTCGTCAAGCTCCTCCAGGACAAGGACCCGCATATCGAGAGCTGGGGTATCGTCGGGTATTGCTGGGGCGGCAAGATTGTCAATCTGAGCTTGCAGGAGGGCACGCCGTTCAAAGCGGGCGCGGCGGTGCATCCGGCCATGGTGGACCCGAAGGATGCGCCGGGGATTACGGTGCCGGTTGCGATGCTGCCGAGCAAGGACGAGGATAAAGAGGCTGTGGAGCAGTGGCAGAAGGGGCTGAAGGTTGAGAATCTTGTGGAGTGGTTCCCTGACCAGGTGCACGGGTTCATGGCTGCTCGGTAAGTTGCCTGCTCCTGCGTTTCATGAGACAATAGCGAGCTGACGCCGTTGCAGCGGCGACCTGAAGAAAGAGAACGTTCGCAAGGAGTACCAGCGCGGCTACAAGGTGCTGCTCGACTTCTTCCACAACAACCTGCCGCCTTTCTTGTGAGTGCATGTCGTCTCCGATGCGCGTGGAGGATTCGAGTGTGGTATGCCCCGTCCCACTTCCTTCCCTCGCGCATCGCGAAGCGCCAAAACGTTTATCGACGTCTCTGCATTTACCCGTTTTGATAACTGACTGGTTTTTAAGAACTGCCGGATCTAAGATATGAGCCGAGCTGAGGGCGCTGTCATATGTAAATGAGGTATGAAAAGTTACCTGAGATGTTGCGCGGAACGACTAGATAGCTAAGTAGCTACACATGAACAACGATTAACGGAAGGCTCTTCACCCTGTATTCCCCGACTGTGTTCATAGTCAGAAGTGTCTCCGCTCTGTGGTCCGATCCAGCTATTTTCTCGGGCAATAAACCTCTGCAGTATCTTGTGGTGCCACTCAGGTGACGTGTTACCTGAGCGGATGCTTGAAAAAGATGAAAGGCTCAGCCCCATCCGATATCTGGAATCATAGAGTTTTTTATTGACCAGGGTATATTACGCCCAGGAATTTGCACCGGCCCTAAGAGGAGTACATACGATGTACCGTTCAGTATCAAAGTAGCAGAGGTAACTCCCGAGGACCAAACACGTGCGGGGCCGTGACGGAACCACGTTCTTAATCACCCGCCGCCTTGTACAAGAGCATGTCACCACCTTACCCTCACTCGATCTTTCCATGCACAGAAGACCAAAGGTCGTCAATCTGCTTCTCTACTACGGCAAGTGCGTAGTAATTTCGCATAGCATGAGTACTCAAGCTTTGGTATCCTATCGTCCAAACCGCGTATCAATCTTACCTGGAGGCTTGTGATACAACTGAGAGCCTAGGGATGAGAAGGCACATCTGGATCAAGCTCCCGCATCGATGTGTTGGCGCCGGCGTCGGAGTCCTTGCCTGGAAGGGCAACAAGTCCCCAGCCTTAGGCTCCTGAACGAGAGGGTTACGAGGAGGCTTTCCGGATGTGGAGGTGATGACACGATAAGGCTTCAGGATGCTAAAAGCCCGTGTCTCCCTAAAATAGGAAGTAGGAGAAATCTTTGTGGCTTAGTGTGGGGCTTTTGGTTAGAGCAGACGGCTTGAACTGGGTGTGGCCAGTCGCCAAGCTCGAGGAAGAATAGGAGATCTTGTCATCGGAGCGCTACTAGGCGGCTTTTGGGACGGTGTATTGCGCATCTCGTACCTGCGGCCTATTCATAGACCGCAGGGTTGATCCTCCCGAACGCCACGGTTTGCAATGCTGGCTCTGATCGCAGCGGCTCGGAAGGCTTCCAAGGTTTGCACCTCGGTCCAGGTACATGTGTTTTCGGGGAGATATCGTAACGTGAAACAGTTCGGAGAGATTTAAGGAACGCTCCCTCGGGTGGCGGATATCTTCCATTGTAGGACTTCGTCACATGTCAGCTTCTGCGAGGCACGTGCGCGGGTCGGAACTCACTAATGGACGCATTGAGGCCAGGCTGATTGAACATTGTGTTTTGGCTGCGTGCTGGAGTGCGCAATGTCGGGAAGAGTGTTGACGTAGAAGCCATGTATTGCTAGAAAGTCTTGTATCAGGCCAGCCGATAGTGTCTTCCCCTAATATACAGATTACTCGTATGACGCGTTCTCCCAGAGCAATACAGTCGTGTGGCAAATGCAGAGCAGCGTCAGCTAAAGAAAATCCCCTCCTAACTGCGCCATCGCAAACAGACGAAGCCTCCAAAATGCGAGCAAGGAAACGACATTTTGATACAGGAAGTGCAAAAGAAGCAAAACAAACCACACAACGCCTGCAAATGCTCATGAGTCGAACGCCAAGCCATGGAAGCCTACAACTGGTATCACGTGCTGAGCCGAACGAAAGCGAATGGCGAGAGCAACCCCTTTCCACTCTAAATCTTCTAACAGATGCGCCACCACTATGCGCCTAATAAAACCCAAACCTTTTGATTTTTCAAGATGCATGCCTGTACCAGGGTGTGGATCTCTTATGCTGGCGCAGACATGGCAGCATTGCCAGCTGCATGACAGCCGCGCTCATGCCGCTTCATGTTGCTGCGGACGCTGAAAGCTTTCCCGCAGCCGGAATGGGGGCACTTAAACGGCTTTTCGCCCGTGTGGCTGTGGCTGTGTATGCGGAGACTGCTGGGTCGCGAGAACGCCTTGTTGCACGTCTGGCAGATGTAGCGGTCTTGCGACTGCGGAAACGCGGCTTGGCTGGAATGACTGATGTAATGATGATGTTGCCACGGATTCGATGCCGGGCTCGCCGACGCTGGAACTGCCACGGGAGCTGACGGAGGTGGGAAATTGGACGGAAGCGGGCGTTGAGAGTACATGCCGGGCTGAGAGAAGCCGTCGGGCGAGTAGTAAGAGCCGGTGCCGGTGGATGCTCCGCCGGGAGAGGATCCATAAGGGGAGTTCGCACACGGTGATGTGTGATATGGTGAAGGTTGATACGGTGAGGTATGATACGGTGAGGTGTGGTAAGGCGAAACGGATGGGTGCGAGGTTGCCGAGTGGCGCTTCATCGGTGCTACTGATGGGACAACCCGCTGCTGATGCGGGTCCATGTTGTTCATTGAGCCTAGGTAGTAGGGCGCCGCCGTCGCAGAGGATTGCGAGGAAACGGTGGAGGGAGACTGGTTGCCGTCAATGACGGACTCTGGCGCCATGGGAGGAGTTGGCGGCAAATTCATGGCGGGGTTGCTCACGATCGTCGGTGGACCGAAAGCCTGCGGAGCTTGCGGGACCTGATTCGGTCGATGTTCTGATAACGGCACAGCGGCTGCTGCGGCTTTCTGTGGTGGTGGCACAGCTTGAGTGGCTGGAGGTTATATTAGCAACCGAGGGGCGAAATTTTTTCAGTTGCGGAAGCCATACCTGTCTCCTGACTGGGACGCGTGCCGTCAAAGCTGAGCAGACTGGAGATTGAAGGCAAAGAGGGTGGCTTCTGCTCTTCCACCGGTGGGGAAGGCGGGGACCTTGGAGCGGACGGACGATGATATGTGGTGAAATCGACCGGCGGCTGTCCTGAATATGGATTCGGCACGAGTGCCGACGCTGCTTGGGGCTGAGGCTGATGAGCTCGAGTCCGTATGTGCGCATACGGATGGTGACGTTGGTAATGGTGATCGTGTGTCTCACGAGGACCTTCTCTTCCACTGCCGTTTACCATGCTCGAGAGTCGCATCGCTTGGAAACGCGGCCAGAAGAAGCCCTGGTTGGAGAGCAAGAGCGCGGAAGCCAGAGGATGGTGATGTGAGTTCAGGCAGTAAACGGTACTAACGGATGCCGACAAACGCGCACAGAGCGAAGACGGTGATCTGAGAGTGGCTGCCAGCCCAAGGAGAGACGACAGATACGTTGAGACGGCGACAGAAGGTGATGTTTTTAAGCGGTGATGGGGGCGGTCTGAGTTTGAAGCATTCACCGGAGCAGTGGCCGAATAGATGAACTAAACAGGTGAAACGTGAAGGAAACGCAGAGGCCAGCCGTTAAGAGAGCGGGCCGTTGTGGTCTAGAGATAGTAAAGTAGTACCCGCTCCACCTCTGCAATGGCGATGCAGGTGATCGACCACCCAATTAGCCTTTTCTCGCAGGTCGACGCGCTGATCTTCGTGGGAGTCCTTGTCGCGTCGATCAGTAAAACGTGGTCGGCTGTGGGAGTCTTCGCGGAACGAGCCTCGCAGGGAACGAGGACAGCGATATGCAGTAGATCAACCAGAACAGGCAGCGCAGAGGAGTGGGAAGTTGCAGAGCCACGAGTCCAGCGCGACGGATAGATTCCTCGGTTAGATGGTATGATGACAGGTGCTGACAGGGAGCTAGCCCGGAATGCCCACTTCAGATGTCAGATCCGCCTGCGATCCTGGGGGAAAATCGTGGGCCGACTTCAGGTACACGGCTTGCACAGGGTTTCCTCGTATGAAGTTGTCCTGGATCGATGTCGAGCCTGAGGCTGCAAGAGGTTGCGGGGTGTCGGCGCAGTTAGATCAAGAGGGTCGTCTCGTACTCAATGCGGGGGCGCCAAGCGAGAATAGGTAGAAGGTCTGGCACCAGCAGTGGGCGTGGCTGTTTGTCGGGGGAGAGGAAAAGGATGGAGAGTCACGAAACAGAGAGCGGCAGTGGGCAAGAAAGTGACAACTAACTAGTTACTGCGCGCATGCTTTAAGACGTCCGACTATCCTCCCTGGCCTGGCCTTGGTGAGGGACCAAAGCAGTTTATCGTGCAACACTAACTCGCCAACGCGCACGAGTGCCCCCAGCCATTGGCGGAGAGCAGAAGGAAGGGCGCGGCCGGTGCTGGCATGAAGGAGTTCTCTAGGCCGGGAGAAGCAAGTGCGGTAGGCGCAAGGCGATGTGAGGGCTGAAGCAGTCGCGAGCAATGCTCCGAAGGAACGGCCAAAGGGTTCTGGCGGCGGCGATGATGATCTGCGTGGCTTGCTGGCTCGCTCAACTTGGGCCAGTAGCAGGGCTTTGCGACCGGCGAGAAGGCCCAGGTCAGTTCGCTCAGCAGGCTATGCAGCAAGACCTCCCGACCCTCAGCGAACGAGGCGAGGCTTTCGAGGGCGATCACTGGTCGCTGCTGGAGTTGCTACTCTGGACGAGCGATCCAATCGACAGCGCCCGCCCACAAGTTCCTGGCGATGGAAAACACAAGCTGGCACCTTCTAGTACGCAGCGCAGACAATAGTCTGTCGGCAGCACCGAAGGGCAAGCGCGGAAAGACAGGAATTCAGTCGCCTCGCAGCGCAGCAGCTGGCGTTTGGGTCCGTCGGCGGTGGCTACCAATGTTGGAGCTCCTCCGCGCAGCAAGAGCCCACAAGAGCCCACAAGCGCGGCATACGACGGCAAAGGCAAGCCCGCTGCTTGGCTCCTGCGACGGCTAGCCGTGGTGGATCTTTCAGCGAAGGACGGGACGATCAGCACCAGTGCCATGCAGCTAAAATCTGGGGCCACGCTTCCTTCGAGCTGCCACTTCAATCTATCCGGCGGCCTAAGGCTGGAAGCGCGACAGCTCGCTGCTCCATGAGACGAGCAGCATCAAAGGCGATCAGTTGACGCAAGCCGCTCGCTCCACACGCGGCCATGCACGGGATTGCCAGATCGACTTGCCCGTCGTAGAAACTGACCGGGTGGACACACGTGTAGAGCTTCAGGGAAAACGTGTCCATCGAAAGTCCCGCTCCGCCTCAATGATGCAATACATCGCGGGGGCATCAGCTTCATATCCTTGCCGATGAAGACACCGTTGCGATCGGTGAGCGACGGACAAGCGAGCGGTTTTGTCCCGGCCGTGTCACTTCGCACAGAAAACCGGCGCTGAGGGCTGACGCTTGCTTTACACCTCGAATCAAAGGGTGCGGAGGCCTCGGTTGCCTTGGGGTGCATGCGCCTCAGGCACCCTCACCATCGACCATCCGATAGTCTCAAGGGTTCGCTCGAAGCCACGCCATTCTCTGTCAAGCGTTGGCCGAAACAGCATGGCGTGGGATTAGAACGGCAGCCAGTGTTGAGACAGCCGTGCTTCAACACAGCCAACGATCGACAGCAGCCGACCTGAGCGCCATAACCCGGCCTGAATTTCGCTACATCACGCCTGGCATGGTGTTGCTACCGAATCCAGACTGCTAGCTAGGGTTGCATCCTAAAGTGGGCGGAACGACATCATCACCGCCCACATTCTGACAACCTCGTTTACGTGGCCATCCAGGAGCATGAAAAGGTGTGCAGACTCCCTGCCCTCTGCGTAGCGAGTGATGCGATGCAGCAAGGGTTTCCATGGTTGTCTCCGCAGCAGCAGGCGAGAAGACACCCTCTAGTCACTGTCGCACTCAGGCGTCTGTGCAGCGCGTCTACCAATGACCTGGGAATTCGATTCTGTCGGTGGGCTTGTCAAAAGCTGCACGACCAGCGACTCGGAATCACGAACGCCGCCCGAATTTTCACTGCTGCTGGGCCGATGTTCTCCATACTAGTTTTGATCACATGCAGTTTCATCATCAGAGTACTGCTCGAGTCCCTCTCGTCCACCCTCAAGACAACGGCGCGTTGAAGGCTCTTGGCCGAATGAGCGGCGCAGAAGGGATCCGGCTAGTCCTTAGCGCGTGATCTGCCCGGAAGCCGCTACGGGCTACCCATGGTCGAAAGCGCCTGTTTGGGCCTGGCGAGTGCGGATCACAGTGCGGAAAAGAGGCGCAAGGCCGCTGATCACTCAGCTATGGAACCACGGAAGCTATCCGAAGCTTCGAAAGCCGTTGTTGCACCACGTCAACCACGTTGGCCATGCGCTGCGGAAAGGATGACCCTGGTTTCGACACACGAGATTCTCGTCGGGATCAACATTGACGGATGCCGACATGACCGACGTTGAATGCTCTTCGACAGTCGAACACAAGAGAACACGTCTCACAACCTAACATGGCAGACGCTTCGAAAGCTCTGGCCCGCGTCTCCAAGTCCGTGCGACAGACTGTGCCATTGTATCGGGTCTGTCGTCCGCATCTAGGCTGCATCAGTCACCGAAGGGCTTCCAGGGCCCATGTGATAATTAATCCTCCTGATCTTCGATGGCACCCTCTACTTGATACACGCTATGGTCATCCTCGACAGCACTCTCTAAGTCGCGATCTGCCAGGCACGCCTGCTATCCGGTTTGGCCCTTGACGGCGATCGTTTCCAGCGTCTTGCCGTGTCATCCGACTTGCTACGTGCGTAAGTCTCACCACTTCCCCTGGTGGCAGCGGGTAGCAGGCCTGTTCAAACATGGACTCGGTGATCTGGAGTTCCTCAAGTGCGATCGGAGTAAGAGACCGGGACCTCATAATCTTCGGCGGCGGATCATAGAGTGGTAAGGCTACTCAGCGTTTTCAAGGCCAGGATTGAGAGCACGAGTCCCCTTCCTTGAACAGAGCTGAGGGTTCGAGGCACGTACCGTGGACTTCCATCTCCCTATGGAGAAGAAAGCCCGTAGTCTTCTTCATGTGCCAATCAGGTACAGGCCGTCGACTCGACTGCCATGAGTTCATGGGAGCCTTGAACATGTAAGTCACTTAACGGCTCTTGTGTAATTACGGTTCTTGAGGATACTTGCATTTTCTAACTCGAAAGCAGACGCATGTGGGAGTGACGCCGCTGCAGAGACCTCTCCCTCATCACACAGTCTGGTGGCTGTCATCCACAGCGCGGTTCTCAATTGCGTTACGCATTCCCGTCTCCGACTTTGAGCCAAGTCAGCCTGGTGACCGTGCCACTCCGGACGAAACGCAAGGCGACGTGCCGATCAACAGGTACACCCGTTTGCCGACAGTTCAAGTGCCGGGATGCCTCTCTGCTCGTCAAACCTGAATATCTTCTCTCGGCCCGGCTCATCTCAGTTATTGGGTTGCAGCGAGCCTAGACTATGGGTCTCACGAGATGTTGCATTCTTGTTATCACAACTGGCGACTGCATGCAAAAAGAACGAGCGGTGTTTAGTGCCTGTAGCCTCACATACCAGGATCCCTTCCGCTCCTCCATTTTCCCGGATATTCCTGCCGTGTCTGCCTCCATCCTTGCTGAGTCTTGCGCATCCCAGAAGCCAATCCACTCAATAGGCGAACAAAAGACCGATTGCCCCTTCCCATTCCCGGCAACAAATCCGCCCCTGGTACCTGTTATCGGTGGACGTTTCGGCGCTTAAACCGAACGCCCGCTTGAGATTTTACATCACAGTTTCTGAAAAGGCGCGACAGCCACTCTATGGAGCTGCGCTGACGACCGTGGCTGCGGCCTGAGGCTCCGAAAGGCAAAGCGCTTAACACAAGACGAGCCGCTGGTCGACGCACAGGTAACATGCAGGGATTATCGAAGCTTGGACAAGCAAACGTACGTAACTGGTTGACCGTTCTTGTTACCAGTACCAGAGTTCAATACGGGGCGCAGATGACGAACGCGCTTCTGCAGCACGCGATTGATAGTTCCATGCACCTCCATGCCCAATCTCGCAGGCGTAAACGGAACGGAAATATCGCATGCGGGACATCAATAAAGGCTTGGCCTGTGTAGTAGAGTGGGTCGCGTGAAGATCAGCAGACCGCGTGCACATGCGCGAAGATCGCATGGGCGAGGCGTGCGCTGCGTGGGCGGCGTTGGAGGCTGTGCGACGCTGTGCGACGCTGCTTTTCCGGGTTGGCCGTGGATCTCGAGGGATCTGCAGGTATTGCGACATCAGCGGCGCAGCAAAGCCGGCACATTTGCAAGGAGAAGGTTGTTTGCTTCAGAAGCCGAGATGCTGTCGACGCAGGAGCGCTGGCGCAAGCTGGTTTTACGAGGCAGTGGCGAGGGTGGCGCCTATCAGTGTATCATCTGCCGACATGCAAGCCATCTTAGGACGCGGGAACGAAACCTGGACCGTGGCCGTCAACGGTTTGGGGGTGTCCTGTCCCGTTCTCTCGCGAATGTGCCCGAGCTACTCCCCAGCCCGCTCTTGGTGCAGCGGAAGGCAGAGAAGCGTGGGGCTGCCAGCGCTTGCGCAACGCCTTTTGAAGACTGAGGTTGAAAAATGCAGGGAGGCGGCATCTGCAAGTAATCACTGGGTCTAGAATTCGCCCTTGCAGACGGGAACGCTGCCACTGCCACGAATACAAGGCGCGCGCGTTCTTCCAAGACACGAAGCCGCCGGGTTTTCCCCCACCAGGGCGCTCTGCTGCAGAGCGACACATCAACTATGACCGCTAGGTAGAGTCAAACAGCGGCACTGAGCCTGGAAGGCCGACCGCGAAGATTGTGGAGCACCCCATTGCATGCATGCGGGCACAATCTTCTGCGCCGAACGTGGACTATCATTCAACGACTCCAGAACGCTCGGAACAGCCTTCAGTAGTTGCGTTTTTCTTCGGAAGAGACGATATTTCCCTTTCGTGAAGCGCTTGCGACTGCACCTAATAGAGTCGAGGGACATTCACAGCAGAGTTCCGAGAGAGAGCTGCTAACTAGGCTGGAGGCCAGGGAAGATCTCAGAGCTTCGCCTTCGAATCTCTACCCTCAAAGCGCGCCCTCGCTCCAAAGTCTGTTCCAACCCTCCGCCTGGGGCCCGTCGTCGATTTGCTAACCAAAACTCCCATCCAATGCTGATTCTGATTCCTTTCGATGCCACGCAGCCTCTCACCCCTACAACTCCCACCCAAGTCCACCCCCAAACCATTCCCGCCACCCAGTCTTTTCCCCAGGCAGCTTGCTCCTCTCCATCTCCTCCCTCGTAACATTCCTCCATTCCTCGACCGGGATCCACCCAATATACGCCCGATCCCCAAACCCGCCGATCCAATACACCTCCTCCACAACCAGCCTCACCCACCTAGACTCGTGAATCCTGTTCCCGGGTAACCACCAGGCGGCATCTGGATGCTTCTTGACAAAGCATGCCGCCACACCCGCCTTGGTGACTTCGTCCTCGTCTAGCTCCTCCAGATGCCCGATCAGCGAGAACCGCGGCAGCGCGGCGGCGGAGTGGAAGGCATGAGACGGCGGGTGTCCGTGCTGCGGGTGCCACCGCAACGACAACGTGATGTTTGAGCCGGCGGCCACGTTCTTGAAGCTCGTGGCGATGCTGATGGCGAGGATAGTCGGGTTGCCGGTTGAGGGCTCGCAGTCGCCGTAGTAGTCCATGAGGCCTATTGGGGCGCCGCCTAGCCCTGAGGGGCGGTTCTCGGACGGCGAGAGGGAGTCATGGCTCGACGGGAAGACGGTTGAGAGCGTGCCGATTGTCTCGAGGCTGAGGATGCGCCGCGCTTGGATGGCGGACTCGTGGATGGTGGGGATGCGGTAGTCGGTGTTGGAGTCGTCGGGGGAGGGGTTGGAGAAGATGTGCTGAGGCGAGGGAAGGGAGGAGCTTGTGGTAAGCGTTGTTAATAGGGAGAGAGCTGCGAGGAGGCGCATGCTGGATGCTGGGTGCCCGTGATGGGTCTGCGTGCCTCAGGAAGAACCAAATAGAGCGGACACTACCAACAGCTGTGAGACCTCTATCTAACAGCTTAGAATGACAACTTGGTGGTATGAAGCGATGGCTATTGGATGTGCGACGCGGATGGCAAATATGATGCTGAGGGGTTGATAACGCGCTGCACGTGCCATGAGCCGCTGTAATCGAGTACATAGGCATTATGTACCGCTTGTTTGCTCCAGCTTGAAAGTTGTACGCGTTCCAATTGCCACCCGGTAGCCGTAACAATACAATCTCTAGGTAAAGATCTGGCACGTTTACAGTGCTTGCTCGCATCTCAGCACTGGGGGCTGAATGCGCAAGGTTAGTGACTTGAAGCTGTCTACGATCAGATAAGATTCTGTGACCAACTTCATGCCATCTCTCTGAGGCAGTCATTAGTCAAGCGTCAACAGTATCCGACTGCTTTCTGGCGGCATGAGTGCGAAATCTTGAGCTGGGACGCATCAAAACTGCTTGCTAGCTACAATAGTCAAACCCTATAAAGAGAGAGGAGCCAGTATCTACATGCGCTTTTAGTATTATTTCATCCAGCGGACCAAAAGTCTATGCTACTCCGTGCGAGCAGGTCCGAGCCGGACTGCCTCATCATGAACTATTGCAGGGATCTCATCCTCTAGACTTGGTTCTGATGGGTGCCACTTAAGATTTGCACGTGCTCTTGACGACGAAAGCATTGCATTAGTACCCCAAAGGACAGCACCGTGAGGACTCAGGCGGTTGGCTTCATCGGCATCGATAGTTCTGTCGACGGATGCTGTATCAAGGAACCCTTGAGCGTGTGCTTCCTTGGCGATTTGGGCAGAGAGTTCGCCAAAAGCCTGGAGTTTGATACATCAATCAGCGGCGACACAGGAAAGTAGAGTAAGTGAGACTGTACCATCTTCCCGTTTTCTGGCAAATAGATCCCGTCCTCATTCCACAGACCTGACCTGCCGTCGACTGCGGCATCTAGCAGCGCAAGGAAGAGAGAGCTAAGGTCATGGCTGTGGATGTTGCTCCAGCAGCTCAGTCCAGCACCGAGGCGGAAGCCTTGACGTTGCTGCAGGGTGATTCTTGCAATCTCTGGAGCCTGGATACTACGTGTATTCACCGGCCCTCTGCCCACTCCGTAGATTAGCGGGCCGACAACAAGAGCTGTCTTAATCTTCGAAGGGTCCTGTGCAAGGACGAGGTTGTCCACAACGCGCTTAGGGTTCTCTGTGATGATTGAGCGAATCTCAACAGTGTCTTTGAGATCGTCGTAGATTTTGGAGCCCGGTTCTCCATATCTACCCTCCTTGATGTCCGGACCCGAGAACATTGATGCTCCCGATATCTGTATCCAGTAACCTATGGATCATGGTTAGGAAAAGATTGACGCGTGCTCTGTATTCTACATTGCAAGGCCGGGCGAGTTTGAGTCTTACCAGGACTTGACCGACTTGCATCGCCTAGCCCTTTGGTGATAGCCGCGGCGCTTCTGTCGTGGTTTGTACTGGCGAGATCTGAGACTTCATAAGTACACACGGTGTCACAGCTGGAATAGTGCATTCACGTACGGAAGACGATATCGGCGTTTCTGGATTCTGTTTCGATGAGACTAGTATCATCGAGGTCGCCCCGAACAACGCGGACGTCTGGAAATGCTTTGCGGACTACCAGTTCTTTCTCGGCATCCCGCACGAGGCAGGCAATCTGATGTTTTGAGGTCGCCGAAGCGACGATGCGATGCAAAACCTCGCCGCCGACATATCCTGTCGCTCCGGTTCTATTGTTTTCATGCCAAGTTAGTCCAAATCTCATGATATTTTGACAGGTTTGCAAAAATCGAACTAATTAGAAACAGTGTGTTGGTTTATGAGAGTCCCTCATACAAGAAGATCTTGACCATGGTATTCACCCTGCTTTACCACGCCCTTTAATGTAGCATATATTTGACTTAATGGAATGGGGACCTCTTTGGCATTATGAGTATCTCAAATACTGCTTTTTGTTGTGATGTTTTCGGGGAATTCTTTGTATCTTGGCAATACCCAGATTGCTGCAGTGTGAAGTCTCCGAAACAAGCAAGAGACTCCGGCGACATCAGCTTTGTGCTTGGCATTGGTCAGATGGATCAAGTGTCACCTAAAAAATGCGTTGCCGCATTGAAAGATACTCGTGAACATTAAGGCGGATAACCTAGACGCGGTTTCGAAACTGGTTCTAAGTGACTGATGCACGGAAGAGTGAAACTACTAAACATCTTATGCATTCTATGGTGTGGAACCGGTCCTGTGGCTTACCCCCTCATATGACCACGAATCCAGTTCAGTTTTGAATCAGGAGTAAAACAAACAGCAACCAAGATGCGGCAACGGACTTTTGGACAACCGATCGTTGAATTGTCCCCTCACTTTCCCCATGTAGCCAGCGGCTAGCCTCAACCACCTCGCGAAATTGGGAGATTTGCGGAGTAAACAGACCTGATTGCTGCTCGCTCTATCTCAAATGTCCCGCTCGCCAACAGCGAGGCTTTGGGGACTGGAAATGTCGAATTGGGAACGCGACAACAAACCGCATCATCTTACATGACCTGGTCTCGTTCATGCCTCCGAAGACGACACAGAAACGCCGGCGAACGCATTCCCTCGGCGGCTGCGCGACTTGTCGTAGACGCCACGTCAAATGTGATAAGGTCCGCCCACTCTGTCTAACATGCAGAGCGGTTGGCGTGACCTGTGAAGGATATTCGGCAGACGTGCGATGGGTGCCATATTCAGCGTCGACGATCAACAAGGACTCGAGCGGGGAAAAATCTGAGAACAATGGAATCAGACGACATCTATATACAGGTTCAACCCCTCTGTTTGACAGATATCGCTGTACGTCTGACGGGAGCTTGCATAGAACAATCAAGAGCGTCTATGAGCACAGCCATGAGAACGGACCTTGGCTCAACTTCCGTCGACGCCTCCCTTACAGAAATTGACGCAAGGTCTAAAGAACCGAACAGAGAGAATATTGCAGTGGGACCTTTTGGTGTACTCAACTTCAATTTGAATGCGACTTTCACTCAAAGCCAAAATGTCCATACAGACGATGCCGGCCCCGCTGAGGAGCTGCCAACAGATACGCCGTCTACCCTTGACTCGCTGATGAATCTTGACGATTCATTGCAATGGGCCGATCTATTTGAACTTGACTTTGATAATATGCTGATCACACAACAAGCCCCCTTCGTCTCCGGCGCTCAAGATTTCTTTTACGATAGCTACAACGCTGGATATTATGAGCAAAAGCAGCTAGGCGATGAGCCATACACCACAATGAATCGACCTCAGTCTGCTCAGAATGAAGTGGCGAGAACTACATCGCTGCCGGAGCCATTACAATCGCTTGTCGGTGTTCCAGCGTCAGAATTGGAACCCCTTGGCGACATCCAGGCTCTGCTGAAGCATTTTCAAGACCATGTCATTGCACAAATGGCAGCGCTGCCAATCGGCTCGAAATCTCCGTGGAAAATTCTTAACCTCTCATCGGCTGTAGAGACTCTTGCCGAGATGACCTTTCTGGGCGGAAAGAACGTGAAACATGCTCATGCAGCAAACCTCTACGGTCTACTAGCTTGTTCAGCGTATCACTTGGCCTCAAACCCATCAATCGCTTCATCGCGATCTGTAGAGCATTGGGAACAAACGGTTGTTCAGACGAGCAGGAAAGCCAAAGAACATCTACAGAAATCCCTGCAAGCTGAACTCCAAGGACCAAATAAAGCCAAGTACAAGGATCAACTAACGGCAATCTTGAGTCTGATGGCATTTGCTGTAAGAGCTCCCTGATATTCACCAGTCCGTTGTGAAAAATGGACCACTGACTATCCGAAAGGTTATTTCAGGCAATCAAAAAGACGCGCGATGTTGCATGATAGATGCAGAGCGTTTACTACGACATCGAGGCCTTGCAAAGCGCGAAATCAGCCGTAAAGCACGCTTGTTGCATCACATCTATACGTGGGTGAGAATCGTCGGAGAAAGCACATATGTTATACATGACTACCAAAGCTATGGACCGCTCGTCAACACCATCAACGATCGAGGCGACAGTCGACGGACAGACACCAGCAAAACCCACACAGGCCACAATGCCCGACTGGATGACTTTCTTCGCCTCAAAGCACATCAATCCGACAGCGATCTTGAAATTGAAGATCCCAAGGACTCCGAAGTTGGTCTCCACGACATCCATCTCGAAGATTCTCGCGAGTTCTCGGACCATATGTACCTCCAGATATACGGCATTCCCGAGACTTGGCTGAGTCTCGTCTCCCAAACGACTCGTCTGGCGAACGTGATGGATGCGGTGAAAGCCAGCAGCAAGGAGACAAGTATGGGACTTCTGGAGTCATTGGAAAAGCGGGGAGCACGTCTCGAGAACATGATCTGCTCCTTCGCGTCGAAAACCTTGTCAACGACCTCACTTCAATTGACTGAGGGCAACAACGATAGCGGTCAGAGTTCCCAGTTCCCGCAATGCATGACACCGAACGATCAAATGCTTCGCGCACTCAATTCAGCCCTGGTTATTTTCTTCTACCGACGTATCCGAAACGTAAACCCCTGGATCCTCCAAGGCCACGTTGATGATGTAATTCAAGCGCTCCAGGAATTCGATACAGCGCTCCTCCGACAGGGTCTCGAAGGTCCTGGTACAATGTGGCCTGCATTCATGGCCGGATGCGAAGCGATGGCGGCTTCGAAGCGAGATGCTCTGATGCGATGGATTGAGAAAGGATCTTCCAAGTCTGGATTGTATGGATTCAAGGCTGCAAAGGAAATGATGGCGGAGTTGTGGAGGAGGCGGGATGAAGTCAATGCTGCTACCAGTTCTGGTAGTGCCCGCAGCGTTAGTAGCGGTGGGACGAGCAGCACGGCGAGTAAAGTGTACCGCAAGTCTCACACGCCATGGACGTGGGTTGATGTGTCAAGGGAAAGAAATCTCTGGCTGATGCTGTGCTGATGATTTACAATATCTTTTATGCCATAACGCCCTTCACCATTCTCAGATCGTGTCGTAGGCTCAGTAAACCGCTAAGACGCACTGTTTTACGCCGTTCAAGGACCGATCCAATAGCATGCGACATTGCTAATATACGCTGGAAACAAGCAGATCCATTATAGCTTGGAAAGCAGCCCATTCTGACCAAACACGCTGAGATGATCACGGGTTATGTCGCTGATCTTTCGACACCTAGTGTAACATGAGCAGTTAGCACAGATTCCTGCCAGAGAAGGAAGGAAGCGTAAGGAGGAAGCCAGCACGCTAAGACTTACCCTGCTAATGCCATTGTGGCGCGAAGTTCACCAAGCAATATTTTGACCGCCAACTCGACACCTTCTTGACCTTTGTACTGGAATGAGAGTTAGCAAAGAGCTGATAGAAAGGCTTCCCGAAAACAGCCACGTCTCTCCCTTCCGCTAGAAAGGAAGACATGGCGTCTCGCTGCTCTGACCTACAGCAAGTCCCCAGATAACGATGCGACCAAGAAAGCAATGTTGCGCCCCTAGAGCAAGGGCTTTGAAGATATCAGAGCCGCGACGAATACCACCGTCTACAGCGATCTGAATTCGGCCACGCGCAACAGGAGCGCACTCTTGAAGTGCATCGACTGTCGCAGGCATGCCATCGAGTTGACGACCGCCATGGTTGGAGATGATGACACCATCGACGCCGTATCGTATTGCCATTTCGACGTCAGCTGGGCTTGTCACTGGGAGTTACAAATTTCGGATCAGCGTTGATTCTGTAGCCTGAGAGATCCAGCGGTAGTGTCACTTGCACTTACCACCTTTCAACCAGATCTGCATAGTGGTGTGCTGTTTGAGCCAAGGAATGATCTCTTCCCACTCCAATGCGTCGTCTGTACAACTCCGTAAGCACAAGCTTAGGCTTCTTGATCCGAAGGTGTGTGCGGAGGTGGAGACCGACCGAACGCCATCGGTCCATGCTCTTTCGTCTCTGCTGAGGTAGCGAATTCCTCATTCCCAGTCGAGAGAATGTTGGGGAAAGTTAAATCCTCTGGCAGAGAGAAATCGTTGCGCATCTCATTAAGGCGCCGGCCGAGGACTGGGACATCGACCGAAACGAATATAGCGCGGTATCCTGCGGCTATGATAATGTCAGAACATGGACACATTGCAAGCACCGAGTTTAGAGTCCCTTTGAACAAAAGTCTCTATGGGGCAGACCCAGACTCTTCTTGATGCTGGGCTGCAGCCCGCGGTCCGCAGCTTCGAGTGCCGCCGTGGGGTTGGCGATGGGTTCCGACAATGAGGAAAGCGCCTCGCGCTTGTTGGTCGAGCTCCTTGCGCCATGTTGCGCCTCTACCGGATGGGCCAGGTAAGGGGCTTCAAGCGCCTCTTCGTGCGTGGCCGCGAGTTCCTCGTCAGGCCACGAAGCTTCCTCCATCTCAGCGCTCAGGCTCTCTGCGCGCTGATACTAGACGTGCTGCGGGGCAGTGGTTCCATGGCTCAGAGGAACGAACTTCTAAGGCGCCGAAAGGCCCGCCACGGTCATGGGTGCCACCTCCAAGGATCGCCAGCTTGCACATCGCGGGCGCTACTGTAGCGTGGCAAAGAGAGAGCACGACACGAAGGACCATGAAGAGCTTACCTTCTGCGCGTTTCAACAGTTGCAACGTGATGCTACGATCTTTCACTATGCACATCTGCATCATATAAGGGTTCTGATTGCCTTGTTTTATAACGTGTTCCAGGGAGGTTGTCGCATAAGAGGACAGACACATTGATAGGCCCAAATTAGCGGCGGCGCGAGATGTCGCCAACTCCCCGTCTGGATGTGCTAGTCGCTGCATTGCCGTTGGGCTGAATCCGAGTGGGAGAGCAACCTAAGAGTATACATCAGAAGGTACTCCGGGGCTTGTCCGGAACCGCACTCACCCTCTGTCCGAAGATCTCGCAGGATGTATCGATGCTTGAGACATTTCGCAGGACTCGGGGCCGAATTCTGTACCTATTGAAGGCTTCTTCGTTGTCCCGGAGGCTGTGCTTGGACGACAATGGTCAGTATCAGGGCCAATACAACTCGTATAACGGTTTCAGCGGACTTCAACATACGTGATCATATCCATTGCGCCCTCATTGTAGAAGTCTATCCCACTATTAGATCTCGCACGTCTCTCGAGTCTCATCTACCACCTACCGCGATATCGGTCGGGCAATCTTCTGCTACCGATCGCTTTGAGGTCACTGATAGAAAACACGTTGGGGTCCAGAGTCGGTGCTCGATTCGCCATGTTCTGAATAATCTGACAGCGGCAATCTGGGCAAACAGCAGCAGTGCGTGCGGATAGGATACATTTTGAAGAGGATTTTGCCACTTCCGTAGTCAATTGAAGCTATAGATCCGCGCGACCTTGTGCAATGCTGCTGGCAGGAAGCTTGATCGAAGTTCATCCGAGAGATCTCGTCACGTGCTGGAATCGCTTGCCCCTTTGGGGTTCCGAGAGGCTTGTGGTCCATGTCGGTTCCAAGAGCCGGACTCCAGCGACGACCAACAAAGCCAATGTCTCCTGTCAATAGTGCAGATCAGATAGGCTTTCCGAGCAATGGTAGATGATCAACTCAACTGACCGGAAGCGGCCCCGAAATGGGTGTCTACTGGGCAATACTTGCCAAGTTCGGCGGAGGCGGGAGAGAACTGCATGGTAAATCGGACACTGTATCAGTCTTCTCCGCAAGTTTTGGCCCAGAGGGTCGCATTTGATGGTTGCTCTGAGGGGTCTGCTTTCCCATTTGGCAGGTAATGAACTATGTGGAGTTTGTCACTGCCGTAGAATGCTCTGACAAACAGCCTGGACGCCGTCAAAGTCGGAGCAATGAAAACTCATCAAGCCTAGAGTAGGCTAATCCTTGAGGATTGGATAAATAAAAAAACAGTAATCCCTTTGCGTAGGCGTTATCAGCAGCTGCAAGTTCCTTCGAAAAACATCTTCCTCATCCTAACCTTTTAACTCATACTCCCGAGCAGCAACGGCATTTCGCATCTTTCAACATGAACCCTCCGGAATTGAAGGGCATCCTTGTAGCCTTGGTTACCCCATTTACGGACGATGGATCCAGAATTGACGAGGACCGTCTGAAAGCACATATTGATCACATGATAGACGCGGGCATTCATGGACTGGTACCAGGCGGCAGCACAGGAGAATTCACAACCATGAATCTCGACGAGAGGAAGCAACTGGTCGAGCTTTGCGTCCAGTTTGCCGCCGGCCGAGTTCCTGTTGTGGCCGGAGTTGGATGCCTGTCGACGAGTGATTGCATCCACCTAGCCTCTCATGCAGCCCAGGCAGGGGCGGCTGCCTTAATGGTCGTTCCGCCGTTTTATGATGCTCTGTCTGTGGAGCAGCTGCAAGGATTGATGTCAGAAATCTCCCAAGCTTCACAGTTACCGATCGTCTACTACAACATACCCTCTGCAAGCGGTCTCAAGCTGAGTCCTCAGCAGATGGCCGATCTGTCTGAGGTCGGAGTCAAGTATCTCAAAGACACCTCGGGCGATGCTCCGGCGCTCACAGAGCTCCTGTTTGGCCTGCACGACAAAATCACCGCTTTCAATGGGTGGGACACTTTGACCTTCTACGGTTTGGCTGCGGGCGCCAAGGGATCCGTCTGGGGAGCCTCGAACATCATTCCGGAGTTGTCGGTTCAATTGTGGGAAGCTCTTGCCGTAAGGGGCGATTTAAAGCTTGGCCGCGAGTTATGGGCCAAGATTTGGCCAATTTGCAGGTTTCTCGAATCCCATCATTACGCTTCCGCTGTAAAGACGGGAATGGAGCTGCTGGGCAAGCCGACCGGCGGTTTACGGAAGCCTTTCGCCTTGCTGACAGGCGATCCAAGGCAAACGCTGGCGCAACTTCTGAAGGATGCAGATTTGGAGACGGTATAGGGCGTGAGGGCCTGAGCGCCTGGTGTCATGTGGTTGTCCAGATTGGCTTTCAGTGAGATCACCCAATTCTTGTGTCCGTTCTCAGAAGGACAGTGGGGCCCCTGGAGGGGCCAGCCCATTCAAACTGTGCTGGAAGTTGGAACTCAACTAAGGAATGGGCGAAAGATGAACGGCATAGCGCAAGGAAAGGAATGGCTTCAAATTTCTCATTTCCTGATAGTATATGTATTTAGCCCGCATGAGAATTTGGTCCTGTACAAAGCTTGTCGGATGCATTTTCGGCTTCTTAGACTTAGCACAAGCTGGTTGTTTAACAAGCACTTGTTTGGCTGACGTTGAGATCCCCACAATATTGACGGCGAGTGTCTGCAGAATTTTATCTCCCCCGCTTGATATCCTGATAGTAATGGCGCTCGTCTCCCTGGGGACCAGATTGAACCTTGAGCTCACCTCGTCGCACTCCCGATGCCCGTCCCAAGGTGCCGTTGTGGCAGGACCGCTCCTTCCCTCCCTCGAAGCACGGCCTCCGAGTCTTGACAATCAGCGGGCTATTAACGTAATTGCCCTTATATGGTATTACATTGCCAAGTACACCTATGAAGGAACAAGGTTGGAAGAATATCTGCATGAGTGCGACTTCTAGTCAATCACAGACGTATAACGTGGAACAGATGAGAGTTTTGCCCCAGAAACCCGGTTATGAAGTGGCCCGGTTTACCGTGGAACAGGGTCTCCATTAGGTTGAATTTGCACATGCCGCTTTCCCCATCATGCCATGCGATCGGCCTGAGTCCTTTTGGTGTGATGCGGAGTCCCCATGGGGACTCTATCAGGAGAGTTCCGAAGCGGCAAGCGATTCCGGAAACCAAGATACCAACTTCACGATCATTTCTGATAGCAGCTGATCAGCTCGGGTTTACTCCCGTAACAATTTGAGGCGGTATCAATCTAGATGGAAACAGGTGAGTCCAGATTCAATGGCAATCGGAGTGTCAGAACATAAGTAACCAGCTCCAGAGCCATGGTCAAGGGTCGTTCTCGCAGTTGTGATAAGGCCTCATCAATTCAAACGGCCCACCCTTTTCTGGTAGCAGAATCACCGAAAGTATTATGTACATCATCTCTTTGATACTCCACATACCACCAGAGCTCGAAATTGAGCAAGACATCCGCACCATTCATCATGGCCGAGAAAACAATGCTCTACTCGGACGAGGAGAACGGACATGTCACGCCTATATCCTCCAGCATCGTCGGTCGGACTGATGAGCTCCTGCACTCTGGAACCCAGCGCGGTCTGAAGTCTCGACATGCCCAAATGATCGCCCTCGGCGGCACTATCGGCACTGGTCTGTTTGTCGGCACAGGTCAAGCTCTTCGGATGGGAGGACCCGCCTTCCTGCTCGCTGCATACTGCCCAATCACCATCCTCGTCTTTGGAATTGTGACGGGTGCCACGGAGATCAGCTCCTATCTCCCTGTCCCGGGAAGCGGCATGGCCTATTACGCCAATCGATACGTTTCGCGCAGTCTGGGCTTCGCTTTGGGCTGGATGTATTGGTACGTGTTTGCCATTACGGTTCCCGCCGAGGTCACAGCAACCAGCCTTGTGATTCAATACTGGGACCCCCCAGTTCACATCGCGGTGTGGATAACGCTTACCATCCTTGTCGTGGTCGCGGTGAACAGTTTACCAGTGAGATACTACGGCGAGACAGAGTTCTGGTTTGCTTCCATAAAGGTCTTTGGAATCATCGGACTTCTCGTCATGGCGGTTGTTTTGGTCCTAGGTGGTGGGCCAAAACGCGACAGGCTGGGATTTCGTTACTGGAAGGACCCAGGCCCGGTCAACGAATATATTGTCGATGGAGCCAGCGGCAGATTGTGCGCCTTTGTTGCGACAACCGTCTTCTCGGTGTTTGCTTTCGCTTTTGCTGCACCATCATCTATCTCCGCTTCCGCAAAGCCACAAAGGTGCAAAATATCACCAACTTACCATATCGTTGTTGATTCCAGCCCTATCTGTCATATGTCAGTGGCTCAATGTTCACACTCTTGCTGTTGTTGAACGGAGTCCGGGTCTTCTTGAAGGGCCAGTGGAGTACTGCTAGCTTTCTCACAGCATACATCGGCATTCCCGTTTTCCTAGGCCTCTATTTTAGCCATCGCTTTTCTGTCGGACGAAAAGACCCATGGGCGCACCGTTCCTCTGAGGATGATCTCACCACAGGCTTGGACGTCATCATCGCGGCCCCGAGAAACCAGCTCGTAAGCACGAGAAATGGTACCAGAAGTGGAAGGCGATTTATGAGTGAGGACTGAGTTGTCTTCACAGGCTTGTACGGAGGGTCGGCATCCGGGTACGGGTTGCGTTGTCCTTTTGAGAGGGAGTCTGCTTTGCATGTTACCGTTGTTGCCATAGTCTGCTTCCAAAGCCAGGAACTATCCATGGCTGGAGCTTTTCATGTGATTCACCATATATCTATGCACTTCCTCAATATTTATCGATGGAACACTCTTAAAGGTTGCTGCGGTCTCCAAGCTTGAACACTTGATCAAACGGCGTCCCTGCGTCTTCGGCGAGGTAAGTACTTCTCATTCGAGTTTGACTTGAGCTTGAATCTGACTGTGTTCCTATAATCCGCATATATAACGATCGACTCGGCACCGGCAGCGCCGGGGACCACGGCGGACGCGCAAGGCACACGAAAAGGGAGGAAGCCCGACCAAGGGCCATCCAAAAAGCCAGTTGCCGCACGGAAAGCTATTCGTGGCCCTGAATCTGGATAGCCTAAGCACGTAGTCCATGAATTAAAGACACCGTAGGTAATCGATGCATCAAAGAGCTAAACTGCTGAGCATCATCTTGCTCTCTATCGTATGACATCGGTCTAGTTGCTTCGCATTGACAAGATCATGAATCCAGTCTAATCGTGAATCTGGTATCGAACAAGCTGGAGCGAAGATGCAGCAGCGAGCTGTTCGGGTCGCGCTTGGACTCTGCTGCTTGAGTTGCGGCATCGTTCGGGGAGCAGATGGCCTGCAGTGCCTTGTTCCTATCAACTTATGTTCCGTATGAAAGAGCGCAACAAGATTAGCAATAAATTGCTCCAAGAGAAAAACAGGAGACAAAGCACACGAGGACAAACGTGTTTGGTGAGGCTACATAAGCGCTTAAGTGAATGACGCCGGCGGCTCTGCGGCTCTGATTGGCGCCACATGCACAAGCACCCCCAAACACGCGCCGGGTTTCAAACATCAGGAACAACTGCCTTATTGTCACCCTGCATTCGCTGGACCACGTCTGCTCCTTCCGCCCTCGTTCATATCCTCATGCACTCATACTCATACTACTGTCTTTACGCCTACACCTCTCCGACCTCCACCTACAGCTCACACTCCTGTCTCGCGCAGCGCTACCGAAACCACTCCCCTGCACCCAACCGATGCCTCACAGACTGATCGCGCCGCTCAACTGAGCTCAAGCACACTCCGTCTTCTGTCCGGCCTCAGCGGCGTTGCCAATATCACCGTCATTCAGTCCCGATACCGCGCAGTCCTTAGCTCACCATGCCCCTCATAACGGCCGATAATTTGATTCCTCGCCAAAGCATAGAGACAGACCCTTTCGACATAGTCGCAGGTTCGACTACGAAAACAGAAGGGCTGTCATGGGAAGGCTTCGTGGCTGCGATATCCACTTCCTTCATATTATTCGTCGTTCAGGTCGCCCTTTTCTATGTCCTCAGACGCCCAAGGACCGGGCTCTCGTACATCTAGTAAGCAACATTTTGCTATATTGGTCTTCTCTTGTGTATTTAACGGTATTGTAGTGCACCAAAAACCTTTCTAGTTACCGACAGGGAGCTGGTTCCCAGTCCGCCAGATGGATTTGTTGCGTGGTTGAAACCGATCTTCAGGACCCCAAGCAAGGAGTTCATAGAAAAAAACGGCCTCGATGCGTACATGTTCCTTCGCTTCATCCGGATGCTTCTCAGAATCACCGTCCCACTGGCATGCATCATCCTTCCCATACTGCTGCCGATCAACTACTATGGCGGGAATGACGAAGCCACAGGACTTGATCAGCTAGCTTGGGCGCACGTCGGCGAGGATCAAACCCAACGATACTGGGCACATCTGTTGCTTGCCTGTCTAGTAGTGATCTGGACTTGTTATGTCTGCTGGGAGGAGATACGCAGGTTTGTGCGCTTGCGACAGTTCTGGATGACGTCTCCTCATCACAGGATTCGGGCATCAGCTACCACAGTGCTCATCTCGAATATCCCGCGGAAATGGCTAACAGAACGGGCATTGCGCGATCTGTTCGACGCATATGGCGACGTGCGCAACATCTGGATCAACCGTAATTACGATGAGCTGGAAGAAAAGGTTCTGAAGCGAAACAACCTAGCGCGCGGCCTAGAAAAGGCGGAGACGGAACTCATCCGCAATGCAAAGCGACAAAGCATCAAAGCGCAGGAGCAAGAGGCAAAGCAAGCAGGCATTAAGCGAACCCGAAAAGAAAAGAAGCAGGACCAAGCTGAAGCGACTGCAGCCGGAGAACGTATGGCAAACCAGTCCGGCCACAGTTCTGGCGATCCTCACCAGGCACATACCATTGCAGAAATACTGGGCGGCGTAACCGTTAGAGCAAGGTCTTCCTCGACAAGCTCTGAAGAGAGACGCGGGCTGCGGGTGATTCCACTTGTCGGTCAAGGTTTTGGAGCCGTAGAACAAGGCATTGGATTTGTGGGTCAAGGAGTGAACAAACTTGGCCGAGCGGTTGCCTCCAATGTTGTTGGCGGGTTCAACGGGGTCCGAGGGGTCTTCGACCCTCGTCAGCGCCCTTCAAATCAAGATTCGGAGACGCAACAATCTTCAGGACCGGCAGGGCCTGTGCAGCCATCGACCACAGACGGCGGCAGCCTGAGTCATGGATATGATGGCCAGTATGACGGCCTCAACGCCAGACCTGGGAACGTCAACCGGTCAATGGACCCCTACCTGGAACACCCGGGATCACAGCCGATGGATTACTCAACTGCATCAGGAGTTCTCCCGACTCGTGGGACTGGTCCTGGGTCAAGTTTTGGTGGAACTGTCGTGCATACATCGGCACAAAATAGATTACCGGCGCCAAGCCGAGCGGACATCAGTACGGCGCATACACCACAGAAGTCACGACGTCGATTTTTCGGAACAACGGGTCGCGGTACGGCTGATTTCCCTAGTCCCCAGCCTGCCAGGGAAGACGATGAATTTCCGCTTACTATCCGGTCACCGACTATCCCCTCAACTCTCAATTCGCCAACGAGCCCACAGAACACAATCGGCGGAACAGACGAGTTTGCTCTTCGCAGTGGTTCCCATTATCAGGACCCGACGATCCAACAGGAGAAGCCTAAGCAGACGCACATCATTAGCTCCTCCCACAACTATGAAGAAGCTGACGAGGACGCTGTCTGGCGAAGATACATCAAACCGAAAGACCGTGAGACTATGCGCATGGATCGATTTCATTGGACTTGGCTGCCCGACTGGCTGCCATCAACGGGTCGGAAAGTTGACAAAATCTACTATCTCCGGGCTGAAGTGGCCAAGCTCAATCAGGAAATTGAGCGCGATCAGCAAGAGTCTGAGAAGTTCCCTTTGATGAACTCCGCTTTCATTCAGTTTTACGCACAAGCCTCGGCTCACATGGCCTGCCAATCGATCACTCACCATCGGCCCAATATGATGGACCCTAGAATGGTCGAGTTAGATCCGGCTGACGTTAGATGGAGCAATCTTTCCCTTGTGTGGTGGCAGCGGAAGCTACGCAGTGTTGCGGTCTTCATGATCCTTCTGGGTATCACAATTTTGTACGCGATACCTATGGGCTTCATCGGGCTTCTTTCGCAATTCTCAACCTTGGCCGATAACATTTCCTGGCTAAGTTGGCTGGAAGACATCCCCGTATGGCTCACCAGTGTCTTACAGGGTGCCTTGCCACCACTTCTCGCCACCCTGTTCCTTGTGTTCTTGCCAATGCTATTCAGGCTCCTAATTCGATGGTCTGGCGCGCCGACTGGCACGCTTACGGAATTATCCCTCCAAGGTTACTGGTTCACCTTTCTCTTCATTGTCTATGTTATTGTCATCAGTCTCTCGTCTGGCTTGACATCCACCGTTCAATCACTAATTGAGCAACCATACTCCACGCCTGGAGTACTCGCTCAGAATCTTCCCAAGGCTTCCAACTACTTTTTCACCTATCTGCTACTTCAATGCTTTGGTATCACATCGGGAACGCTTGCTCAAATTCCGTCGCTGCTGAATCACTTTCTCTGGGGCAAGATGTTCGACAGTACCGCTCGGGAGAAGTTCAACAGGAAGATCACACTTCAGCCGGTTCCTTGGGGAAGCTTCTTTCCGATCTACACTGTAATCGGCTGCATAAGTAAGTACATTATCCAGCGCCCGCAAACGGAGGTGTCGTTGTTATCCATTTCTATGCTAGCTACTGACATTCTATCGCAGCGATCATTTACTCTGTCATCGCCCCTCTCGTGTTTATCTTCAGCACGCTGACATTCTGCATTTTCTGGGTCGTCTATCGCTACGAAGTCATGTACGTCTACCGCTTCATGGTGGACAGCGGTGGCCGATTCTTTCCACGGGCGGTTAATCAACTCTTCACCGGCATCTACGTCTTCGAGATCTGTCTCATCGGACTCTTCTTCCTCGTGCGTAATAGGGAGGGCAATGTCGTGTGTGTGCCGCATGCTGTCATCATGATCGTCTTCTTGGTCGGCACGGTGCTTTTCCAGATCCAGCTAAACCGGTTCTTCGGTGAGCTGATTACTTACATGCCTGTTACTATGGAGGATGAGGCGGCTGCCAGGCTGAAGGAGTATGAGGTTACCCATGAGGACCAGCCTCTGAATCGAGCTGATCAAGAAGGCGGTGACGTTGAGGCCGTGCTGAAGCAGAGAGACAGGAAAGAACAGGAGGAAGAGAAGGTCATGGAAGACATAGAAATGAAAGAAATCGAGAAACGGCGCAGCCACGACAACACGAGCCGATCACGAGGCGAAAGCGCCGAGCGTGAAATCGCCCTTAACCCCAGCAGCGCCGCCCCAACCGCCCACCGCCAGGCCCTCGCCTCCGACAATGACGCCACAGCCTCCAACCCGCTAGCTTCATATCTTCCCGCCTCGCCGGCCCCGCAACCCCAGCACCACCCCCAAACCCCGGCAGCCCGCCGCCTCTCCCACCTCACAAACCGTCTCACCGCCATCCATGCCCTTCCAGACGTAGAAGCCCAGCACTCAATCGCCACGCACCTCTTCAGCGGCTACAATGATGAGCTGGAAGACTTCACCCCAGAGGAGCGCAACAAGCTCGTGCAGCAGGCCTTCCTGCACCCCGCCATCAAGGCTAAGCGGCCCGCGGTGTGGATCCCGCAGGACGGGCTCGGGGTTGCGGAAGATGAGATCAGGAGGACCGAGGAGGGTTATCAGGGGCGCATTTGGTTTAGTAGCGGGTTCTGTGCTGTTAAGACCGTGGGGCGACGCAGAAAGGTTAAGGTGGAGTTTTCGAGGCCGCCGCCGGATTGGGATGAGTTGGAGTTTATTAAGTTGTAGAGGAGTTGGAGCGGTTGGTACGTTGATATGGCGAGGAGGTGTAGTTTGTTGTGGTCGGTTATCGTGGCGATTTCTTTTGTGTGCAAGCTTTTTGGGGAGAAGGCATTTGATCATATAGCGTGGTGTTGGGGCGTGTACGGCGAGCATAGAGAGCATATTGCCGTCGGTTTCAAACCTAGAGTGCATATTGAGGCATCGTGATAGCATTTCTTCACACTGCGCCAGAAGAGAAGTCATACCTGGTCACGCTGTTCAGTCTTTGTCATTGGTACCGATGAACTTCTTTATCAGCGATCAGCTAGTCAACACCTCAAACTAGGCTTGCTTCCCGTACGAGGCGACTCTCACTCGTGTTGTGGCCAAGACTCTCGAACTGGAACTAAACAGCTTGTCGGAAGTCTGATATATCAGGGTCTCTTCCTATCTTTCCTCTTAGTTCCAGATGAACTCTAGTCATGTTCCGGGTGAACGAAGAACATCGCGGAGCGGGAGCCTACAGTATACTTTTACATACTTGCGGTTGATAATCCGCTAAACATCAACAACAGCAACAATAGAACTCACACCTGCCGAAATCCAGGCTATGACCCTATGGTGGACAAGCCGATGCGAACCCATTTCGTGACTCAACCAGTCGGTGACTGTCAAGCGCCGCGTTCAATGAGGCGAAGAGCGTGGGTCTGTTTCTACGTAAGTGACTTATTAGAGATCCTTCGGCAATGGGTTCCTAGGAGTCGGTCAATAAAACAATCAATCTAGTGAGAGAACCCATGTAGACTAGACCTGCAACACAGAGCCACACACTTACAGTTGAGGCTACAAGAGCTGCTAGCTGTTCGTCGAGTCTGATGGTATTGTGATGTGGCCACTCGTTTTCACTCTTAGCAGCGTTTTCCAATTGTAGACTGAAGTCATATGAAACGCTTTTCAGAGGATCGCCACGATTCCACGTGCTGTGATACCCGTTTTCTGGGTCTGAGCGGGTTTTCGTCTGCCACCAGTGGAAGACATGAAAGCGTTTCCCGTGGCCACATTCGCCGGGGACAACCTAGTACAGACGCGATGCTCAGACTGCTGCTTGTGAATGTAAGCGACATAGCTTTACCTCGGCATTGAATCTGAATACCGCCAATGGACCACGCAAAGCATCAAGTGCCGCTGTAGGAATGATCCGCGTGACCGTGATAGCTCGTTGCATGCTGGTTCTGACATCGTCAGGAACGTATCCCAACGTCTGACATTTCGACAGCCAAATCCAGTTATGATGCACTGACCCTATTGTTAGTAAATGCTTCAAAAGCTGAAGGACACGCCTAGGCTTTAACTCACTTCCATCACTGTCTCGGAAGGCAGTTAGGGCCCAGGATCCAGTCTGCGTGTCTCGTGTAACTGTTGCATTTCCGACGATGCTGAAGTTGACCGTCACACCCGGGCTAGGACCTGCTATACCGCCAGCTCCAGCTTGCCAACCTCGAGATTCAGTCTGACTGATTTTCGTGGTGGGCGTGACATCGGACTCGGGCAGATACACCTCGGATCCCTCAATGTTGCACGTCAATTTTATCGATCTCAAGTAATGCCACTTCCTTCTTGGTCTTTGGGTTTCTTTCTCGACAACGGTTGTCTGAAAGATAAACCTCGCGGAGACGATATACCCTCGTGAATCTCTCTCGACAGTAATCGTCGGCCGTACTATGGCGCAGCATACCTTCTCATTAGGTCGATGATATCGGGTAGAGTCTATGTCTGCGAAGAATACCGGCGAACTCGGACTAGTTCTTGCCGGCAAACTCATACTAGTTACTGCCAGAGAAGTTGACTAAAAGTAAAAATACTATGCAGGGAGGGCTGAAAGGGGCTCTCGGCTCCTGAACAGTCTGCAGATGATACGGAAGTGGTGTGATCAGAGTACAAGGAAAAGCAGAGCATCTAGACGGTAGGATTGACTGCCCGCAAAATATCGTGCCGCACTTTATACTTGGGAAGTACCATGAGTGTAAGGAAATCTTGTATGGGATATCGTCGCTGACGAACTGTCCGCTTGATATATTATAAAGCGGCTGAAATTAGAATCATCAGATATGGGCACCGCACCTATCAAGCCCGCAGGATGTGTCACTGCTGGGGTTTGGGTTCCCACCTTTAAACGATGCCTGCCCCGCCATAAGCTGACATCCATATAGGTAATCAGGCGACTGACGCCTCGCAGACAGGGTGGAGTCAGCTCGGGCAAGAATCAGACCGCCCAAGCCAAATGTGGACGGCAGAGCAACAACATGACTGGCTAACGCTGCTAATACGCTCTTTGGCAGCATTTTCTGAATTTTCTACAACAGAAGCCAGTTTCAGTACGGTCTTCATAACGCGTCTTTGCATGGCCATCTTAACATTAAGGCACCTCATTTCTACCGAGTGGCTGAGTCAACAGTTCAGACGAGCTGGTGATTGATTTTAGTAGTGCTTCAGATGAGAGAAGCAGCTTCCGAAAGGGAATCTACAATATACTTGCGGTGGTATCTAGACAAGGACCTAATCACATACGCAAAGACCTACCTTGCTCCTCACACCGTCTCGATATATCTCTTGACCTCCCTACAATCAAAGTCAGCCTCCAACCAAACAGGAGAACAACGAGAACGAGTTCAGAAAACCCTTAAACTCACCAATCCGTAACCGCCTCCTCCCAAAGCCTAACCTCGTGCTCCCTCGTCCCCCCAAAGTGCTCAACGAACTCGTCGCCAAATACCTCCCTCGCGACACTCTCCTTCCTCATGAACCTCTGATTCGCCTCCTTCAGGCTCTTCGCCAGCCGTATTCCCTTGTCCGCCGCCCCGCCCACATCCTCACCCTTGCCCAGCGGCGGCACGGGGATCTCGAGTTTCTTCTCCACGCCCCGCCAGCCGAGCGCCAGGATTGCGGCGAGCACCATGTACGGATTCGCGTCGGCGCCCGCGACGCGCACCTCGAAGCGCGTGGCTTTCGGGCTCGCGGTCGGCGGGGCTATGAGCCTGATACTCGCGGCCCGGTGCTCGAGGCCCCAGCTCACGGTCACAGGCGCCCAGAAGTTCTCGACGAGCCGCTTGTAGGAATTAATTGTAGGTGCTACGATAGGCATGACGTCTGGCAGGCCGTCCAGCAGGCCGGCGAGGAAGTGCCGACCGAGATCTGAGAGGAACTTTATGTCGGGGTAGGGCGGATTGGGGTCTTCGGAGCCGCGGTAGAAGAGATTTTTGCCGGAGGTGTCGACAATGGAGACGTGCATGTGGCCCGAGTTGCCGGGGAGGTTGTGGCGGGGCTTGGCCATGAAGCAGGGGGTTATGCCGTGTTTGGAGGCGAGGGATTTGACGGTGAGTCTCGAGAGATGTCAGCAGTCGGTAACCACACGGGAAGAGGTGAGCTGAGGGGGTGGATGGTGGGGAGGGCAGACTTAAAGAGTGCGGCCTTGTCGGCCATTTCTCGTATCTCGCCGAACTCCAGTGCCTACCAGCTTGGTCTTAGTGATCAGGTTTCATGAGCGCTCTAGGGCTAGGAGACGTACGGCTTCGAAGACACCGGGACCACTCTCGGTGTGCCAGCCTTCTATGCCGCACCTGAACTTTTCACAGGCGTCGAAGATGCCGTAGAAGTAGTCCTGGTTGTGCACCGGCCGCGTCAAGCTGTATCCGAACATCCCCTCCGTCAAACTCGGCAGCTGATCCGGTGGGTTATCCAGCAGGAACCGCGCTGTCGATGAAGAGTTGCGCTGGGTGGCATTGGGATCTGCCGGTGCTCGGAATTGGTAGAACTCGTACTCCGCTACGACACAGCAATGACTGCTGCATTAGCGCTGCGGAGAGCCTCTTGAGAGGTCGAGGAGCTCACCTCCGGCCATTGCGCCGAACCCGTCCTCCTTCAGCTTGTCCACCGCCCGCTTCAACAGGCTCCTCGGGCAGGCGCTCAAGCTCTCCTGCGTGTCCGGGTCGTAGAAGCTGACGAGGAAGAACGGCACGTTGTCTTCCCACGGTATGCGCCTGTAGCTGCTGAGGTCCGGCACGGCGATGACGTCTCTATATCCGTTTTCCTTGTTGCTGATCTTGAGCTCTTTGAAGTAGGTCTGGTCGTGCATGTCCCAGCCGAAGATTACGGAGCAGAAGCCGAAGCCCGTCTTTGCAATGGAGATGAACTTGGACTTGGCCATCAGCTTGCCGCGCGGGATGCCATCGACGTCGATGCCGGCGACCTTGACGGCCTTGTCGTCTTTGAGGAGCTCGGAGAGCGATTCGAGCGTTACCTCGGTGTCGTTGGGCATGATGACGGGAAGATGTAGCACAATTGACAGTGGTACTTGGTTTTGGTTCTAGCTGAGGGACAGGTGGACGAGAGTGAGTGAGGTTGTGCGAGGCGGAGGAAGGGTCGGCGCTTGCTTTCCCCTGCGGGTGTTCCTGTCTTCAGGCTTTGAGCTTCCAGGTTGCTGCAAGCCCAGATCACCAGCTTGGACCCCTTTCCGATCATCTGGGCATCTCGCTCATGCGGCTGCGGGGGGGGACAAGCCCCAGGCCCGTTCCAGGTTGCGGGGTCCGCCCATCTTCCATCTCACCTGCAAGTCGGGCAGGATCCCCGTGACTGCTAAACCACACCTCACGAAACTTGTCACGATCAGGAAGCGTGGATTGACTGCTATGTAGTAGCCGCACGTTGGTTCGAAAATCCAAGGGCCTGGTGTCGGGCCTACAGTCTTAGGCGTTCAGTCATGCGCCCATCGAGCTGAGTGAGTCCCGTGACCGCGGGGTTTATCTGTTATCTCTGCCCCGCCCTCAGACAACCCTCCCCTCCGAAGCTTCCAACAACCTCAACCTCAAAGTAAGCAACGTTACCATAAGCCTCTTTGACGTATCTGACATCTACACCCAGACACACTAGCAGCTGACACGTCTAAAAGCTTCCAGCCAAGCTTGTCAAGTACTCAGACTCACACTCACAACCATCCAAACAAGAAACAATCATGCACGGCAGCACCTGCCCCAAGTGCTCGGCCGCCATCACCGGCGATAACAAGCACTGCGATAAGTGCGGAAGCGTAAACTTGCCCCTTATCTAAAGCTAAAGCTGCCTTGGAAGAGTGTAACTAACCGTATACGCAGAACTGCCCCGTCTAAACACGATAACCATGGAAGTCACCGGTTTTTGGGCTAGGAGATAGTCGCGCCGCGTAGGATTGATTGGTCTACGAAATATACGAGATTTGAGCCGTCTGAGGTTCTACGTGTAACTAGTGTCAACGGGCTTTCACGGTTGAATCATTCACGTTCCGTCCACCATGCTGCCCACCCCATCTTTGACGTATCGGGCCTGGCTGCCTTATCTACGCCTTGCTGCCAGAGTACTACCAGATCCCTTGACTCTGCACTGTCCCACGGCCTTACCACTGAATAGCGCCAACATTACCTTCCTCAGCCAGTCCAACACCTCCGATCAGAAGAGTCAATCAGCAATCCCTCCCAAAGCCTTTACATAAGACTAAGCGTGTGTCCTGAAACGAATATCACCTGCCTGAAATGCTTTGCCGCCGCTAGCGACAATGAAGACCATTGCTGATATCGCAGCGCTGTGGAGAAGCCTTCTACAAGACTGTGATTAAAGACACCGCTAGTCGCCTTCGCAAAGTTGATATCTTTACTTCTAGTGACAACAATTCATGAGGTAGACCTCCACGACGCGGAAGTCAAACACTGTGGTAGCTCGAGACAGTTCGACACCAAAGGATTTGGTGAATAGATATATGATACTTTAAAGGCAATGCACCGTAGCATCTTCTTGATAAACCGTGTGAGATAGAAGCCCGCTAGACGTCACCCCAAGCGCGCCATCACCACTAACGCCCTCGATCTCATTCCTGACCAACGCCACACTACACCTCCTCCCCGTCCCTAATCATCATAAACGCTCCTATTGAAGAACCTGTGAATCTGCCTCCCCGCCTCCTTCCCCACTAGTTTGCTAATATCCTCCTCCTCCATATTCGCCAGCTCAATAATCCCCTCCACCTCCAATGTGATCCTCCCCAAGTTCTTCTCCGTGATCCCCGGTACAACCCTCAGCATATCCTGGGGCACCTGACTGAACACCCTCGCAGAGTTCGGATCCTCGCCGTCATCCAGCCCAATCTGCACCGCTTTGATCGGATCAGGCTCCTCCTGCTGCTTCTTCAGCTCCTCGAAGATCTCGGCTGTCTGGTACGGCGAGCTTGACCAAATAATCCGCAGTTTCGGGAACGCGAGCGTCAGTAGCACGAGCTTGGACTGCAGGTCGCTCGCCTGCAGACTATTGACCCCGGCGGAGAAGAGATCGGCGAACGGCTCGAGCGTGAAGGACTTGTTCTGGTCGAACTCGATCAGCAGGAAGGGGTGCGCGTAGTGTAGCAGCATCGTCTCGGCTTGGTTGTATAGCCGGCCGTTGTTGAAGGAGGAGATCAGGTCTTTCACCGACTTGCGCTCAACGCAGATGCTTGGGCTTAAGACGTAGTCGCCCACGGTCAGCATGCAGGGGACCACGACCATGTTGCGGCCGTGCAGCAGTGACGGGAGCGAGGAACGGAACTCGCGCACGTCGACGACGACGCGCGGGGGTTGTGCGGTTGCGGCTACGCGGCCTCCGCCTGCGATGCGCGTATTGAGTGTACGGAGGAAGGCCTCTTGCGGGTCGGTGCTCGCGTCGTTGAGAGTCAGTGCCATGCTCCCCCTCTCCCTTACAAGCCTCGTAAACGCGTCTTTCTCACGGCGCACAGCGCTCAGGTAGCGCTGCTCCTCGACCGAGCCGCCATAATACAGGAAGTAGACACGGACGTTGCGGTCGGTATGGGAGCTCCGATACACCTCGACCCGCCTTATAAACGCGGCATCGGGCTCGTACATGATCACGTAGCGAGGCTTCACCTCCTCCAGCACATGTTCGTCCATGTCGCCGTCGTAGGGATGGATGACGACGAGCTCGTTCATGTCATAAAGTTCGTAGTAGTCTTCCATGTCCTCGAGGGGATCGGCTCCAATCTCGCCTTTTTGCAGCGCTTCGGCGTCCGTGGGCGCCAGCTCAGCCATTAGGTCTGCAATGTGCGATTCGCGGTCGCCAGCTACGTGGATGCTACCGCTTGCGGTTCTCGTGGTCGTCGAAGCTGCTGCTGATCCTCCGCGCACGCGTCTTCGTTTGTGCGCGGGGGCCTTGCCGCGAGCGTTCTGTCCGCCTCGCTTGTCTGCCTCGCCGTTGATGGTCTTCTCGTTCTCGGCAAAGAGCGAGGCGCTGACTTTGGCGAAGTCGCGCTTCCAGTTGAGGTAGTTGCGCAGCCGGCGCCGCATCATGAACGAAGCTGATGGCGTGGACTCGTCCTCGGCTCCGTCAGCGTCTCCATTTGATTCCTCCGGCCGTATGCGCATGGTCTGGAGATACTCGCGCAGTTGAGCGCAAGTCCCTTGATCACCGCACATGATCAGTATGGTGCCGTTCGAGTCATCCCGGACTGGAGGATTGAAGTAGTTATCGCGGTCGATCTCCTCGAGAATCTCCGCGAGCACTGCCCATTTCGGAAGCTCCTCAAGTACTGGATGGAGGGAGTCAGGTACACCTCCTGCGCCCCCCGTCGTGTCACCGTTCGTGATCTTGCCACTGTATACGCGGCGTTTTGCCGTTTCGAAGATGGTATGAGCAGCGTCGAGGAAGAGCCATGGCGACTGGTTTTGCCGTGTCGACCCGGGTGGAGGAGAGGAGGCAGCAAGCACAGTATCTAGATACTTGTTGAAGTTGACGGCATCGTATGTCAACAGCGAGCTGTAAGCGTTAGCCTGTTGTGACAGAACTGATGCTCGTTGCGACTTACTGCAAGATCGTCCGTAGCAGCGTGAGGTCTCGTGCAATCTGCCTGGTCCTGAAGGTGGTCCGGTGCCACACAGGGTCGAGCTGCCGCCTTACTATAACGTCGAAACTCTTGTGTAGTGCGCTATCCAGGTTCCAGTCTTCCATCTGAAGACCTGGATTCCCCTTCTTAAGCTCGCTGATGCTGACCTCGACGCACTCCATGACCGCATTCTGTATGAGCCTCATGCCTTCGGTCATGGGCACCTCGAGCTCAATCACTTCCGCCTTCCGCCGGCCCTCAAGGGACTTCGCGACTGAAACGTGGAAGCGTGGGTATAGTGAGGGCTTCCTTAAGAACAGATTGCGCATCATGTTGGCGAGCGGAGAGAACCCAGTCGTAAACGGCTCCGGGTTGTCGGAGAACGCTTTCAAGAAGCCTGTCTTGTTCTTCTGCCGGTAGATGCGCAATATGAATGCCTCCAGCGATGTCGCAACAACCCTCTCAGCGTGCAACACCACAATGCCCGTCACCGTAGCCGGGTCCAGCAGTCCAGAGAGAAAGTCCACAATCAGGATCCGCGATGTGATGCTGAATATCCCTCCTCCCGAATACATCTTCTCCCTTGCCCCCACGCTCGTAAGGTCCGTATTGACGAGGCTCAGACCGCGAGCCTTGGGCACCATGCTGATGGCGGCGTGCTCTGCCAGCGACTCCCCGATCCATCCATTCTCGCGGTCGTCGGCTCCAACAAGCAGAATCAGGTTGTTTCCGGCCGCATCATAGGAGTGCAGAAGGTTCGTTACGATGCGCAGTAGGCCGAGGCCACGCGCAATGAGGACGAGGGCATCTTCCTCGCGCAGTTCGCGGAAGATTTCTTGCTGGAATTCCTGAGAGGGACGTGAGCAGAGGGGGTCTTAAAGCAGGGTAATGAATCGGTTTACCAGCGGCAGCGAGAGCTTCACCGGCGCTTTCTCATCTCCGGGCATCTGGTGTCGGGTGCGGTCACAGTCGAGAAGAAGCTTTGCAGGGTATCACGACGCGCCGAGGTTTCCGTTAACCTCTCATGCGGCGCGTCATCGCTCTCGATCTTTCATCACGAATCCAAAGGAGTCTCCAAGGGGATGGAGGTAAATGGTGCTTTTCTACCCCCGTTCCTGTCTATCACTGCGGGTCATGTGACGTTCTATGTTCATCGACCAAGGTTGAGTGGGCAAAGATGATCAGTACTCTGCTTGGGAGCTCTTGTGTGTAGTTTGAAGCATCCCCTTAAAAGGCAGATATCAAGATCCCGTGAACAACCGCCAGAGCTGGTGAGGGTTAATAGTCAATACTATATCCGATAGAAAGCGTCTAGACTAGAGGCGCTTATCAAGTGTCTAGAAGTCTCTACAGAGAGCATAAATGCGTGATCTATCCACACTCTTGCATGAGATATCAACAAGGCGATTTATTCAACGCCTGGACGCCGTTAGGCAGCCAAAACACCCCGATAATTATATGGTCAGTCGATTGAGAACAATGATCTTTTCCGAAGCGAACTCTCTTCCATGTCCGCAACTCTTTCCCGTACATTGCTAGAGACCGTTACCAGTGCCTCGAGCGCCGTTGTGCCTGCCTGCCGCACTGATGATAAACTTAAGGAGCTTGCCATTGCTTGCGATAATTCGCTCATCGAGGGCAAGTCCAGCATGCTCCTCGAGGAGTTCCTAAAAGCGGTCGAGGGGAGCCTCATGGCTGCATCTCGTGCTGCACCTCGCATATCTTGCTGAATACGGTCCTTGAGGAGGCGGAGGGAAGATAAGTCGGAAGAATCGAGGGAGGGAGCCAGTGTTGGAAGCAGAACTGCGGCGACGATGCTGAGACTTCGCGTTGGCGTGTTCGATTTGACAAACTCGTCGGATGGATCGCCACTCTCCGAGTCAGAGACAAAGTTCTGCACGTCCGGCAGCATGATCATGAGGTTCTTCGTAATCAATTCTGCTTGATAAACCCGTGCTGCCTTCATGAACATGTCCAGCACAGGGTCATTTGAGGATCTCAAGGTCATCATCCGAGAGAATAGATCCAAGTACTGTAATCCGAGCTGCTCGTCTGATTGCTGGGACAACGACATTGCTCCGATGCGCGCTCGAAGTAAAAGATCCCACTCAGAATTGTCCAATCTGGCTGGAGCGGCATGCATAATCATCCTGCACATGGAGATGAGAAGCTCCGCAGCAGAAATTCCCATGAGCTTGTCAGCTTGGCGCATCAATGGCAGCTGTTCAGCTGGGAACTCCGTCCGGCGGGTCTGCCAACGTTCCCATAGGCAGCAGAACAGCCCGATGTAGTCCGCCTGGCGTTCGTACCTTCTGTGGGAGTGTAGACTCTTCCACGAGCCAGGAATCTTGACTGTGCATCGAATCTCGCTGGTACACCATTGCAGACAAGAGCGCATACAGGGATTTCCCATGGAACCGTGCTTGAGCTCGAACGGGCCGGGCGCCCGTTCGAGTATTGCTTCTCGTAATCGTCTTCGAATGAGGCTCTTGTCGACAACAAGCTTATCTTGAGCCACGCGTCCAAGGGTCTTCGCTTTTCCAAGATCACCGAGGCAACCCAAATACTGGGCGAGGAAAGGATACGTTATGATGTCTAGCGAGCGATCTTCTTCCCGGAGCTGCATGAAAAGGTTCTCGTTTGAGAGATTGAATCCCATAGCAGTTTCGATGTGGAAACTTGCAGTGAAATCGTCACCACAACGGATGTAAGTGTATGCAAGGAGCATGCGGAACAAGAAGATCTCCGCATCGGTGGCCGATCCCTGCGGGTCCTGTAGCTTCTGCTCCAGTAAGCTTCGTGCAATCTCTACCTGGGATGAAGTGGTCGCAGAGCGGGCACATGCAATAATGGCCGAAGACATCATCCACACTGGCTGGTTAGACTGCTTAAGCCGTTTCAGTACAAGCACGTACAAGGGGAAGGCATCCTCATCAGAGAGTAGAGAGTAGAGGAAGTCGGCAGCGTGCTTCATGTCTTGGATCTCATTTCGGGAAAATGTGTCAATTGGGCGGCTGCTGTCAATTAGCCTCTCGCGTCCGGATGCTTGGCCAGTGGAAAGTTGTTCGCGTATGTCTCGATCGGAATCGTCCCAGTCTGAGCCGGTTTCCGAGAGCGGCAGATCCCTATCCGCGTCATGTGCACAGTTCGAAATAGTCGAGCGGCTCTCCTCTATCAACAATTCAGGCATAGAAGCGACCACGTCAGCTCCTCCATTGGCGATTCTGGAAGCTGTGCCGCCAAGAGGCATGGCTGTTGGTGCCGCTGGGACGGTATCCCCAGGACCTGGCTGAGACTCGCCTGGCGTGTTAAATACTAACCCAAGATCAGCGTACGGATCTTTTGACGAGATAAAGCCGGATAGCTTCTGCCGCTTCTTTGGCGGTACCGCAGGCTTCTGGCACGAGCTCTGTTTTCGTATTCGAGGGCAGGTCTGAACAATCGATGTCTGAAGTGAATCGTCATCTTCAACCACGTGATGGGCTGTCGGACCTGAGGGACGCGGTAGTGAGACCGGAAGGTATTCAGATCGCGCGGGCTCCTTGCTCGTAGTGTTGTACTTGTGGACGCCCCACTTCTCAAATTGAAAGACGTACTGTCGGCGACTGAGACGATGAGCACAACATCCAAGAAGAGAAAAGCAGGGCTCAGCAGGGAACATTTGAGAGGACGCACGAAGGTTCAAAGCCATGCCTGACCTTCATCATGGCCATTAGATCATCCAGAGTCATCTTCTGATAGAATTCGCAGAGCTCCTCTCTGTGCTCCTCCCATTTCGATGCCGTAATTGGTTTAGCGCGTGGGACCGGCGGCCCTTTCCATTGGAGTGGATGCTGCGGTGGCATCTTTCGAGATGACCCTCAGTACACATGATGAAAGACATAAGGGCAAGGCCCTCTTATGTAGCCACGGATTGCGGTCGGCAGGTATGGCTGGTCTCAGCTGGAGGATGCAGAGGTACGTGGGGCAGAGTAAGGCAGATTTCCAATTGCCGAATTGAGCTTAGTACAATACATCGCCTTTCGTATCTGTGTCATGATCATACCGCAAAGCACTCGACTACATCAGAACTATTCCGAATTCTGCGAGGATATGCATTCAGCAACTGAATAAAGTTCTCACCCAGGTAATAGCAACCCACGACCCCTTGACCCTACGTCCCGCCTTTTGTGCCTAGGCTAGACTCTACTGGGACATTGGAATTTCACCCATCTGGGGCAATAGTACCGCACTAGTTCTTGCATTACGCCTGCCTTTTGCCCTACAGTGAGGGTAGGCCTCCATTTCTCTCACATGCTAACAAATCAGCTCTTTTGGCTGAACCAGTAACCCGGAATTGCGATGCTGCCCCTGTGTCTTTTATACTGCCACCAGCGCGGTGGCGTCAAATCAGAGACTTATCTCTATTAAGGCTCTCATACCCGGCTTAATCTAGAGCGATGCTGTGCTGTAATCCCGCAGGGACAATCGTTCGAGCCTTCGGGGGGCACACACACACCCATAAAGGGAATTTGGAAATTCGGCGTCGGTAGTATCATGTCTACTTTCGGGGACGTTTCCATGTATTACTCTCTGTCTGGACATGGTCTGCCAATTTTACAGAGAGCAGACAACAACATCGCTTCAGTAACTCTTTCTACACTGAGTGTTCCTATCAATTCTTATCCAGTCCAAAGTCTTCCTCCGCTTTAAACTCAACAGCTCCAAGATCGTTCATTATGCAAGACGCAAACGCTTCTCTGTTGTACATGGGAGTTTGGTGTGAAGACGTCCCTCACTCATCATTCGGCGATCACCCCGAGACAGATCACACCTCCGACTCATATCACTGCGGGGAGTTTTGGGGGTCTAAAGAGCTCCGGCGGCCGCTTCCGGCGCGTATCGACTCCCATAACGGGTCAACAAGTGCACGAAAGGAACCAGAAAATTGTCCCCATGCATCCATCCAGAAGGAACCACTACTTCCGTGCAAGCATCATATCAGCTCGGAGAACCACACACCGATGCGGAGATGGCTAGGGGAACCCACCAAAGAGGGCCCCTGGATGGCGCTCGAATGTCCCTTGAGGAATCACTCTATCCAAGGTAAGAAACCTTCTGCGACAGAGTGTGATACGACGTTGTCTGACACTACCACTATAGTGGAAGCTCCTCGAACAGGCAATGAACCCCCGAGGCGTACGGAACAACTCTGATTGATGACGGGTGTGGAGGTTGGCGTTCTCCGAGAGGGCTGTGATCTTACAACGTGCGCTTTGTATCTTCATTCGTGAGTGTCACTGGCATGGTAAGGGATTGTTGGCATTCTCTGAATCTTCATTGGCGAGTTCTGTGCGATCGCAGAGATCTACGAAAACTACAAGAACTGTTTCCAGCAAACAACAGCGGCTGCACTGGATAGCGGCTCGGTTATACTGCTTAGGAAGTGCTGGACAGCGAGTAGTGTGAAAACGGTTGGTCTTTGGTTGAGTTGGCATTATCCGACCAGCTTCTTCCAGGCCGAACATGCCTTTACGGTGGTTAAACAATGCGCACATGTTGGAGATCTAAACGCGTTAGTTATCAGCCAACCCTTAGTCAATCGGGGTTGAACACAAAGCTCTGATAGAGTCTCTCATGCTTGGGATCGTTGCATCGCACTTGGCTCGGATTGTTTAGCGCACGATTTTTAGTAATCTAATATCTATACAGAACTGCCAGCCAGATTATGCATCACACGATTGGTTGAGCTGCTGCAAGGAAGCCGGTCAGATGGCGTGAAATGCGCCCTCCACAAGAGTTTTCTTTGGGCGGGCCGCTCTCACAACGCTCTGTCTTATGCCTGGAAGACACACGATGCAAACTCTATAGATCCCCATCATCTGCAACGAGCAGTCTCTGCTCGTTGGTACGAATCTCTGCCTCGCTCTTCTGTGACAACGACATCACAGCCTTGCGGTCATCCTTTAGGTGGATGTTCGTATCAACCAAGCGGATGAAACCAAGCGAACCCGTCACGTCGGCATGATGCGCAAAATATATGAAAACAGCAATGAGATTGTCGTATGCCTGGGGGAACGACAGCGCACAGAAGACACGGTAGAGCTGTGGCTTGGGATCCGTGAAAAGGATGGATCCTCGATTGTATCGCATGTGAGGATCTACTATACTATGACTGTTGTACAACCAGCTTACTCAACATACCTGGCATGTGTTGTGAAAACAACGTGCATGCAGAGATGAAGCATGAGAGGGTTTCGTCTTGCAGCGAGGGTGGGTGTGAGTGGAACATTTGGAGTTGATAGACTTTGTATTCCAAACCCATACTATCCAAAAACAATAAACCTATATCAAACCGTCTCACAGAAAGAAAGGAGACAGCTCTACAGGCTCGCAGCTGGGGTAGGGTCACCGGCCTGCGCGTCAGAAAAACCGTCAGCGCCGGACGCTGGCACAAGGCGCGCAACAACAGAATGCTGAAGGTAACAGCAGTCAAAGCAAGGGTAGACTTTTCATTATCCAAGTTCTCATCTCGAAGGTACATGATGGGACATACTGGGAACTCCTCCCGCTACAGGCACCTGACCGGCAATTTACAATTTCGCCGCAGGGGACGGAGAACCCACATTCGTGATCTCATTGTACAGCAGCCTGTTTCCGTTCGATTAGCTTCGTTGTCCTTACGCCATCGTTGCCAATGTGAGCAGGGGTACTTACGAGGTCAAAAACTCCGAATAGTCCTCCCCGGTAACCTGCCCCTCGAAATACTTCGCCGCCAAGCCGAACTTGTTCCCCTTGGGCGCCTTGCCCTCCAACTCCTTCGCCTGCTCCCTCAGCAGCTTGAGCGCATAGTCCTTATCCACCCTCTTCCCCTCCGCGGTGCTAATGTTATGCCTGCACCACTGCCACAGCTGACTCCTACTGACCTCCGCGGTGGCCGCATCCTCCATCAAGAAGTTAATCGGCACACACCCAACGCCCCTGAGCCAGCCCTCCATATACCCAAGCCCGATGTTGAGGTTCTTGCGGATACCCTCCTCGGTGATCTTGCCGGGCACGTTCATGTTGAGCAGGTCGTTGGCGGTGATGTTGACGTCTTCGCGACGGATGAACATCTGGTTCGGCGTCGGCATGTGCGCGTTGAAGACCTCGGTCGCGATCGAGGCGAGCGCGGGGTGTGCGACCCAGGTACCGTCGTGGCCGGCGCGCACTTCACGCAGCTTGTCGCTACGCACGTTGTTCATGGCTGCTTCGTTGGCGGCGGGGTCGGTCTTGATGGGGATTTGGGCCGCCATACCGCCCTGGGTAGAATTTTAGCGGGTGTGAGCGGACAGCGCGAGCTAGCAGTGCAGAAGGGAAGGGATTAGAAAGGGCTTACCATGGCGTGCACGCCTCGCCTATGGCAGGTCTTGATGAGGAGCTTAACATAGGCGTCCATAAAGGGGACGGTCATCGTCACGGCGGAGCGGTCGGGAAGGACGAAGTTGGAGTTCTGGCGGAAGCGCTTGATCACGCTGAAGATGTAGTCCCAGCGACCGCAGTTGAGGCCTGAGCTGTGGTCCCGGAGTTCGTAGATTATCTGAAGCGCACTCTAGTCAGTTTGACTCGGTTCCCTGTTAGGAGTGATGCTTACTTCGTCCATCTCGAAAGCGGCGAGAATAGTCTCAATCAGCACGGTACCCCGGATGGTGCCTCGGGGCATGCCAATGTAATCTTGCGCCAGATTGAACACATCGTTCCACAGCCTGGCCTCGAGATGCGACTCCATCTTCGGGAGGTAGAAGTACGGCCCAGTGCCCCGCTTGACGAGCTCCTTGGCATTGTTGAAGAAGTAGAGACCGAAGTCGAACAGACTGCCAGAGATAGGCTCGCCGTCTACAGTCATGTGTTTCTCCTCGAGGTGCCAGCCTCGAGCGCGGGCGATGAGGGTAGGCAGGACGCGGTCGGTGCGCAGCTTGTACTCCTTCTCGCCTTGCTTAAAGTCGACCTGCTTGCGGATGGCGTCATAGAGGTTGAGTTGGCCGTTGATCATGTTGTCCCATGTTGGCGCATTCGAGTCTAAGGGGGTTTCGCCGTCAGCTTCTGGACGCTCCGCAACAATAACTGCCTACTACACACCCTCGAAGTCCGCCATATATGTCCACACATCCGAGTTCAGCGCATTGACGACCATCTTCCTGTCTGTCGGGCCCGTGATCTCCACGCGCCTGTCTATCATGCCCGGCGCCGGGGGAGCGCCCTTCCATGCATCGTTCTCTCGGATGTGCTTGGTCTCTGGGAGAAAGTCTGGGAGGTTGCCCTTGTCGAGCTCGGCCTGGCGGATCATGCGCCGCTGGAGAAGGGCCTTGCGCCTCTCATTGAAGGTGCGGTGGAGGAGAGCGAGGAAGACGGTAGCATCTTTGCTGAGAATCTGGCGGGTCTTGTCGTTGAGCTGGCCGAGGATGTTGACGTCCTTGAGGACCTGATCGGGGTTTGCTGCCATTGCGATTGCTATGTTGACCTGTTTCTGGTAGCTGTCCGAGTGAGGGTGATATCAGCTGAATTGACAGGCTTCAAGGAACTCCTTCGAGCCTTCGAGGAGGTGGAGGTGTCGGTAATATATCAGACAGTACGTCACACTCCATGATGCCGAGGGCCAGCTGTGAATGGGCGAACGAGCGCTGTCGTCCAGTCCCCTCATGCGCGGCGCTGCTCACGGGCCCGGACTGCTGGCTTCCTCGGGCAGAGGGGAAGCTTGCTCGAGCTGACTCGGCTTGTGATTTTGGTGGGGGGAAGCCGATCCGAACCGTTACTTTACATAAACATGCACGTCTGGCCATCACTCGATCAGCGTCAATTGCAACAGGCACAGCCTGAGGTGATGCGAGGGTCCTTGAGAGTCACTGTCGATGGACGCGGAAGGAAGTGCTGCTGCTGCATTGTCGTCGGCTCAACCATCTGCATATCCGGGCCCTGGGCGCAAAGAAGCCGTACGGGGTTCTTCTCCGGGGCTTTCCGAGCATGGCCGGGGCAATCCGCAACTTTGATCTGACCCCCCATCACACACTGGCAACCTCAGTTAAAGTAGGGAAACTATCGGACAGTCAGAGCGCCCGAGCACCCGAGCGCCCCTCGAGAGGCACAACCTGGTATAGCAATCTACGGGCTGCCTACCGTTCACTGACTCCGTCCGGAGAGAACGTCGTAGATGTCGTGGATGCACGAGCGGATCCGCATGCGGCAGGGGTCGCTCAGCCCAGCTTTGATATCACGTGACCTCTAGTCCTCCCTCCATTGAAACATGTGTGACCCAAACGACATGGGCAGTCCACTTGGTTGTAGCTCGAAACGGAAACTGCACCTACTCTTGTGCTTCAGCTATAGCTGTCGGCTCTCCAAACAGTGACTCTGTATACATCTGTCACAGCCTCTCCGCCTTCAAGGCTGGATCCCTGCCCTCTCCAACCTCTGCCTCTTTCAGATCCCGACCCCGGCCCTCATCGTACCTACAAACCCGGCTGTCTCACTATCCCTTCCGGCACGAGAGGCAGAGACGCCCCTGTAGGCCTCCTCGGCAGAGACTCTCATTCAATCGTTCACCAGTCATCCTTATCATCCTCGTCATCTGTGAAATCAATTAGCATCTTCCAAAAACTCGTGCCACGATGAAATGTTATCGAAAAAGTTGCGTAAGGAAAGGAAATCCCACATACCGGAATGCGAAACCTTGCTCTTCCTCGCCGCCAACGCGCTCGCCAGCGCTCCCGCCAACCCTCCATCCGCTCCCCCTACACCACCCCCACTACCACCGCCAGGCGCCGGACTCGCACTAGCAGCCCCCGGCACAGTCGCCGCGCTCCTATCCTTCTTCTCCGTCTCCGAGACCTTCCGTAGCCGTGCGCCGCCCCTGATATCCGCTAACAGGCCATCGCGTCCCCCGCTCGGTTTTGGGAGTGGTGGGCCTGCACCACCTGGCGGCAACGGTGGAGGAGGCGGCGCTCCGCCTGATGGGGGTAGAGGAGGGGGCGGTGGTGCGCCAGATGAGGGTGGCATTGGTGGAGGGGGTGGAACGGAGCGTGAGGCGGTCGGTAACGGAGGTGGAGGCGGAGGACCGGCGCTGCTTGGGGGTAGCGGCGGTGGAGGAGGTATACTGGATGGTGTCGGTGCGTTGGGCGCTTTAGAGAGAAGCGGTGGCGGTGGGGGCACATAAGCGTCGCGGACTGGCGGCGGAGGTGGGACGGGGCCGCGGCTTGGTGGTGGGGGTGGGCCTGGGGGTGCGCGTTGGCCTGCAAATGGTGGGGGCGCGCCAAAGCGGGATGGGGCTTCGTCATCTTCTATAGGGGTTTTGGGTGGCCGAGGTGGAGGCGGTGGACCTGGGTTTGCCATTGTGTTTGAGGATGCGCGAGCGCGGGCTGGAGGCGTCGGTGCCGTGGGTACGAGTTTGCCTGCTTCTGCAATTGGCGGTGGAACGCGGAACTTCGGTCCTGGCGGAGGTGAGGGCTGCCTTGGCGGAGAGGGTTCTGGGCTTGGGGATCTCCTCGGCGCTGGGGGAGCGGGCGCTTCTCCTCGAGTCCGTCTCGCAGGTGGCGGCGCGGGAGGTGGACCTCGACGTGACGAGGATGTGCTGCCGGTATTCTGGGGACTCATTCTGGCAGCCATGGGAGGACCGCCCGGCGGTGGAGGCGGAGGCGCTCGTGATCTCCGGTCATCGGCAGCGGCCTCTCCAGCTTTTTTCTGCTCGATGTACATCTTTATGAACTCGGCGTTTTCCTCAATCTGATCCTCTGTTATGCCCATCTGTAGAAGCTCCTGCAGAAGCGGCTGCCATGACGGATCTGCCGTGTCTATTGTGGAGCTCCTCCGGCTTGACGGCATGCTCGGGCGGCTCGATGGGGCAGGCGATGCTATCGGCACTTCTTTTGGAGGAATCATGGACTGCGCAGGGGGTTGGTGAGAACCGGAGGAGTGCCGACCGAAAAGGCCACCAAGCAAGCTGTGATGCTGCTTGCCATTCGTTGCAGGAGCGCTGCCGACTGTGCCAGCGGCGTTCCCAAAAGGCTTTGACTTTGTATTCTTGTGCGCGTTCTTCTCCCTTTCGTCCATCTTCTTCTTGAACTGCTTTGCTTCCTTCTCGTCCGCGAAGGACAAGCCCGCCAGGCAGTCTTCCAGTTCGAAGGTATGGAAGAATAGGCGGTCCTGGTTGTAGGAGAAGGTATCGTAGATCTCCTGGTCCCATATGACGCCCCGATTCATGGGCTATAGTCCATTAGCACGTACCTTTCAACAGCCTTCAACTGTGAACCTGTCGGTACATAACGTACCGAGATGTCGACCATCTTGATCCAAAACGTGTTCCCCACCAAGTCGTTCGCCAAGACGGCGGCGCCCTGGAACCCTGTGTAGGTCCATCGTTGCCTGTTCGGATACGCAATGTAGAGTCTTGCGACTGCGACTGCGTGGATCTTGTTGGATGCCTTGGGCACCGTCCGCTTGACAGTCTGCTTGTCCTCGTCCGAAAGTATAGAAGGCATTATGGATGTTCGAGACTGTCGCCGAGGGAGTGCGCGGAATCAGGAATGTAGCCTGCGCAAAGATGCCCTCGTGCCTACAAGCCTGCGGGCTCCCAGTATCTCAGCGGCATGTACGAGTCGTTCCGCTAGGGCTTCGATCGTATGGGTGGACTAGGTGTCTTGATACCGGCTCAATGGAGTGATGCGGAGCAATAGCTATGGATGATTACGAGCGTCGTCAGCTGCGGTGGCAACCAAGGCGACAGACTTGGTTACTGGATGCCGAAAGATGCTGTTCAACATGGAGTTGCTGCGGCTCAGCCCTGCTGCCAGCGGCAGTTCCGGGTTATGTAAGCATTCTATCTGGATAGGGATCCTAAGGTGCTAGTGCAGAGTCATCGAATACCTGGTACATGAGAGGAAGCCAAGCATTACCGGACTGTAAAGACATGTCAAACGTCATGTCGGGGTTTGAGTTTTGCTCTACCACTTAGGCAGAGAAATCGGGCAATCCTCAACCCGTTTAGATGGACAGGACGAGAGAACAAGGCGCCCTGGCGCCCAGTGGGTCGTATCACAGGCATCATCGAGTAAGAGGAGATTGTTGCATTTAAGCTTTATGTGTGTTACTGCCTTGGGGCGCTCGGTGACGCTTGACACCGTTTGGTGATCTTCTCGATGAGCTGGGTTCATCGCGCGCCATGCGGATCACTCTATCAACCAAACCCAAACACTCTTTCTGGACAACATTGTACTTTGCAGTGAGTAGAGGACGGTTCGCCGATATCTGCAGATAGCCCTTGACAGTCGCCGGCTCATTCCCACCACCTCCGAGTGGTCTTCCCATTTCATCAAGCCCCTTCTCCTTCAGTGCATCCGTGAAAGCATTCCTCAACCTCCGACAACCCCAACTCCTCACCGTCCGCTTCGCTGCGACAGCGTTTGGTGTAATGACGTGCCACCATAGTCCGTTTGTATCGCGCGCATTATATTTGCGTACCAGTGACGGGAACAGAGGGTGGCCGGGTTCGCTCAATATTTTCATGCCTGACAGTCCGGCTTTATGGTTTGAGTTGTATAGCCCCTGGAAGCATGTTGCTTGACGTATGTAGGTGTCGGGACCGGCACTCCTAAGCTTCGCGTAGGTAGGGTTGTGCACTCTGTTCATCCTGAGCAGTGATTCCGCTGACGGATTCAAGGGCAGTTTAAGGAGCGTGGGATGCCGAATCAACTTTTGACATGTGAGGAGTGCTGCTCATCTTGTTGTTGTTGGTCAATGTTCCCGCAGCGGTACCTTTCGAAGGAGTGACATTGTTCGTTCGTTGGATGGTTGATAGAGACGTCCAAAACTGTGTCAGCTCAAAGATTCTCACGCCCGGTTATGTAATCAGCAAGCACGGGCCCTTCCGTCCGCCACAACACGAAGACAGCCCCTCGCCTCTGACAACTCAACCCCCACCGTATATTGAATCCCCCCCATACTCTTCGCAAACAATAACCGCAGACGAACCACTTAGACCAACACACACCCACGAACAGCAAGCGAAGGAAGCACACGAAACCAGCCCAATATGCCTAAGAACAAAGGAAAAGGTGGTAAGAACCGAAGGAGGGGCAAGGTACGTTCACCGATGGAGGACCGCAAGTCTTCGTCCAACCCGTTCGTCTCTAACAGTCTGCCAGAATGAGAACGACAATGAGAAGCGCGAACTGTCCTTCAAGGAGGAAGGCCAAGGTAAGCGCCCACCGTTTCCGCTTCACATCTCACCAGCGAACAAACTGCGTTCAACCTGCGGATTCGCGGCTGACATGGCCGACACACAGAGTACGCCCAAGTCCTCAAGATGCTCGGCAATGGCCGCCTAGAAGCCCAGTGCTTCGACGGCATCAAGCGACTTGCACACATCCGCGGAAAGCTCCGGAAGAAGGTCTGGATAAACCAGGGCGATATCATCCTCATTTCTCTGCGCGATTACCAGGACGAGAAGGGGGATGTAATACTCAAATACTCTGGTGAGTGCGCGACAGATAAGGGCAAACATCGGTGTGCGACATTTGCTAACTATGGCCAAGCGGACGAAGCTCGATCACTGAAAGCCTACGGCGAGCTACCGGAGAACGCAAAGATCAACGAGACGGACACATACGGCGACCAAGGCGATGAAGGCATTGGCTTCGAATTCGACGAGGATAGGGACGACGACAGCGATGATAAGGGAGAGATCGATGTTGATGAGATCTAGGCGACACCTGCATGTACAGCTGGAACTCTGGTGCTACCACATCGCTGTTGGCGCTTTAAGTTGTCAGGATCAGGCCCGCGCTGCCCTGTTTCATAGGGGTTTGATGATAGTTCACGATTGGCGAGGACCGGGCGAGCAAAGCATGTCAACGGTTGGGTACAAAGGAAGAGAACCTCATGACGCGGCGTTTTTGCTTTCGGGCTTGGGTTTGTTCTTTCGTACGGTCAACGACAATGGGCCGAACCTCGCACAAGAGCATGCCACAAAGCTCGAATAGAAGACCTATCTTATATCATTTCTCAACATGAAATGTCAGGTCGACCATCAAGATACAAGGACCACTGATCGGTATCAGAGTTCCTGTGCTCAGATTGTTCACAACATACACCTCTGCTTTCCTTGTCTTTCTGGGCAACTCGAGGGGGCGAAGAACGTAAAGGTCCATTCACAGGAGTTGCGACAAGCCCTTAGGCAGTCTCAAGGGACTGAGGTCTATCGGAATTGCTTCTCAAAATGATCTAGTAAAGACTCAAGACGAAGAGTCACTCGACTACATATTCGTCAAAAGGAAAATCCAAACAATTTAATAGTCAGCAGCAGCGCAAACAGCCACGCAATCAGTGGTCGCCAGGCGTTGACTATCTCTAGTCTTACTGTTTCCAATTTATATGCAGCACAACGTCAGTCAAAGCGTCGCTTCAACAAGCTGCTGCAGCTTCTTCACTCTGCTGCGCGTATGGAAGCCCAATCGTGTCTGTATATCATCCAGTAGAGTCCATATCCTGGTTTTCTTTGAAAGACCGTGGATATGCTTGGCCGCTAGGCGGAATTAGTTGAATGTCTGTAAGTGGCGGTGACTAGACTCACCGAAAAAGAGGGCCTGGGCCGAGAAGACCCGGACGCCGTCCGGAATGTCGGAAATGGCTATGCTGGCGATCTGCGTGGCGTGGTATTGGACCTGCGGGTATTCTCAGCAAGTGGGTGGTGAAATGGAATTTAGGATACTCGCCTGTAAAGACTGGGATGGATCACGGAGGTAGAGTTCTGCGTAGAGCAAGATATGCAAGAGATGATACCACATCATCGCGGCAGCTGGACAGTGTCATTCAAGGGCTTCATCTTCATCTCTCTGTTTCCGGCATCGGAAGGCCACTCACCAGCAGCAGGAACAGCAAAGTACAACTTCGAAAAACCTTCCTCCGTTTCCTCGTATTTCACCCCCTCAAACGACCCAGGCAAGCCATTAAACCACACTTCCACGTCTCGCATCAAGTCCATTCTCTCGCCTATTGTCGCCGCCGACTCTCCGGTATTGGGATCCCTCGCATAGGTCAAATCAATCGCCCTGCCCAGTAACCACAAAAGCTGATTTCCCAACGTATCTTCCTCGGCCTCGCCGTCCTCCCACCTGACACCCCACTCCATCGGCCTCATCTGCAGCGGCCTCTCCGTCACCAACGCCACAGAAATCTCATGCCGGACGTAGATCCAGAAGTTTGCCCTATCAATCCCGACCGAGAGCGCGCTGATGCCATGCGTCCTAATCAACCTTCCCGCCCCAAAGAGGTGCCGGCGATGCTCTTGGCCCTGCGCAGCAACCACCTCATAACTACTTAGCAGCATCGTTGCGGTTAGCGTGTCTTCCTGGGGTGCTGCGCTGCCCAGGGCCCCGATTAGCAGGCGCAGGGACTCGCCGTAGTAGCGTGCTGCTACGGGCGTCCAGATCTCACCTGAGACCAAGAGGCTGAGGTGCTTGGCGGTGAAGGCGCAGATGCAGTGGAGGAGGAGATTTGAGACGAGGGCGCGCCGTGTGACGGCGCGTTGGTAGGTGAGGGTGTGGTCGAAGAGGTCCATCCAGGTCGACACGCCGAATTGGTAGACGTATAGGAGGTGCGCCATCTCTGCAGTCAGGGAAACCGTGGGTGATAAGGAAGGTTGTAGCGTCAAGGCCGGGATAGAGGGGGCTTCAGGCTGGGAGAGGAGGGCCTGGAGGGAATCATCGGAGCTGAAGCCCTGCACGGGGGAGTGGAAGACGTCCCAGGTGGATGTAGGCGGCTCGGTATGGGCGACATGGTCGTGATCGTCGCTTTCTTGCCGTCGCGGCGGGGAGTCGATGGCCGCGCTCCATGCGGAGGGAGTGATGAATTCGGGGGCATGGCAACGCAGGTTCAAGCGCTCGCAGTTGCTGCAGACCGGCTTCTTCTCGTCGCAGCGGGAGTGTCGGGACTTGCAATTGAAGCTAGAATGGTGAGCTGGAGCGATTCATGGGTATGCAGAAGATTTGGTCTGACCATCCTGGATGACGGTTCTTAGTGTGGAGCATGGTCTAAGGCTGGGTTGCTACCTGTCCTTCTCCGCGAACCTCCCCTGCGCCTTTTGTTGGTCGTGGTGCTCTCCTCAATGGACTCACGCGCCATCTGATTGACTGAGGTAACATCAGCCGTCATTGTTGTGTTGGGAGCGAAGCGGATCCCACGTCGGATCATGTAAACCTGGAACGGCGACTGCAGTGAGGTCGGGTGATATTGCCATGGCTTGTGTAAGAACTGACCTACTACTGGCTCGGTTGTCTTTGAATGAACTCAAATGAAGATTACTTGTATCACGCAATTCAAGGCGCCCAGGTGGTTCATGCTAGCAAGGGATGGCAGAGTTGCCGGGTCAGAGCTTCGATCATGGTTTTGGATGTCACAGATATCGGACCCTGCGCGGTGGACCTCCAGCCGTAAAACTTTCCTAATCGGGGAAACTTCACGGCGGGCAGCAGATCTGCGAGGTGAGGAGACATGCAGCAACGTGCAACAACACTTACCAGCACTGCCTTCCTCATGCATTATTAATCCCGAAGCTAGGTGTATGTAGTCATTGTCATCTGGACGCTGCTGGGGCACTTCCTGGACCTATGTCATCCCTAAACGTGTTCGTTGCTTCAGTATATAACCGGCTCTGCCCCTACAGTAGGTGCTGGCTGAATCAACAAAGTTTTCTGGGCAGAAAGTTCAACAAGCTCTTCGTCGCCAAATCTCTCTTCTAAACTCTCCGTACATTGCAAGCCATGGCAGCCTCCCAGTTTCTTTATGCACCTTATCTTGACACGCTCTCCGACAGGCCTTTTAGCCGGGTCCCTGAAGATGCGCGGGTCAAGCAGGAGCTCTGCGAAGTTCGTGTCCCGCCGCATGCTATCACCGAACTCAAGCGTCTCATTCAGACGGCTAGACTTGGCCCTGAGACGTTTAACACAAAGTATGGCTTAACCGGCTTGTGGATGAAAGAGGCAGTTCAAGCATGGACGGATGTGTCTACTTTTAACTGGTAAGGCAAGTCTACCAACACGCATAATAGCTCACGCTAAGACGCTATAGGGCAAAGGTTCAAGACTATATCAACAGTGTCCCACACTTTAAAAGCGAAGTGGACTATCAAGGTCACTCATATACAGTCCACTACGTGGCTCTCTTCTCCAAACGCAGCGATGCTATACCTGTGGTTAACATCCACGGCTGGCCTGGCTGCTTAGAGGTCCTTCCACTCATGAACCTCCTCCAGGAAAAGTACACCCCTGATACGCTCCCCTACCACTTTATTGCTCCGTCGATGCCAGGCTACACCTTCTCTTCAGGACCCCCAAATAATCACGACTTCTCCACCTTGGATACGAGCCGCATCTTTCGGATTCTTCTCCACCAGCTTGGCTTCGATGACATACCGTATATCGTAGTAGGCGGCGATATTGGTAGCCACGTGGCCCGCGCTCTCGCCGTCGAAGACGCTGCCTGTTCAGCTATCCACCTAAACTTCTGCTTCGATGGTAACATGCACGCTACGCGCCCCGCAACTATCGGCTCTATCCTAATCTCTGATCCTATAGCGCTCCTCGCTGGGATCGGCGAGAAGTTCGCGGCCTGGACTAACAAGACGCCTACGCTCAACACGATCCTCACGTTTATCACGGTCTACTGGCTCACAGAGACCTTCCCGCGAAGTATATACCGCGCAGACTTTGTATCTAGCGATGTGGTTCCATCGCATGGAAATCCGCGCTGGTGTATTCCGGATGGAAAGCCATTTGGATTCTCAGCCTTCTCAAAAGAGATTCTACCGGTGCCGAGGGCGTGGATAGAGAGGACGGGAAAGGTTACTTTCTGGAGGAAGCATAAGAAGGGCGGTCGTTTTGCGGCGTTAGAGGTGCCGGAGGTGATGTTGAGGGATTTGGAGGATTTTGTGGCGCATGCCACTGTGAGTCAAGCCACGAACAAGAGTTTTATGATCAAGGCTGGGATTGGCCTAAGACTACGACCAAGGAGGCTCGTAAACCTATATCGAAGGATGATCGGAAGTAAGTTAAGAGTTTACCGTAATCTAGCGGTGGGTCAGCAAAGAGGCCCCTTTATTGAGCGATGAAGCCAGCTTACAACATCGTGTCAACCTTTAGATAGCTACAATTGGGATTCTCTGTCTATTTATGTCTCTCTGCCGTTATTCTATGTATTTTTGAAATACTAACGTTGCCGAGGGTGTTGATAGTGGCTTATATATCTGCGTTATATCTAAAAATTCCCGGCCGAGAAAATCACTATCGCGTCTGCTAATGCGCTATTAATTGGCCGAATTATCAGAAACTGGATAGTAAATGGATTATTTCTGCTAGTAATATTCATCGCTTTTGGATATTTCTGCCTCCTAAATCGGCAAAAGTTTCGCAGCTCGACCAGCTCTGAGCTGTACGCGGCCAAATCTGATGCGTCAGATCTGGCTCTGAGGCGAAGGACCTACAAGCCACGACGCCAGTACCGAGCTACTATAGATTACAGAATATATGAGCTCTTTTCGACATCGGCTCTCGCGAAGCGCCAACGACGAATGCTTTTTTAAAGTGAGCCTACTGAGCCTTTCGACAATTGTGAGTTCAAACAAGAAGAAAATCTCCAATGTCAACTCCTCTAGCTTTCAAAGCTTCGGAGGTAAGTCTGGGGTCACATTTTGTGCTTTCACCACTGCTCACCCTCACGAACCAGCGATATCTTAGCTTCCCGTTCTCGTCAGACTCAACATCGTACCTATCGGCGTCGCCTCCGTTCCAGTACCGTATACACCAGTCTGGTGGTAGATCACCAAGTCTTGGATCTTCCTGTGTTGCAGATCCCTCATGAAGATAAAGTACAGTAAGTACTCCTGCCTTGCCATCCACGGAGCACACTCGTAACCGCCACCCGCTTGGTAGCGGACCGAGTAAACCCTCACCAAACATCAATCCGTGAACATAGCACTCCCCTACTAGCTGATAATGACTATCCTTGCCTGAAATCGAGCGTAAGAGGAGCGGGGCGTGAACGCCGAGTACGACACAGATCTGATCTCTAGGTCTTGCACCATCTGGACAAAGGCCGATATGGCCAGATAACGTACGAAAGAATGCGCGACCCGGAAGCGTCCTCAAAAATTCAGGGGGAAATGCAGCGTCAGTTCCCTTGACCTCCCCTGAGATATGCGCAGCGTAAAGATTACAATAGTCTTCCAAGCTTGGAAATTCACCAAGATCACTGTGGATCAAGTCGCTTGTCCGGCCGCAAACCAGCGATACGACGAAAGCTTCTAGCATTGTGTCACCGTTAAGATACATATCCCTCTCAGTCGACGGCGAAAGCCAACTTTTGCAAATAGCCGCTATTTCTGACGTTGTCGCGGTGAGCGGGACAGGCTCAGTGACATGCTCAATTGTGTCGCCAAGGACACCTCTGATCCGTAAGGTTGCGGCATCGATCCGTGCTGCTTCGTGCTCACTTTGACCTGCCGAAGCAGAAAAGTTTATTACCTGAGGGCGACGAGCAGAGAAATCCGGCGCCCAGGATGGAAGGTGCAGCTGTGATGGGCCGTGGCTGAAACCGCAAAGCTGCAGCAGATACAGCTGGAGGGATTGGTGAAGGACACTAGTGAAGAAATCCGTGTAGACATCCTCAACTGAAAGTAAATAATCGGGAGAAATTTCCATGGTGTTTTTCGGATCGAAAAGGCTCAGGAGGGCATACACTCTATCTCTAGGATCGCTACATGAGAGCTCCGTCATCGCCTCGTTAGTCAGGTAAGCGATCCCAACGTTGCTCCATGCTGTCATATCCACAAAAGGTTCCACGCGGCTGCAGTCTGATAAGTCTATGATCTTGGAAATCGGGTTCGCTTCGACCCGACAATTACAGATCCAGTAGAATGCAGACCGGAACATGTCCCATGGTAGCTCGGCATGGCCCACTACTAAGATGGCTTGAGTGGCCTTCCGAATCTCTTGGAAGACCCATAATCTCGAGAACCATTGTCTGCGAAGCAAGTCTCGAATTGCAATCCAGGACAAGTGCATCGCTTCCAAAGCGTCGACATCTTTTACCGACAGGACGCGTCTCCTTTCGTCCTCTTCCGCTTGGCCGTTCCCCTCACGATTGTCCATCCAGTTCAAAGCATACCCGGTAGAATCGAGCTTCCAGCTCTCGCCGATGTACCGTAATGTTTGAACCGCCAGGGTGCTGTTTTCGTACTGCGGCCCAAACCAAACGACAACCTGCGAAGCGATGCTGTATATCGTCCCCATCCGACCAACCTGAGCGCTCCGCTCTGCTCTATCGTCTTGGTTGATGCATATGGCATCAATCCAGAAGATGCGGCTATCTGTTGGCCGCCGCAGGTGCTCCAAAGCGACTGCTAGATTGTGCGTTACGCTTAGGGTGCGCCATGCTGGAACTTCGTTTGTGCTTCTGTTTGAGGGCGAAGGGTTACCACAAAAAGAGAGGGCGAATTTGAATCGGTGGATTCTTGTACGAACCCGTCCCCTCTTCCTCTGCTGACCCTTAAGCGCATCTCTGACGGCGACGAACTGTGGATTCGAGGTGGAACCCCAGACGTAGGATAGAGCCTCGTATACCGGCCCGGCATGCCCCTCCTCTTCGGCGGAGAGAGGAACGTGGAAAATCTCCACTTCAAGTCGTCTTGGAGGAAGGCCAGGCAGTAGCCTGATCAGTCTGATCTCGTTTGTAGCGATATCAAGCGGAGTATAACTATACGGATCCATAGATACGGCGCTGCGGGTGCTTTGCAGGAACGCACTATGGAGAGCATATCGAGGTGCTGCTTGCGGTACCATTCGTCGAACTCAGCGTCTGAGACGCCGGGGGTGTTGGCGGCGGGGAAGTCGGAGAGTTGCTGCTTACTAAGCCAGCCAGCGTGGATGTTCAACCTTCGTGAACAGACCGTCTTCTTGCGGTCATATATCTCGAACAATCCAGCACCGACGTCGCAGGATTGGGCCCGAAGCTTGGTGCGTCCAGCGTAATACGTATAGAAAGCGAGCTCTCGTCCGGGGTACAGGCTGAAAAAGTCATTTACGTACTTTTATGCTTAGGCAACAACATGCCGCATTGCCTCTGATGTTTACCCAGCCCAGAAGTTGATCGCCGAGTACTCGAGTCAAAGGACGGTTCGCAGCGAAGCAGTGGAATGTTTCCTTCAACATTACTCTATGGCTGAATCTCAATCAATCACTTCCTCTCCTACCTCTCGCGCAACTTACATACCCTCTCCTCAGAATGTCCGCCGTCTCCGCTTCCTCCTCACCACCTTATCCGGCCTTCCCCCCGAGCTCACTGATCTAATTATCGATTTCGCGGAGTACTGGCCCGTTCTCAAGTCCTCGAGCAAAGAATTTGTCCGCGTCAGTGCAAGCGTCACAACCGAGTACAACGCTGCGTTGCTTTACCATGTCACTCGCGAGCCCATACCGAAGCCGCTGCGAGGGGAACGCGTTGCTGTCAAAGATGTCAAGTTCAGGATTCGATCGTGGGACCAAGGCCAGATCGGCCAGTACCGGTATGGCCCTGTCGCGGTCAGTCAAGACTGGAATGGCCAGCCAGAAAACTACGGCACCTATTCGGGTTCTGGAACCTGGTTCGAAGCATGCGTTCTCCGGACACGAGATGCGGATGCCGAAGCAAAGCCTCGAGCCCCCCGTAGAATCTTCCAGCCCGACACGGCTTATACATGGGACTTTGACGGCTGGGAACTAGTCTGGCGTGATGCGCCGCTGGATCAGGAAAGGCAAGCTACATGGCGTCTGCAAACAAACGTGTGCGCCAGCTCATTTGAGAAGCAACACGAGGTCGTCTGGTCGAGACACGCAAACGAATCGCCAACAGAGGGGAGTGGGGATGGTATGGGCTTCGTTGCGGCCCTGAAACCCGGAGATCACATCGGGGTCTGGGTAAGAGCAATGGCAAGTTCCGACAACCAAGCATCTCAATGTTTGTATTCGCTAACGAGCGTGTAGTGTCCAAAGTGGATGAACTACGTACGTGAGATTGCAATCGAAATGCGGTATGCGATGTAAATTACTCGTTGCTGTTTCGATATGGGTGCGATCTTAGGTGTCGCAAGTGTGAGTAGACGGTGGGAGTTTATATTCAAAAGGTTCTAGACTCTCAAACTGCCTGAGTACGCCTCTCTTCCTGTCGCGTCGCATTGTTTTCGTCCGCGATATCATTCCGCAGCCTAGCCTGCAGTTTCGCAACCTTCCTTACTTTAACATCTCGCCTCCAAGCAGCAAGTAGGAACGAATCATACATTACCCAACCCTTCGACATCTCATCTACAGTTTCGTCCTCATTGCTCGTTGTCGCATTGATCCAGACGTTGCCCAGCCCTATAGATGATATAATTCTCAAAGCTATGATCGGTAAAATAGAAATGAATGCCCACATGACTGCTTTAGCCGCCGCTTGTCTCACAGGGTTTTGCAAATCAAGAGGAAGCGCGTTGATGGCACCAAGACTCTGTGTATCGCGCGGACTGAGATTTTCACCCGCCCCGCCAAGCGTGGTGGACGGGATGTCGGAGAGATACTGAGACCACTTACTGTTGAATACAGTACCCATGATGGCAATCGACAGCGTCCCGCCAAATTCGTTCGTAAAATCGGTAAGCGATATGGCAGCGGCAAGACGCAGTGGCCAGATACCAACATTGTGAAGGCCACTGAGCATGAAACGAAGACCGGTCCCGCAGCCAGCAAGAGCCATCATCCCGTTCACGACTGCACCGTTGCGCGCGGTGACAGCCCATGGGAGTACAGCCATTCCGGCTGCTTCGATAATGGCGCTGGCGAGTAGAGGATGGGATGTTTGACGAGGATATGCGTTGCAGAGGAACATTGCGAGGACAGTGCCAACTGTTGATGTGAAAAGTTAGACTTGGCTCACAGACTGGTACATGAAGGGGAAACGACTAACCCCCTAAACCTGGAAGATAGTACAGTAGCTGAATCCCGGCTTCGGACGGCGAGTCTGACATTGCGACGTTCCAATATATTGAGATGAAGTAGAAGGCGGCATAGAGGGAAGCTCCGGAGGAAAGAGCAACAATAGTGAGCAGAGTTGTATCCTTCTTGTGGAACAGGCTCAAGGGTAGCATAGAACTGACCTTCGGGAACTTCCTCGCAAACAGCTTTCCCGGTTCGAGCAGATACTCGTAGCCGAAGAAAGTGGTGAAGAGAAGGCCGCCAATAACGATTGATACGAACACGCGTGCGTCGCTCCATGGATACTCATTCCCCCTTCAGGTCGTCCCGAGAATAATTAGGCCTATTCCGGAGATGAAGAGCAATATGCGGCCGAGGTCAAATGTTGTAAGTGCCGACAAGATGGCGCTACGGGCCTACGGCTGGATCCCTGTAAGCGGTGCGCCCCCTGAGCGAGCTTCTTCCGCAGTGAGACGAAGACAAGGAAGTGGGTGTCGACTGTGACTGGAATGGATATGATAAAGTAATACCGCTAGTTCGACGATGTCAAGTATCCGCCAATGACAGGACTAGTAGCGTACCCGATGCTGGCAACGATCGTGAGTGCCGTGTCGTTCTTTGCATTGTCGGCCAGGTTGACCTTGTCTGCAACCATGATTTGGGTGAGTATCTGGATGCCAGCCGTGCCCAAGCCTTGCAATGCTCGTCCGGTGAGAAGCATTCCCCAGGCTTGAGCTGCTGCAGCGAGTACGCTTCCAATCAGTATAAAGAATGTCGAAAGCTGTAGAGCCACGTGGCGACCGGAGACGTCCGCCAGTTGACCGAAAGCTGGGATGGATGCCGTCGACATCAAGCTATAAGCCGTGACTATCCAGTTGAGCTCGTTGATCCTGCCTGCACAAAGCTAGTTGCCGCGCGCTTCCCATTGATTCCTCACTTACTGAAATGCGAGGCGATCCGTGGTAGAGATGTCGCTACGATGGTTGCATCGGTGGATGCCAACCTCCACGGCAGAACCAACCCCGCCAGCCATTTATAGCGGTAGTTCCGGCGGCATCGCGTCTCGTCTTGATGGGAGGGAATCGGCGCTTCCACTGACTCTCCGAGATCTTGTAGACTTATTTGCCTGTTGCAGAGTTCCTCAAATTTCCAGAGACTGTCCTGTCGCTTACAGCACCTTTTGGTTGACGTACAGAGGGCATGATGTGAAGCGCTGAAGGCGCGCTTGGTAGGTTGTGAGCGATGAGGCACAGTAAAGCAATCTCACGCTGAGGGCGCGGGTTGCGAGCCCCTGCGGGTTCCGCGGGCTGTGCTGAGCGGCGGCGCATGCAGGCTGGCCGAGCCACCAACACACTCTGAGCTCATCGACGTTAGTTCTATGTGCTCGCTTGGGGATGACCGGGAATAGGTGCTGGATGCCTGCGGAATTCGAACGTGCTGGGCTCGGGTCGTCGACACTGTAGAGGCCGTGACCGCGACAGCGAGCAACTGCGTACGATTGCTCCCCCGAACAACAAGTTAAGCTCTCGTTGACAGCCTGAATGGAAGGCGACTGCGTGGGTACATCTCCTCCGCTTGCATAATTCAATCTTCGTAACTTCTCGCGTCAACGACGGAGGCGTGAGAACTCTGAACACTACAAAAATGACTCCATCTCTTAACGCGCGACTTAGTAGATGAAACGAGCAAAGCCCATACACTCCGCACGAACTGTTGGAACCGGCACTCTTCTCCAAACTTGCCCGTGCCTAGACCTGTGGGTCCCGACCACGCTCTTCTGCCTTTCGCTTATGTTAGCCTTCTTCATTCGTTTGGGTCTTGTCCTCACTAACCTTAGGGTTCGACCTTCGCATCCGACGGAAGAAACTGAGAGAGCGGTTCGGCTTCTTGGGCGCGGTTCCGGCTTGGGGTGGACGGGAAAAGGTTTGTAGCATTCTGTGTTTGAATCCCAGATATAGGGATGCCGCGAAGACGAGAAGCGAGATCGGAACTATACGCCTATCAAAACAATTCCGTCACATCCTTATGCAAACGTACATATATAAGCAAAGACGATGCCAAGCGACATTTCGCCTTTATTCAACTGCTTCGCATTCAGGCCGAATATGGAAGCCAGGGTCGACATTGGAAGCTATTTATCGGTGCTTGTCAACCACTTGTTGCTTGGGCTAGAGAACGATGAATGACGCACAAAAAAGATCGTGACCACAGTGAACTATAATCAGTAATGATTAGCGTCACGAGAATCCAAACGTGATGGGGGTGATACGTACAAGCAGGATAGATTGTCCCTGCTTTTCTGTCTCCTCAGCAAACTTTCGCGCAGATCGTGCTTCCGACACATTCGCTTGCTTCTGTTTCAGATCAAGGAGTTGCAAAACCTTGTCCAGCTGTCAGTCTTCTATAGGAGGCCAAAGCGGAACAGTCAATTGTGCCCCACCTCGTCACGAACCTGGTGAGCACTTTTGAACAAGCTCTCGACAGTGGCTCTACGGCCAATCGATCTCGAATGTAACTGTACCGGATACATGACCGGTGCATACAAATGCCGGGGCCTCCTAGTTGGACGTGAATTCCCGTACTTGTCCGGCCGCTTATCTTTAAGTTCCTCCATGGCTTCAGTTTGCTGGGTGTTGATATTCTCAATCATGCTCAGCTCTTCGATAACATCCCTGATCTCATCGAGTAATGTGAACTCTGGATAGACATCGAAAAGATCGTCAAGGTTTCCTCCCTCAAGTCCTACCTGTGACATCAGTTCACGGAATCGACTAGTCTGCTTATCCGCCTGCCTTAGTCAGTTGTAAGCCAGTTGTGTAATTGCATAGTGCGTACCAAGGCGCCAATAGACTTTGAAAATATCTCCAGAAATTGGGACGTTGCTCCTCTCGTTAGGGATGGATTCAGGACGTTTCCAGCACACCTGTCAATGATGAAAAAGGCCAGATCTTGGACGCACATGATCCGGTTGAGATGTTCCTGCGGCTCAAGATAAGCAAAGATGCTCTGAAACACATCAGTCTCGTCTTTTGATTTGACGTCTTGGCCCCATCGTTGAGGGAAGCATGTCAGCAGTGTATCTACACATTAGGTGTCAAGGGTGATTAAGAATGTAATCGATAGCTTGGACCATACCTCCATCCAGAATCCAGAGCCAGCATTGGTCTACCATGAGCATCAATGGTTCCAATTGCATGCTTTGCAGAGGAGAGGTGTCGGGCGTCTTCTCTGAATTGTTGCGCAGTTGTTTTGTGTATCGATAGACAACCTGATCCTTATCTCGATCTCGAAGTCTGGTATCGGCGAGAGTGTAGTAATAAGATTGGTCCAGGGTGCGGCGAATGTGCAAAGACGACCCAGATAGATATTTCTGAATCAGCTTCCTGTCAATTTGAATCTGCTCCCTGTCGTCTTGGAAAGTCGTATCTGGGATCTCCAAGGATTTTGGCTTTCCCCCCTGATGATTGCTGCGAGGTTCGCTGCGTTGCTTGACCTTGTCAATCACCTTGAGCATGTCCTCGTACGCCTTCCTTGTTTCCCAGTGGAGGTAGGGCATCTGAGTCGTTGTGTTAGTGCTGGAAGATCTGTTTGAAAACATTCCCTTACGACCAAGACCAAAAACTCTTGTTTGAGAAGTTTGTCAGTAGCTTCCCGATCTGCAGAAAATGGAATCAGTTGAATCCTTCCGACTTGTTGATTTCCAGATTGAGGATTGATTGAAGTCACCTATGTTGATCATCCGACAGAATGGTTTCATGAACCGGGCGTGCGGCATATTTGTAGTGCTGATATTTTCCTGGTCGGCCCATACGTCCGACCTCAATATAGAGCTTGTAACCAACGACTCAGGATCTAAATCCTGAGAGTTCGTCTTCGTCGCTTGTGTAGTGGCCGAGGATGCTGCAGCACCTCCAGCATCCTGTATCTTCTTGTTTATAATCTGAAGAATGGCACCCTGAGAGTCAAAACTCATTTCAGCCATAGGAAAATATTTGAAAAGACTGATACTCTTACTTTAGCCCAATCGATATTGTTCGCAGGTAAATGTACCCAACGGAATGTGGGCTGACTGTTTTGATCGGTTGAAGAAAGGCCTTTACTGGTACGTGTTAAGTCATGCACCGGTCGGTAGGCCCAAGAGCTCTTCACTGCTGGATATTTAACGAAAAAATCCATGACGTATCCCAGTTTTCCAAACGCGCAGTCAGCGCTTGCTTCATCCAGACACGCTATTGCAAACCGATGTCCGATCAGGTCGTCCTCATCGACCTTGTGCACCGCTGGAGAATGAGGACACTCCATCGTTGATTGGACTGGTTTCCGGCCTGTTCCTGTTGCCACTGGATGCAAAGCAGGTACAGTGAAGTTGTTGACCCTGCCACCTTAGTCCTTGCGATTCGTATAGTCCGTCTCGCTTGGGGCTTCCTACCGGGCTGAGTGATAAGCTAAGGTGCGCGGCGAGCTCTTCAAAACCAGGCGCTTGATGACACAATCTCCCACTAGTTATCACTTGGCCTGGTGGAGTAATTAGTGTGGCCCGTGCATAAAGCGGTCTTAGCGCCTTCGCCACCTAACTGCAATAGAAGTCGGAAGTGTAAGTTCTTTCTGCGTTATGTTGTCTTGATAGTAACGTTCGGTACGCTAATCTATCTGAATGCAGGTTGCAAAAGCAAATGAGAACGTAGAGTCAGTCGAGATTATCTGGTCTCGTAGGCTCAGCGAAAGGGGAGCAGAAATGGATGATGCTACACTAGTAGACCGGCAGCTAGTCGTCCCGGAGCAACCCTATGGATGCTACAATTCTGATGAGCTGGAGGAGAAGTTCGGCTGGATCGACTGGTAGTACGAATCTTTGGCAGCGGGAAGGGTCGGTCGTGCACAGGGGTTGTGAGGGAGAAAGACGATGGCTGGTGTTTTTGGGTTTCCACTACGGTCGCTCATTCAAACTAAGGCCCGTGCTCTCCTTCTTTTCGTAGCGGTTGCACAGCTGGTTCAAGGCGGAGACGTGATCGTTGATGGATAGGATTTGCTTTAGTTACTCCAATGCAACACGAAGTTCTTTCTCTTACTTGGAGAGCGGCACGTGTTTGCTGTGCCACAGCTAAGCGCTTCGCCCCTCCTCAGACTCAGCCCCGATTCAGCGCCTCAAAACCAAGTCGAAGCGGATATATCTTCAAGTTCTTCTGCCTTGCGCTTCTTGGACTCGAAATCTACATCGTATGCTGGTTTGGAGACTTACCAGTTGCGCGTTGCTGTTCAGACCCTGCTCACCTTGCAGATCCTCTCATCTGCTTCAACCACCCCTATCGCCAAGCAAGACCATCCCGTGGCGGCCGGGCACCACCATGTCTCTGTGTTTTGAAGACGCTTTCACGGAGTTCAAAAGCGGACGTATTAGCGAGGTGGAGTACCTCGGCCATCTTCTCGCCCATTTCCGGGGCAGCAGACACCCCGGAGACTCAGACAGTCGCAACTTTAAGGCTGTTCTAGGTAGCTTCAATCCTTACGCTGAATCGATTAGACAAGCAGCTCTGGAAACCGATTACCAACCGCTAGAGAACACGACAGCGCTTGAAAGGCTTTTCGAGGCTTGTCTCGCTGGCAACTCCGCTCAATTTAAATCAAGCCTTGAGGGCCTGAATGACGGGCATGCGTCTTTAATCATGCAGCCGCTTGCGACACTCGCTGCCGAGAAAGGTCGTGCAAGGATGCTGCAAGCTTGCCTCGAGAAGGGCGCTAAGTTTAATGGAACTTTGGATAGAGCTGTGGAAATCGGATCCGACAAAACACCGGAGATGCTTGAAGTTCTTGCCGCTGCCAAATGGCGCAATATCCACGAGGTCAAGAATGATAAGCAAGCAGTTAGTGCCGTTGCGCGGCCGTGGCTCAGTAGAAAACCAGCTCAGGAACAGCAGCCAACCGCTGAGACGCAGCAAGAGAGACATGAGCGGCTTGTACGGACGGGCCAGCATCCTTCTGGCACATGTATGACGGGCGAAGAACTGGAGAAACGATTTGGCTGGATTGATTGGTGAGATTGTGTATGTTTTTGGACACATCGTCTAAGGAACTCCCTCGTCTTGGATGAGATAATACAGCTAGGCTTTGTGGTAGCTCTCTATAATCTCTAGTCTGTTCCACTGTTGCGGTTTATCTCTAAGCAAAATCAAGACGTTTTGTAACCCTCGTGTTGCAAAGATAGCAGCTTAGTCTTCGCATGTGAAGTCACCTGACCCTTAGCGCTAATCTAATTATTCTTAGCCCGTGCCCCGCACGTCTGTTCGTAACATCCGTCTCCGCGACAAGCACCTAATTGTTGCAAATATCCTCCATCTCGATGTCCAGCCTAATTCTGTTCGCAAGGAACATTTACTTCGATCTCTGAGAGACAGTTCTTAGGCATGTCTTTTGGGTGGTCCGTTAGTGACTTGGTCGCCGCCATTAAAATCGTGGTGCAGATTGGCGCTGCGCTTAAAGAGACGGATGGTGCACCGGCAGAATACCAGAAATCTGGCGACTACCTGGAGTTGGTTGCAAGCGTTCTTACCAAGCTCAGAGATTCTCCGTCGACCGCGACGCAGGCTGACGTGGAAGCTCTATTGACACACATAACCACCTTCCACAAGAAGCTGAAGAGCAGATTTGAGGAAGCATTGGGAAAGAAGAGTAAGAAGGATTGGAAGAGCTGGATCAGCCATGGTCCCAAGAAAGTCCAGTATGCACTCTTTGTTGTGGGCCAAGTTCAAGCGCTGCGTGACAGCGTCGATAGTCAACTCAACTCGATCGCGCTGAGTTTGGGACTAGAGACATTCAGTATAAGTCTCAAAATCTACGACCGTGCGGAAGAAGAGCATGCTCGTCGGAAGAAAGCTGAGAACGACAAACTGCTGGCAACCGTCTTGCGGTGGTTAGATCCTCTTCCAGTTCGCGACACGTACGAAGAAATCCTCGGAGGAATGGTTGATGACTCCTGCAAGTGGTTATTTGATAAGCCGGAGTACGTTCAATGGGTCGATCAGTGTCAGGATGGAGGACAATTGCCGATCTTGTGGGTGAGCGGGATACCTGGGGCAGGGAAAACAAGGCTAGCAACCCTAGCTATCCAGCGGCTGCAGACATATGGGAATGTGGCTTACTTCTACTGCGATACGAAGGAAGAGAGCAGACGACACGTTGTCGGGATTTTGCGAACGTGGACCTGGCAATTGCTGGGGAAGGATCCAGGACAACTCGACAACATTGCGAAGATCATGTGGGCAGGTGCCGCTCCGAATGAGACTAACATGACAGAAAGTCTCGAGTGTCTTCTCTATGAGGGGTGTGGCTGCACTCTGGCTCTGGATGGGCTCGACGAGTGTGAGTTAGGAACAAGGAAAAAGCTCCTTCGCCTTCTAACCGTCTTCTCAACGCACACGAAAGTCATTGTATTCAGCCGAGAACTCAGCGACATCGGATCAAGTCTCTGCGACCCCTCAAGGCGCTTTAAACACTTTCATGTTACCGAAAGTGACAATGAATCCGACATAAAGCACTTTCTTGAGGAAAAGGTCCACAACCTGGATTTGGAAGATGATAATCTGAAGGAAGAGATCATTGCATCCTTGCTATCTGGGGCAAAAGGGATGTTCTTGTGGGCTGCGCTTGTGGTTCAGGAGCTTTCTGAAACTGCCCTATTTTTAGCCGACAATGATGGAGAGGTGTTGCGAGACATGTTGAGAGACCTCCCAGAGGATTTGGAGGACTTGTACAATCGACTTTTAACCACGCTTGCAACCGCAAAATCCTGGCAACTGTCACGTAGGTTTTTCCAGTGGCTTGCTTGTGCCTCAAGGCCGCTATCACTGGAAGAACTTGGCGTGGCAGCAAAAATCGTCATCGACGAAGTTGCAATGAAATGGCCTGTGAACGGCAAAATAATCAAGTCCGTACTCTCCGAGTGCTGTGGTCCTCTCATAAAGTTCGAGGAGCTGGTTCCGGGCACTACGACGGTCAGCTTGATCCATGCCTCAGTCAAAGACTATTTGCTTCGCCCCTGCCAGAAGGATGTGGTATTCAAACAGTTGCTTGTCGATTCTGGTCAGACAAACCTGTTCCTCGCGCAAGCTTGTCTAACGTACTTGTGCTACGAGAGCGTCGGATTTGCGCCTTTTGGGCCACTCTCTGGAGGAACTTACTATGATGGGGAAAAGTTTGCGCAGATGGAACTCCTTTTTCAAGGCCACTTGAAGGCATTCCCTTTCTTAGGCTACGCCGCGCTAAACTGGGAGGGTCATTGCTCAGCCTTTTTAGCGTGGTATCTGGGCTCTCCTGAGCCGACTCACTGCATGTCTCTGGAGAAGTCTCTGAAGAGACTATACGAATCAGATCGAAATATTATCAGATGGGTTCAGGCGTTTCATCGTCTTCGTGGAGATCGCGACTACTACCGTTCGAGCACGGCCACTTCTGACCTTAAGCTTATTTACGGCCTCGCGAAATCTCTGAAAGAAGACCTGGAGTTTCCTGGGTTGGCGGAACGGCTGAGCTCTTTAGAGGGCTCCACGCCATGGGTTTGTGCCTATGGTCGATGGAATCGCCTGTTCTATTCAGGCGGCGCAAACGACTTCCTCTCAGAGTTACACCTCGCGGCTTTCTTTGATCTCGAAGACTTTGTCAAGGAGTCCCTTGACAAGGGGGCTGATGTTAACCTACCCACGCATACAGGTCAGACGCTACTAACTATGGCTGCTCGAGGGGACTCAGTGAACACGGCGGCGGTGCTTCTACAATCAGGGGCCCAGGTCGATTCCGGAAGATGGAAAGGGACTATTCCGCTTCATTGGTCACTCGAGGTGAATGACTGGGAGGTTACTAAATCGGCAGAGCCCTTCCATGTCTTTTCATTGCTGCTGAACGCAGGTTCCGATGCCTGCCACCAGGCTCATAACGGAGAAACGGCACTCCATCTGGCCTGCCAGCTATCTTATCCTGATGATCCGCGTATTCTTGCATTGGTGAAAGAGTTGTTGGAACACGGCGCCAGGAGAGTAATCGATGGTGTTCCCATCCCTGGAGCTGAGTGGACTAAACCCTTCACACCGTTAGAATGGGTTTCCCGGCGGGGCGCAGTTTCACTAATGCGCCTTCTCTTGGACTCCGGTGCTACAATAGATTCGAGGATTCTCCTTTCGGTATGTGCAAACAGCAAAGTGGATTTAGAGGTGGTCCAGGTCCTGCTTAAGGCAGGAGCATCAGCGAAAGCTAAAGCTCTTGATGGGCGTACTGCCCTTCATATGTCGGCACGAGGGAACGTTGAGCTGGCAAATTTACTTTTCGAAAATGGTGCTGAGGTCAATGCCGTTGCGATCGATGGTTCCTTGCCATTGCATGACGCCGTGCGAGAACGAAACTATCCTCTCATAGAATTGATGTTGAAGCATGGAAGCGAGTTTGAGAGAGAGGACAGCACCGGTCGAACACCGATGGAGATCGCTGTGGACAACGGATATTCCGATGTCATTGAGCTGCTGGTTTCGGCAGGAGCTAGCTGCGAAAGTGAACGTTGGTTGATTGAGACACTGCAAGGACGTGTCCAAGTTCGTAGAAGAGACGGTGTTCGTTGGCCCCAGATGCCGAAAGATATTTTCGAGGCCTTTTGGCTACTCCGGTATCATACCAGCCTCAAGAGCTTGCCCAGATCAATTACAGTTCGAGTCATAGACATGGCAGAGTACTGGATGAAGTCAACCTGCTCTCGCGCAGAGCACCTAGTTCTTGACGAGGAGAAAGCGAACAAGGAGCCTTCGTATTTGAGCAGCGCACCAATTGTGGGCACGCGCAAAGCGCCAGTTCGACAAATCGTTTTCAGTATCTTCAGCCACGATCAAGGATTTAGTTCCTTCACGGAGGACCACGGGACCTATGACAACTCATGGACCTGGTTCGACGTTGACGCTGCCAAACATGACGGCCAATCGATGGATTTCGAAGGTGAGAGCCAGACGCTGATAACCAATGTGCATGCAGGAGGCACAAGGCGAGAGCATCGAGCTATCTGCGGTGATAAACCTGGTATGCGCCAAACGGGATGGATGAGTAGGCTTGAGCCAGGCGATACTGTTTCTATCCGGGCCCGGGCGCGATACCAGGGCTGGGTAAACTTTGTAGAAGAGGCTACTATGGAAATCTTCACAACCTGTTTAGTCGATTAGCTTAACAAGATAAAAGTAAGGATAGTGTAGTCTATTATCCTACTCGTAGTAATGTTACTAATGTGGCTTCCTGGATAGTTTGAAGAGGTAGGCGAGGGATACAAGAAGCAGCCTGTAAAGATTAGCTTGTAGTAGTTATTTCTGAACATCGTCGGCTATAATAGTCTTTCTAGTCTTTCCTTCCTAGTGGTTTGGCTGGCGATATACATACGTTTGCTTCTTTATCGGTTGGCATTTGGACATCTCATCATCGTTCAAGTGATATAGAAATGGAACGAGTTCTGTATGTTCCGTAAACTGGGAAGCAACGTATAGCATTTGCAATTGCGTTTGAGTTGCTTTTGCTCTTGTAATCCCAAGAGACGTTGCGTGCCGCCCGAAGCGGGTCTGATTGGGCGAAGGGAAAGCGTGGCCGATTAGGACTTAGCTCGCCTTATTTACAGTACGAGCTCGCTTCTCAGCTGATTGTCTGCGGCTGAACGGAACCTACATTTGTTAAACTGGGACCTCAAGCGATCGGACAAAGCTGGACCTGAGATTTGAAACGCTTCACAAATTTCACCGAATTACTCGTCCGCCCGAGTTCTGTCGTGGGCTTTGAGCTACTAGTGCAGACGGACTTGCATCTCAGGATTGTCTGGAGGTCCACACTCGCAGTATTAAGGCCTTACGCCACATTACAAGGCTTTCGAAGAAAGCTAACGGAGTGAAAGCGATGACATCGACGCAGACCGCGAACCCAAATCTAATTCCAAACGTTTACGACCTGTATAAGCCTCTTCGCTCGATCACGAAGGAGATACGACTCATCAGCCTCCAAGCTGAGCCCGCCGGGTCCGATGCCGAAGTTTCGTGCAAGATGATGCACGTGTCGTTGGAAGATCCGCGAATCCCGCGGTCATATGTCTGCTTATCGTACCGTTGGGGCGATCCCAAGAACACGAGCCTTATTAGACTTACCTGGCCATCAGTACTCTGTGCGAATGCTTGCAGCATCTTACATCCTGGAATGCTGGCGACCCAATTCAGAGTTACAGCAAACCTAGAGGAGGCCATGCGTCGCATCAGTTCGAACAACGAGCGGCCACTACTCTGGATTGACGCTATATGCATCAACCAGAGCGACATGGACGAGCGAACCCAACAGGTGTCCCTCATGGGCGACATATACAAGCAAGCGATGCAAACTGCAGTGTGGTTAGGAGAAGCTGATGAAGCGTCCAACATGGCGATGGATTTTGCACTCCTAATACATCGAGTACGGGTAAAAGACGATAGAGTCGATCTTACGCATACTGCTGCCGGCATCCCCTGCCGTCGCTTGGAAGGTTTGCTCAGGAGACAGATCGCGTACCAAGACGATGAGATTGCCCACCCTGATTTACAAGCCATGAGGCGGGCTGTTCAGAATTTTTTCAGTCGCCAGTGGTTCAGGCGTGTGTGGGTGCTACAAGAGGTGATCAACGCGCCAGTGGTTGTCCTCATGGCCGGAGAGAAGGTCAACCACTGGTCAGACGTGTTGACCTTAGCATCTTGGGAAAATAGCGTCGCACTGCACTTAGGTGAGATTCGATATGGCGATATTCAAGAATCAGTACCAGGAATTCCGTTCATCCCCGACACTGAGCGAAGCAAAGAATTGCCTGAACTGTGGGCTTTTCTAAGCCGGGAGTGCAGGGATGGTAAATACCCGTCAATCCTTGAACTAATCTTTCGACGCGATCAACTCGAAGCATCCGACCGCCGGGACCACGTCTTCACTCTGTTCAACCTGTCGAGGGAGTGGAACAGGCTCGACCAATCAGAGCTGCCGTCTGGATTCCGCCCAGATTATTCCAAGGAAGATCCGATTCGAGTCTACGCAGATTTTACTAGAGCAGTAGTCTCCCAGACAAACAACCTTGTCGTCCTCTCCGCCGTGGACACGTTCAAGTCTCCAGGCCCAGGGCAGGGCGGGGATGCTGCGCCATCTTGGGTGCCGTTGTTTGATCAACACTTCAATTTCCGCCGTTCGCTAGGTTTCATGGGCTATCCCGAGCTCAAGGCAAGTGGACGAAGTACGCTTTCGGTGTCCGACGTGGTGGATGTTGGCTTATTGTCACTGCGAGGGATTGCAGTGGATGTGGTGGGGTGTGAGAAAAGTGCAGTCTCTGACCTATTGACTGTACGCCGGTGTCGGGACAGCCAGGTTCGGGAGCTGTTGCTTGACTCATTTGAGGATGGAATACAGAGGCTGTGGCAGTCTATCAACTGGAGAATCAACCAATATCCGACTAGTGAACCTCTTCTGGAAGCATTCGTACTTACCATCATATGCAGCTGCAAAGAGGAGCGAACGAGATCGATTGTTCGCAACATGGCGCAGATACCTGGACTGCTCAACGACTTCCTGGCGTATTGGAGAAGACGGGAGCCTGATTTTGCAAGCCTCTTGGGTAGGGAGGACCTCCCTCTGCGCCGCCAGGACCTTGTATCCCTCGGCAAACAGGGATCCCCAAGTTCGTTTGGGAAACGCCTGATGTGGACCTGCGACTCTCGCCGCTTCTTCATGACTGAAAGGTCGTATATCGGCTTGTGCCCGCGTGCCACTCGGCCCGGCGACAAGATAGTAATCTTCAACGGCGCAAAGGTCCCCTACGTGGTGCGACCAACGACACCAACCGAAGCGACTAACAACACCAGACACCAGCTCATCGGAGAGTGCTACGTGCAGGGACTAATGGACGGAGCACTCATCCAGAAACAAAGGCAACCCCACGGCGCGCTGCACGAGGAGACATTCGACTTGCGATAATTGCTTACATAGCCTCACGCAGGCTGATTGTTTGTAGTTAAAAAGCAATAGTAAAGTGAAAACGGGAACAGGAAGGAAAATTTGGCAAATCTTATCAGAATAAGAAGAGGAATCATGTATTAAGCTGTAATGCCCACATAAGACCTTGAAGCTCTGTGGCTATGGGTTGAAAACCTCGGAGAAGGCAAGAGTGACTTTCGCGATCCGTTGTCAATGAGACGGTACATATTCTACATACTACTCTCCAAGAAGCATTTTCAAGGATTCAGCCGGCGTAATTCTCGGAGCAGCGATGTCTAAAACCTCCTTGCTGGTAGTCGAAGCTGTGGTTAGGCCTGCCCAACTGGTCTCGGGAGCGTGCTTAATTGACTCGATAAGAGGTTTTATGTCTTCTGGAGCCTGGTCGACCAACCCTTGGATAAACGACATGTCTTTAAAACGGACATCCTTAACCTGAGCGCCAATATACTCCTCAACCATCTTAACAATCTGACTTCCGTCAATGTCCTCCGGTCCGTTGAGAACATATTTGGCCTTATTGTGAGCAGAAACGTCTGCCTGCACTAAGAGATGGGAAGCAAAGATGCCGACTTCGCGAGCCTCGATGATAGCTGTCGGACCATGCTCCGACAACATGGTTCCAAGAGTGCCTTGTTCTCCAGTCTTGCGATACTTCTTGATGAACTCTGCAGCAGGTGAAAGAATGTAGGAAGAGAACACGTTGGGCTGTAGTGAAGTCCACTGCAGCTTGCTGAAATCTGACGAGCCTAGCACTTGCTCAACCGCCCAGTGAGAGCGAGGGTAATACGCAGGACAAGCCGGGCGGACGTTTGCAGCAGTTGTAGAAATGCGGACCACATATTCAACACCAGCGTTAAGAGCCTCGAAGTGAAAGTTCGTTTCCTGATCGAAGTGCTTAGGCTCATTGTGTGATGCGATAAACACTCTGACCACTTCTTGAGCACGTAGCCATTCAGCGTCGATGTAGACCCAGTTGATCTCTACGAGTTCGACGCCAGGCAATTGGGCAAATCCTTGGGCGGTAGGGCTTTTGGCGGATCGTGTCTGGCAGAGAATGCGGTGGCCGGAGAACTTGCTGTCTTTGAGCAACTTTGGGAGCGTCTCAACAACACCTCTTCCAGTGTTGCCAGTAGCACCGATGATGAGGAAAGTAGGAGCCATTGTTGGAGGTGAGATGCAAATAGTCAGGAGCCTGAAATTGGATGGGTAAATATATACTTCGCGCGTAGAGGCCGATGATGTAGCCAGATTTGTAAGCACACCACTTGGCAGCATACACATCCGCGGTCCGTCGGATCGGTTAGCAACAATCGCCGACTCGGGGCGCTCGGATTCACGCCATCGACGGTCGGCTATGGCTCGATTGCGACGATGAATCCGCCGAGCATCTCTCCCACTTGATTCGACATGGTCACGACACACAGAGTAGCCGCCCGCTATACCCTTGTTCTGTCAGCGGATTGCTCGTCAAGCCGTTCTTCTCGACCTTTCCAGATAGCTTCGATTATCTATTGTCTCGCTCTTACGGGTCTTGCACGTTCCAACTGTGCCTCGGCAAGGCGGTGCCCTCTCCTTGCACAGATGATAGTGGAAGCCCGCGACAAACATTCGTCTGCTTCAACCTTTTCTGGCTTACCTGCGTCGGCCCCTGCGTTAGTCGCAGTCGAGATGCCTAGACGTAAGCCTGCTAACCCAGCAATCGGTAAATGGGATCCGCTCGGAAAATCCCGATTTTCCAAGCCTATTTTCTAAGGTTTCAATCCCTTAGAAAATAGAAAAGTGCTTGGAAAATAGCTTATTTACTTAGAAAATAGGGTATTTAGGGGGCACTCTAGGTAGCTTACTAAGCCTAGATACTAACGACACTATATTAGGAGATATAATATAGAGAAACTAATTCTAGAAGGTATTTTACTAGGAAAAAATATAGTATAATCTTCTAAACTACTAAAACACTAATCTTTTATCTATATAACCTTAATTAACTCTAGTAATACTATTACTAAGAGCTATAAATGGAGTACTCTTAAATAATAGTATATATTCTCTCTAAATATATACTTACTACTCTAATTATATTAAGTGAAACTAGTAAAAAGATATCTCTAAAAATAGTAATAAGAGATAACTAATTAGATATTAGTATGTTTAATTAGTACTAAGGGTTAAAACGAAATATATAACCTATTAAAGATAGTAAGAGAGAATGATAAGAATTATAAATCTAAGAATAATACTAAGAGTTATTAATATAATATTCATAAGTAAGTTATATTAGTATTATATTATATTAAGCTAATTAAATTAATATAACCTAAAGTACTAGACTAAATATAGAACAATATATAGAAATAGCGCTAGACTTAAGTAAGAATAGCTAAATAATTAGAATTACACCTAATTAGAAATACTAGATAGAGTAGTAAGAGTGTAATATATTAAGCTGTATATAAATAGTAATACTAGACTAAGTAGAGGTAGTATAGTAATAATAACTATATAATTAGTAAGACTAGACTAAGTTTTAGTAGTTTATTAATTAAAACTATAGAAACTTAGTAGCGCTAGACTATAGAAGAGTTGTATATTTATTAGAGATATATTTTAATAATACTAGACTAAGTATAAGTTAATATATATAAGTAATATTAGGCTAAGTAAGAGTAGTAAAGTAACTAGAAATATATATATTAATATAAATTAGTAATACTAGACTAAAGAAAGATAGTCTAGTAACTAAAATAGCTTACTTAAATATATATTAGTGGCACTAGTCT